AAAAAACCCCCCCCCCCCCTTTTTTAAATTTTTTTTTTAAAAAAAAAAAAAAAATTTTTTTTTAAAAAAAAAAAAAAAAAAAACCCCCCCCCCCTTTTTTGGGGAAAAATTTTGGGTTTTTTTTTTTTTCCCCCCCCTTTTTTTTAAATTTTTTTTTTTTTTCCCCCCCCCCCCAAAGGGGGGGTTTTTTTTTGGTTTTTTTTTTTTTTTTTTTTGGGGAAAAAAAAAAAAAAGGAAAAACCCCCCCCAAAAAAAATTTGGGAAAGGGGGGGAAAAAACCCCCAAAAAAAAAAATTTTTTAAAATTTTTTTTAAAAAAAAAAAATTTGGGAAATTTTTCCCCCCCTTTTTTTTTTTTTTTTTCCCCCCCTTTTTTTTTCCCCCCCAAAGGGGAAAAAAATTTAAATTTGGGGGGGTTTTTTTTTTTTTTTCCCCCCCCCCCCCCCAAAACCCCGGGGGGAAGGGAAAAGGCCAAATTTTCCCCCCCCTTTTTTTTCATCCCTTTTTTTAAAATTAAAAATAAATTTTAAAAAAATTTTTTAAAAACAAATTTAAAAATTTTTTTTTCCCCCAATTTTAAAAAAACCCCCAAAATTTTCCCCCTTTTCCCAAAAAACCCCCCCTTTTTTTTTTTTTTTAAAAACCCCCTTTTTTTTCCCTTCCCCCCCTTTTTTTTTTTAAAAAAATTTTTTTTTTAAAAAACCCCCCCCCTTTTTTTTTTAAAAAAAAAAAAAAACCCCCCGGGGGGAAAATTTGGGGTTTTTAAAAAAATTTTTAAATTTTTTTTTTCCGGGGAAAAATTTTTTAAAAAAAAAAAAATTTTAAAAAAAAAAAATTAAAACCCTTTTTTTTTTTAAAAATTTTTTTTCCCCCCTTCCCTTTTGGGGGAAAAAAAACCTTAAAAAAGGGGTTTGGGAAAAACCCCTTTTTAAAAAAAAAAATTTTTTCCCCCCCCAAAAAATTTTTTTTTTTCCCCCCAAAAAAAATTTTTTGGGTTTTGGGAAAATTTTTTAAAAAAAAAAATTTTTTTGGGTTTTTTCCCCCCTTTTTTCCCCCCCTCGGGAAACCCCTTTTTTAAAAAAAAAAAAAAAAAAATTTTTAAAAAAAAAAAAACCAAAAAAAACCCCCAAATTTTGGGGTTTTTTGGGGGGGAAAAAAAAAAAAGGGCCCCCCTTTTTAAAATTTTTGGGGGCCCCCCCCTTTTTTAAAAACCCCCCCCCAAAAAAACCCCAAAAAAAAGGGGGTTTTTTCCCCCCAAAAACCCGGGGGGGGCCCCCCCTTTTTTCCCCCGAAAAAAAAAAATTTTTTAAAAAATTTTTTTCCCCTTTTCCCCCCTTTTTTAAAAAAAAAATTTTTTTTAAAAAAACCCCCTTTTTTAAAAAACCCAAAAACATTTTTTTAATTTTTTCCCCCCTTTTTTTTCGAAAAATTTTTTTGGGGCCCTTTTTTTTTTAATTTTTTCCCTTTTTTTTTTTCCCTTTTTTTTAAAAATTTTAAAAAAATTTTTGGTTTTTTTTTTTTTTTTTTTTAAAAATTTTTTTTTTTAATTTTTATTTAAAAAATTTTTTTTAAAAAAATTTTTTTTTGGAAAAAATTTTTTTTTAAAAAAATTTTTTTTTTTTGGGGTTTTTTTTTTTCCCCCCAAATTTTTTTTTAAATTTTTTTTTTTGGGGGGGGTTTTTAAAAATTTTTTAAAAAGGGGGGAAAAAAAAAAAAAAAATTTTTTTTTTTTTTTAAAAAAATTTTTTTTTTAAAAAAAAGGGGGTTTCCCGGAAAAAAAAAAGGGGGGGGCCCCCCTTTTTTTTAAAAAAAAAAAGGGGGGGGTTTTTAAAATTTTTTTAAATTTTTTTTCCCAAATTATTTCCCAAAAAGGGGGGGGGTTTTAAAAAAATAAAAAACCCAAAAAATAAAAAAAAATTCTGTCCTCCCAGAAAACTCCCATAGCGTTGAGCGAGGTTTTCATTAATTCCAAGCAGGTCTTGTGCATAGGGCCCAGCACAAGCGCAGCCACCTCGGGCTTGAACTCCAAACACGTCATTCAAGACTGCGCAGATAAAATTGTGGTGCAGTAGGAAGCCAGACTGCAGATGTCGCACAACAAATGACAGAACTGGTAGCCTGTCGGGGTAATCAACATTACCCAGAGCTTCTAATTCTGCGACACTCCCAACCAAGTCTGAAATTTTCCTGAAGGAAACATTATTATTATTATTATTACTGGTATTATTATTGCTGTTCATGTATTATTATGATGGTGAAAATGTTGAATGATTTAAGTTTTTTCTTTCTTTTTGGGTAACCCTGCGTCGGTGGGAAATGGCCAACGTGTTAAAAAAAAGTATCGTTATTATTATTGTTGCTGTTGTATTATATTCTTGTTACTGTTTTTGTATATTATTATTATTATTATTATTATTATTATTATTATTATTATTATTACTGTTGTTGTATTATATTATTATTATTGCATTATATTATTTTTATTATTGCTGTATTATATTCTTCTTCTTCGTCTTATTATTATTATTATTAGTATTGTTCTTTCAACGTACCTGCCGTATCTCACTGAGGTGGGGTGGCCCAAAAGGAAAAATGAAAGTATTATTATTTTGTTTTTGTTTTTTTAACAAACCAGCTGTATCCCACCAAGGCAGGGTGGCCCAGAAAGAAAAACGAAAGTTTCTCTTTTTAAATTTAGTAATTTATACAAGAGAAGGGGTTACTAGCCCCTTGTTCCCGGCATTTTAGTCGCCTCTTACAACATGCATAGCTTACGGAGGAAGAATTCTGTTCCACTTCCCCATGGAGATAAGAGGAAATACACAAGAACAAGAACCAGAAAGAAAATAGCAGAAAACCCAGAGGGGTGTGTATATATGTACATGCTTGTACAAGTATATGCAGTGTGACCTAAGTGTAAGTAGAAGTAGCAAGATGTACCTGAAATCTTGCATGTTTATGAGACAGAAAAAAGGACACCAGCAATCCTACCATCATGTAAAACAATTACAGGCTTTCGTTTAACACTCACTTGGCACGACCGTAATACCTCCCTGGGCAGTTGCTGTTTACCAACCTACTACCTATAATTATTATTGTTGTTATTATTACTGTTGTTGTCGTATTATATCCTTACTCTTATTATTACTAATATTATAATATTCAAAGGGATGTGCTAAAACCACAGGGATCATACGATGGCAAAGGAATTTCAGGTAATTAAGTTTAATCCAAGGAATGAGAGGGAAATATCATTTTCTTGGACCAAGAGCATTTCACCTGCTAAGACAGACAAACGGACACACACACACAGACAGACAGACAGACAGACAGACACACACACACACACACACACACACACACACACACCTTTTCCATCCTAGTTAGTTTATTTTTAAGACAGTGAATGGCTCTTTATCAGAGGCACTGGAGCTGCCTTGCCTTTCCTTAGATTAAACCTGAATATCTTCCATTCCCCAAGTGCTGTATTCCCTCAAGGGTTTAGTGCTTTACCTGAATACAATAATTAAAGCATTGGCAGTTAAAGGTAATATAAATCTTTGACTCGCTGTAATTAAGCTGAAGATAAACACAAGTGATGTAAGAGACTACAGTATATATTATAATTAACCTCATGGCATGTATAAGGTGACCGTAGACTTTCTGCCCCCCAAAAATCATTAATTTTATTAGATATCTGAAGTATAAGTCTGCCCTTGTGTTTGAGGGGCTTTAAAAGTGGTCAAATGGTTCTGATGTGGAAAATATTCCAACCAAAACTCTTGGAAAGAAGTGTCACAAACATAGAAAATTAGGGACAAAAGCTTTGCAACATTCGAGAAAAAAATACAGAAAGACCAACACGAATTAAACACTTCATAGAACATAAGAACATAAGAAAGGAGGAACACTGCAACAGGCCTGTTGGCCCATACTAGGTAGGTCCTTTACAATTCATCCCACTAACAAAAAATTTGCTCAACCCAATTTTCAATGCCACCCAAGAAATAAGCTCTGATGTGCAAGTCCCACTCAAATCCAACCCCTCCCACTCATGTACTTATCCAACCTAAATTTGAAACTACCCAAAGTCCTAGCCTCAATAACCCAACTAGGTAGACTGTTCCACTCATCAACTACCCTATTTCCTATACATAATATAGTATTTTTACTCTTTCGAGAGGCCACCGAAGATATGCTGCAGCAAGGAGGCTGGAAGCAGTGAAATTGTTGTGTCTAAAATCAAACCATTTCAACAAACACTGTTGTACTATTTGAGCTATAAATATTACACCACCTCACCTTCTATTAATTTCATTAAACATTATTTGTTCTTTTTTTGTAGTTAAAAAAACAAAGATTAATGTACGTATAATGAAATTAACAAAAAGTGGGATGTTGTAAAATTTATAAATCAAACCATATGACAGGGGATGATGAAATGGTTTGGTCACATAGAAAGAACAAAGTAAGATAAGCTAATTAAGAGAGTGAATAAATTTAAATTAATTATAAGGAAAGTATAAGACATCTGAGGAATGATTGGAAGGAAAGTGTGAAAGAGGTTTTGAGAGATTGATGATTATACATCCAGCAGGCATATGTGAATATAATGGACTGAAGTATGTGAGAGTAAGTGAACTTCAGGATTTGAGATGTTGTTGGAGTGTGAGCATGGTAAGATCTATGAAAGGATTTAGATAAAACATGTGTCTAAAATTGAGATTTGCAGCTGAAATGTAAAGTGGTTGAATTTTATACATAAAATGGAAATGTTGTATATGTATGTATATTTGTGTATGGAAATGTTATATGTGTATTGTTCCAGTTACAGTATTGCGCCTTTTAATTCTTTTGGAGATATTATGGTCACTCATGATTCAACTGTATTGTCCATGCCTTCCTAGAAAGACAACTATGGAGTAAGTCATGGTTAATGTCTTTTCTATTGAAATTACTGGTGTTAAAAAATTATTACCTAATTGTGTTTGAAATACGTACCTTGATAGGTGTCTGTTGCGAGTAGTGATGAAATCTGGGGTGATGCAGTTCTTCAGTTGCATCACTAAACCAGCACGGATAGACTCCACAATGGCTGGTGTTCCACCTTCCTCTCGTGTCTCCACATCCTGGACAATAAGCCAATTAAGCAACTGGTAAAACTTTGTGCCTTTTCTTGTTATTAAATCCTTCATTACAGATTGGAGATGGTAAATGGTAATGGTGAAACCACACAACTTAGAGTAATGTGTGCCTCTTCATACTGCCCAATAGTGCTAAATTTTTATTATGTTCGTGAGGGCAGTGCTAAACCCAAAGGGGTCATGCAGTGCCTGGGTGAATATGCGGCAATCAGATCCGATTTGAGAAATGGAAGCTATGTCCAATTATTTTTGGATCAAGATCCCATCACTAGCATCAAAGCACTTCCCATGAGAGGTCAGTATTACTAAAGACTGATAAAAACATCCATAATCTTTTTCTGTACGGAAGATCATTTTTATTTTACCAAAAACTTCAAAATAAAATTTATGATTATCTAGAAAAACTGAGAAAGCAACTGGACAGAAAAAAAAATTAAGCACAAGTGAAAACAGGATATCCATATTTTCATCTCAGTCAGAGACCAAGTCAGACCAAAACCATAGTAAGCTTCTCTCCTATGTGTGGGTTATTTGTACTTTATTCCAGTCATGGTATGATAGTGCAAACATGTTTTTAGGCTTTTATATACACTGGCAAGCAGTAAATACGCTATGATTCACTTTAAGGCAATATGTGCTTTATGGTGGCCATATTAGTGATGTAAGCCTGTACAAATGTGCATGTAGCAAAATTTGTAACCTGTTTTCAGGAGATAAAAATTTTACACAGGCATACCTTACTAGTACGGCAGGTTAGGTTTCAGACCACTGCCTAAAGTGAATATCACCTTAAAGACAATCACAGCCTTTTTTCCACTTGCCAGTACATATAAAGACTTAAAAACATACTTACACTATAATTTATTAAGTGCACAGTAGCACTAGACCTAAAAAAAAAAAGGCTATGTAGAAGTAAAAATAACAAACAGTAAGATCCTCGTATCTACAGGGGATATGTTCCAAGACCTACCATGGATACCTGAAACCACAGATAGTAGCGAACCCTATACAGTGGACCCCCGACTTACGATGGCCTCAACCTATGATAAAACCAACTTACGATGCTTGTCAGCGTAAAAATTTGACCCCAACCTACGTTGAAAAACTCGACTTACATCATTCGTCCCGAATGCGGCTGTCTGGTCCGTCTGGCCTGAGCTCCTCAGCTGAGCTAGTGTTACATTGTTTACAAGCCAGGGTGGACAGTTGCACGCATACATTCGATAAATTTTGTATTATTCCAGTGTTTTTAGTGCTTGTAACTGCTAAATAAGCCACCATGGGCTTATCGAGAATACCAAGAAACAATTAACCCCAGAGGGTTAGCCACCCAGGATAACCCAAGAAAGTCAGTGTGTCATCGAGGACTGTCTAACTTATTTCCATTGGGGTCCTTAATCTTGTCTCCCAGGATGCGACCCACACCAGTCAACTAACACCCAGGTGAACATGAAAAAATGCTTGGAACTAGTGTTCATATTGGTGAATTTAAGGTCAGCAAAGGTTGGTTTGAGAGATTTAGGAATCGTAGTGTTCTGGAAGAAAATGCCAAACAGGACCTACATTACTCAGGAGGAAAAGGCACTCCCAGGACACAAACAGTGTCTCATCACTCATCACCACATCTTCATTTATTCTTCATTTAGTACACTAGTACATGCACAATATATATTGTGTGTAGGAAAATGTATATTTCATGTGGTAAAATTTTTTTTTTCATACTTTTGGGTGTCTTGAATGGATTAATTTGATTTCCATTATTTCTTATGGGGAAAAATAATTCGACTTATGATAATTTGTCTTACAATGTGCTCTCTGGAACGGATTAATATTGTAAGTCGGGGGTCCACTGTATATAAGGCGTTTTTCGTTTATGTACATACCTATGATAGTTTAATTCATAAATTATGCACAATAAGTCAAGAATTAGCACTTTTTCACTGATAAGTAGCAATTCATATCTTCTCTTAGGCTTGGAAGAGCTTCCACCATCAACCATTTTTGCACTTTAAGGCCACTATTAAGTGAAATTAAGGGTTATTTTCTAGCCAGGGTAAACTGCAGATAACTGAAGCAGTAGAAATTGGACCTGCAGATATGGCGGTCCTACTGTATAAAAAATACAGTAGTATTTGAAAATTGCCAAAAAAACATCTTAAGAACAAGGCATGCGCTGAAAATAATAAAAATTTATATAATTTAAAAGTGCTGTATTAGCATAGCACTCTACAGTAAGCGTCATATTAACCCTTTCACTGTTGGTCCCATAATATTACAACTTTGAAGCCAGTGTCGGTCCCATAATACTACGCCAAAATTCTAGTGGCTTCCAATCTTGCGGGAGATTGCTGGTAGGCCTACATATGAGAAAATTTGATCTGAGTGGTCAGTGTGTGCAATATAAAAAAATCCTGCAGCACGCCATGCATAATGAAATAAATAACTGTGGCCTTGTTTCTAGTTTAAAACAGCAACTCTGCGGTGTATTTTTGTGTGGTATTTAGTGTTGTATTCTCGTTTTCTTGGTCTCATTTGACAGAATGAGGATATATTACAGAAACAGAGATGATTTTGAATGGTTTACAGACTAAAAGTAGCTTGAAAGTGAGCTCAAGGTAGTGGAAAAGTTCAATTTTTGACGATGTTCAAGAATAAACGTATCACGTCACATGTCCAATACACATCAACTGGTGGGTCTAATATGCTTTCACAAATGTGCTGATATTATTTACACCATTTTTACAATAATGTAGTAGTCTGCATAACAGTGAATCTTCTATTTTTTTTGTGAATAAAAATTCAAAATGGAAAGCCAGTGTAATATAAAAGGGACCTTGAGACATGACTAATGAACAGAGAAAAATGTTATTTTAGTTCCAAGAATGTCTGCATTGTTTATTCTGGACCCTATTTTAAAATTTTCCTTCTTGAATTTTGTATGAAATTGGCCAATTTACCAATTTCTAATCACTTTATTTGGTAGTTGAAATAGGTACATGGGCAGTTTCTTGTACTCAATTGACAGAACAAAAGGAGCACTTAGTGAAACAGTCATGAATATAGTCGACTGGAACAATGGAATTGGCCCAAAATAGGTCTCAAAGTGGGCGAAATCACTGATGCATAAATATCACCAAGACAGCTAACTTCGTCAGAACATAATTCCATAAGTTTTCCATCAAATTTTGTACTTTAGGTTTCATGACCATTGAGAAAATTTTCTCTACCATTTCATAAGAAAATTTTTTTTTTTTTTTTGAAAGTTCTTCGACACTTAGAGGAAGTTTGCAAGCAGGGGTTTTGACAATGAAAGGGTTAACAAGGTATGCCCGTAATTTGTTACCTGTAAGTATCGGTGAGACTCTCGTGACACAAAGAACACAGTTCCTCCTCCACATATTTCAGGCACAGAATTCTCAAATAAATATTTCTTGGCAATTAAAATACCTGACAAGAGAAAAAGAACAGCACTGTTAACACACACAGATAATGTACGTATATAAAGTGAATGTGGATTAAAATACATGTAATGTATATTTGAATACTTCTCTTTGACATTCCGTGAAACAAGAGAACAGTTGGTATATAGGCAGTACTAATGCTAATGGTTATTTTCTTATGGTAGGTTTACACCTACCAAATGTGAGGGTTAACTTGTTTTCACTGGCCGTCTCCCACCAAGGTAGGGTAACCCGAAAAAGAAACACTTTCACCATCATTCATACTATTACTGTCTTACCAAAGGCATGCATGAGGGAAGCAGAATAAGAATCTACCCTCCATAGGCCATGCATGTTGTAAAAGCAGACCAAAATACTGGGAGTAATGGGTTAGTAACCCCTTCTGCATAAATTACTGAAAAATAAGGGTTAAAATTATTGTATTTAAATAAGTAGCAGATATAGTACTGAGTGAGGTCAAACCTTCAATCGTAAAGTGTGTGTGTTTTAGTGTTTGTTTATGTACATGCAAGAATTAAGATTGGAATTAAAATTATTCAATAAAGAGATGCCTGTGAAATACCTTGAACTCCAAAAAGCATTTGTGCAGACTTTTTTTTCCTGAGGACATAAAATGCCAGGAGCAAGGGGCTAGTAACCCCTTCTCCTGTATACATTACTAAATTTAAAGAAAAAACTTTCCTCTCTTTTTTTTAGGTCACCCTGCCTCAGTGGGATATGACTGATTCATTAAAAAAAAATGTTTAACTGTTCACATTTTGTATGTTTGAAACAGTGACTAACAGTCAAATAATACCGTTTTGTCACAAGAAAACACTGATCCAGTTATAACAACACTTGTCACACATTCATGACTCCCACACCACTTTTCTTTATTACAAATATACACATTTCTATAGGCAAACAAACTGAATTAATGTCCTGTATCATAATTGGGATTATGTATAGATATTTTAAATTAAAACAAAAAAACACACTGAAGCATTAATAGAACAGCTGAACTTTGTAACAGGTATGGGTTATGTTCCTTCTAGTGACAGTAATTCTGAGACAGACTATCGTAGAAATTTTTGCATGCACCAATTTATATTTTCTGCTCAAATCTTTTGACCATTACTCTAATTTGCTTAATAATGGCAGCCGTAAGAGAGAATGAGCTTATTCTGAATGAAATCCCACTGTAATTTTTTAACCCTTTCAGGGTCGAGAGGTCCTCTCCTAGACTTGTTCTCAGGGTCAAAAATTTTTTGGAAAAAAAAATTAATTTTTCTTATGAAATGATAGAGAATCTTTTCCCGAGCATAATGACACCAAGAGTATGAAATTTGATGGAAAACTTATGGAATTATGCTCTCACGAAGTTAGCAGTCTTGACAAATTTTACGCATCGGCGATTTTGCCCACTTTGAGCCCTATTTTCGGCCAATTCCTATGTAATAGTTGACAAAAATCATAGCTATTTCACTAGAACTCCATTTTCTCTATCGAATGAGTACACGAAACCACCCATTTACCAATATCAACTATCCAATAAAGTGGTCAGAAATTAGCAATTTTACCAATTTCACACAAATTTCAAAAGATGCCAATTTCCAAATAGGATCCAGAATAAACAAGACAGACATTCCTGGCACTAAAGTAACATTTCCTCTGTTCATTAGTCATGTCCCAAGGCCCCTCTTACATTTCTTTTGCTTTCCACTTTGAATTTTCATTCTCACAAAAAATAGAAGATTTACTGTTATGCAGACTACTGCATTAGTGTAGAAATGATATAAATAATATCAGCACACTTGTGAAAGAATATTAGACTCACCAGTTGACGTATATTGGATGCGTGGCATGATTTGTTTACTTTTGAACTTTGGTAAAAATCGAACATTTCTGCTATTTTGAGCTCAATTTCAAGGTACTTTTCATTGTGAAACCAATCAAAATCATCTCAATTTTTGTAATATGTCTTCCATTCTATAAAATGAGACCAGGAAAACTAGAATACAACCATAAATACCATGCGAAAATACAGTACAAAGTCGCTGTTTTAAACCAAAAACACGGTGAAAGTTTTTTTTTTTCTCATTACACACTGTGTACTTCAGGATTTTTTATACTGCGCACACTGACCACATAGACCCATCCTTTCATATGTATGCCTACCAGCTTTCTCTTGCTAGATTTGAAGGCGCTAGAATTTAGGCATACTAGTACACCAATAACCCTGGTGCGTAAACCGTACTAGTATGTCGGAAACCCTGAAAGAGTTAATAATAACAACGGGTACAACAAAAAGTGTGAATAATTAAAGATATCCACAAAACAGCTACTGGCAAAAGACGCCACATAATCAAATCTGGCAGATTACAAAACGTGAATTCTGGGAGTTCATTATATAGCATTACACAATTATTTTCACAAAGATATTACTTACCTCCAAGCATATTATTTGCTTCCAAGCTTTGTATGCTTTGTTTAGTGCAGGATTTTCTTGCCTAATGTGCATTAATTTTATGCACATTCTCTACTGTGTGATGTATTATTTCTAACAGTTATTCATTATGTGTTGTGTACATTGTATATGATTGGTGCAGCCTGCAAAATGTTTTGAAGAGTCTTATACAGAAGTATTGATGACCTGACTGAGTGCAGTTTAGCTGCCACTGGCCTGGAATGCACCTAACTGAATAACGTAGTCACCTGTACAAGTAATCGTAAGTTACTGTAAGACTTGCAATAGTCCACTAGTATTGTAAGTCTGTGCCAAGTATGAGTGAACAGAACTTGTATTTATGAATGGAGAATATAAATTACATGCTACTACCCTTACACAAAATTTTATAGAGAAGTCTGTGAAACCGACCAACTAATAAAAGGATACTATGGCAGAATAATGATAATAATTTTATTTCAATACATACCTGGAGTCTGTACTCCACCAAGGAACTTGTGCACTGAGAAGAAGATGGCATCTTTATGAGTAAGGCTGTCACCATCTCCACTAACTAATGGATTCATCTTAATATCCACATAAGGAGCTGAAAAAAATTATTTTGTGATATCACTTCAGATGTAAAATGTCATGCAAAGTGAAAATAATAAAAATCAGAGAGACACAGCAAGATTCTATTGTAAATTTTTATTTTGAGTATTGAGGTGGGAATACAAACTTGAAAACTCTTCAGCTCACAATCATGACTCCATTATCTGTGTGTGGAAAATGGCAATTGTGGTAACAAAAAGTCTATAAACAAATCGTCTTTGTCTAAGAAAAATGAATATTGTTTTCTACTTACCAGCAGTTGCATAATCCCAAAATGCCAGTGCACCATACTTGTGGAGAAGCATAGTGAGTTCTACATCGTGTGCCACGATCCCTGTCACATTACTGGCTGCGGTGAAACATCCTATCATGCGACAACTCTTTCCTTGCTGTTGTTTGAGCATCTCTTCCAGGTGAACACTATCAATGCTTCCATCTTTTGTCTCACGAATCCGAATTACCTGTTAAGCAATTTCAACTTTCTTATTTGATAATAAATATCATAATATCCTTTAGATTGCCTTGCTTCCAAAACTGAGAAATACCGCAGACTTCTACTGAATGGGTTAATACAGTCAGACCAGAGCCACGTGAGCGTGTTTGATAGGAGTGAATGGAGACAAATGGTTTTTAATACTTGACGTGCTGTTGGAGTGTGAGCAAAGTAACATTTATGAAGGGATTCAGGGAAACCGGCAGGCCGGACTTGAGTCCTGGAGATGGGAAGTACAGTGCCTGCACTCTGAAGGAGGGGTGTTAATGTTGCAGTTTAAAAACTGTAGTGTAAAGCACCCTTCTGGCAAGACAGTGATGGAGTGAATGATGGTGAAAGTTTTTCTTTTTCGGGCCACCCTGCCTTGGTGGGAATCGGCCAGTGTGATAATAAAAAAAAATAATAATAATATAACAGGAAAGTAAAAAAATGAGGCTAAATTGCTACTTTAAATCTATTTTCAAAGCTAAATAGACTGCTAACAATTTAATACAATTAACACCTGCTTCCCTGACAATTTAATTAATTTTAATTCATTAAAAATGCAATATATGTACTACCCAAAAAAAAAACATCAAAATTATTATAGGTCTTTCATAACTTTGGTCATTAAAATAAAAAATAATTCATGTTAAGCACTAAACCCATGTTGGTCATTCAGCGGCAAGATGTGGTGAAGGCTTGATCCTCCGTCTGCTGAGCCCCAGACAGATGCACTACCTATTGGCACTCACTTATATACACTAATCGTTAATACACTTTAACTATATTTTCAAAGCTAAATACGTATACTGTAAACGGTATTGCCTTCTACTCTGACAGAATATACTACCCAAAAAAGCATCAAAATGATTTTAGTTTTTCACAACTTTAGTCATTAATATATCTGCCTCAAATACACTTAGAGATGGGTTACAAGAATCCATTTAAAGGTTACCGTTGCACCAATCTCCCTCCAGGGCAGCAGGCTTGAGTGGTGTGAACATGGATCAACAAACACAATTGGGGCTTCAGTTAAGTTTAAACCATGGATCAACTTCTGCAAGGCACCAGTTGCACCACTCCCGACAAACAATACTCTGTCGTGCTCCGAGGCCTTGGTAGCATTCCGAATGATATCACGGGCCTCGTGTCTACAACAATAAAAGTTTACAAAATGTTACAAATAATCACCAGACACTTTTTAATAAAACTTAAAAAATTAACACAAACTATGAAACTGTAACTCCAGATTATACGACACAGTAAAACCTTGGACCACAATGTTGCTTCAAGTAACAAAAATACATAAAAGCCATTAACAAAGAATGATTTCCAAAAAATAACAGCTTTGTTGTACCCATATTGTCTGTTGTACAATCATGAGCTAGGTGATCAGTATTAGGCAGTGTGTGATTGTTAGGCAGTGTGTGATTGTTAGGCAGTGTGTGATTGTTAGGCAGTGTGTGATTGTTAGGCAGTGTGTGATTGTTAGGCAGTGTGTGATTGTTAGGCAGTGTGTGATTGTTAGGCAGTGTGTGATTGTTAGGCAGTGTGTGATTGTTAGGCAGTGTGTGATTGTTAGGCAGTGTGTGATCAAGTGTTGGGTAGTGTGTGATTGTTAGGCAGTGTGTGATCAAGTGTTAGGTAGTGTGTGATTGAGTGTTAGGTAGTGTGTGACTGAATGTTAGCCATCGAAATAGCAAAGAATTTGGTCAAATGGCAAAATCGCTGTGTAAATTGCAGCCAGACTAACTTTGCACCTGCATAATTCTGTAAGTTTTCCATCAAATTTGGTACTTTTGGTGTCATTACCTTCAGAAAAGATTCTCTTCCATTTCAGAAAATCAGTTTTTTCTTTTTTAAAAGTGGACACTGAGAGCAATATTAATTCTGGGGGTGTGGACAGTGAAAAAATTAACTGATCCTCTGGTATCTACTGTATATTCTGCTACAGTGGCAACAGGTATAAAAATTGAAGAGCTTACAGTCATTTTTTTTAAAATCAATGCTTGTGCTCATTTTGTGCATACACAAGCCAACTAACCCACACAATCACTCTTATAGACTTATTTACCTCTTGCATCAATGAAAGCATCCATAAATCACCTACCATTCAATTTACTCACTCACACACTCTCATCAACTTACTTATTTACCTCTTCCATCATTGACAGCAGCCATCAACCAACCACCATTCAATTTCATCTGACATAGAACTATCATGTGATAAGACATTCCTCTAAATAGTCCTAATTCTTATGCCAAAAAAATATAAAGCAGTCATTAAAAATTTGAATGCTGCATAAAATACAAGTGAAAATCTTGAAACAGGATGAGTGCCAGTAAAATCATATTTGAAACCGATATTAGGAGTACAGTGCTGGCACTCCGAAGGAGGGGTGTTAATGTTGCAGTTTTATAACTGTAGTGTAAGCACGCCTCTGGCAAGACAGTGATGGAGTGAATGATGATGAAAGTTTTTCTCTTCTGAGCCATCCTGCCTTGGTGGGAAACGGCCGATGTGTTAATAAAAAAAAAAAAAAGTTAACCCTCTACAATAAAAAGAAGTTGTACAATACAGTGGACCCCCAACTTACGATATTAATTCGTTCCAGAAGGCTGTTCGGGTGCCGTTACCAAACGAATTTGCTCCAATAAGAAATATTGTATATTAGATTAGTCTGTTTCAGACCCCCAAAAATACACTTACAAAAGCACTTACAAAAATACACTTACATAATTGTTTGAATTGGGAGCTGATCGTAAGTCGGGGGTCCACTGTAGTACTCTGATAGCTTTAGAATATCCAGCACATTCACTTGGTGAAACTTATTCATGGTAATGCCAAACAATTTAATCATCAATTTAATCCTACCTGAAGAGTGTTGTTTGGAGAGCAGTGACTGTAGAAGTAGTGTGCGTTGAACCGTACTGAGACAGGACTTCACAACTGATGTAATCTTCAATAAATTTAACTGATCTCCCAGAGGCTATATAGTCACAATATACAACTGAAAAAAAACTTATAATGTACTTTGCATACTTTCTATGACATTTTTAATGCAATATATATATACAGTAATTAGGTGTGTAACTTTTGTTTTCTAATCATCTGAAGTTAATGAATTAAAGAAAAGAATTGCTAGCTGAAGACATGAGTAATTTTAATGAATAAAAGAAAAAAATTGCTAGCTAGAGGTATGAGTGGCTTCAAGAATTAAAGAAAAAAAATCACTAGTTAGAAGTATGAGTAACAGCCAGATGAAAGTTTGGCAACTGTAAAAATAAAAGGCTGTTGAAAAGATTTAAGAATGCAATATTAGTGTGCAAAAGAAGCATGTGGATTTAGAAAGGCAGGTGCAGGAGGATAAATAAATGACTGGAAGAATAAAGTAACAATATTTGTGAAGAAAAAAAAAGCTGGCATATTAATGTAGAATGTAAAAATGTAATGATTATAATAAATATAAGAAAATATAATGAATGTAAAAATATAATGGATGTAAAAATGATACAAGAAAAGTGAATCAGACTGAAAGGGAGTTTAAAAAGAACATAATATACGTAGTGCAAAAGAACTGCAAATGAAAGGAAGCAAATGCATATCTAAATTAATCTCTCAAGATTTATCAGTGCATGAGACATGGTGGGTGGTGAGAATGTCATCTCCATCTTATGAATGTTACATGTAATGAGGACTGACTTCATGAATAATATGGACCAAAAACTTAAGCTAGTTTTCAGTTTGCTTTGGTGTTAAGAATCACAGTGTTCAGTTACACCCAAAACAATGAAAAGGAGGCCTAACTCACCCACAGAATTAAGTCACTTGGATTCCAGGATTGGCTGTAGGTAACAAGACTTAACATATGGCACGACAGATGCTGTACAGAACAGGGGACATAAACCCTAATAATCATTGCCACTGGAGTCTTAAGTTAGGTTTAAGTCTGCCTGAAATGCTCTGCATAACTATGGACTTTTTGTATGCACAACTAAATGTTACCATCTCTGTACAAATATTGTATCATGTGGAATAAATCTTTGACTTTGACTTTGACAATTTAAGATGTATATTGTTACACAACCCAAAATGTCAGGTCATCTTCCTGAGCTAATATTAAGTACAGAATGCATTCTTTGAGAAGAATTAAAAATATAACTGCCTGCATGATGAAACTCTTGAAGAAAAACTGCTCCTTAACAATAAATTATAACAGAAAAGCTTATAAAATGAAATGGAGGAAGTTTACCTATGCTTCCTCTCCACAACAAGCTTTTTCCATCCATAACTTTATATTCATTGTAATTTTATCAAAGAATCTTGTGATTAATTATTAACATTTTTGCTAATATATTAATAATCATAATATTTTTTTAACATACTGGTCGTCTCCCACTGAGGCAGGGTGACCTGAAAATGAAGAAACACAGTTTTTCTTCTTTTGACATTTAGTAATTTATACAGGAGAACGAGTTACTATCCCCTTGCTGCCCGCCTTTTAGTCACCTCTTACAACACGCCTGGCTTACAGATGAAGGATTCTTCTCCACTTTTCCAAATTGAAAAAATAATATACGAGATATAAAATGAGTACCATAACAGTCCCCAAATCATCTTCCTATAATCAAAATAAAGTAATATTTAACTAGCATATTTAGAACACAACAGATCCATAAATTTCAATTTTTGTTTACCTTTACGGGGTCCAAAAGGGGTCGAGAAAACAGTATCTGCTCCGATGATATTTTGTGCCACATACTTCACAAGATCCTCTGGTGTGCTGCTGACTTCATCCCTCTCCTCCTTTGGTCCTTCTGACTTAGTGAAGTCATAAAATTTCCTATGAGCTCCAGGTCGAGCCATACTAACTTTAGTCACCTTGGATAAAACGAAACATTATATTAAAGTGTTAAACCCATATAGGTAATACAGCACTGCAAAAAAATAAGTAACAAGCAATGATAAATAACAATTACGGTGGTACCACGGGATACGAACAGCTCAAAACGAGAACAGTTATGCAAGTGTATTTATGTAAGTGCTTTTATAAGTGTATTTTTTCTTGAACGAAATAAGTTTGTATCCCAAGGTACCACTGTATTTAACAAATAGCAAAAAATGGCTGAAGACTGAAGTTCCTCTATAGACAAGCAGAGTGTCTACGTACTGAGGCTCACAGGACTCTATATCTAGCTCTTATATGTTATATACACTACACTTGCTCTTCATGGTACTCTGACTTGACAAAAAAAACATGAAAGATAAACCAGGATGAATTACAACAACTGGATCTGCTGAATATTGAAGACAGAGTAAATAAATGAAGTTAAATAATAATAAAGTATTAAAAGAAAACCAATGGAAATAAGTCACTTTGTCTGACTTTTATGGGTTATCCCAGGTTCTCTACATATATACTACTATGTATTGTAATCTATGTAACTGTATATGTGTATACCTGAATAAACTTACTTAGCAAGAAGACTGACCAGTACCTGAGGAAAGTGTTGTTGAGGGTTGTTAAGGGTCACCAAGTTAATGTCTTGTTGTTGGGGTTCTTAAGGGGCACCAATACTGATTTCTGGTTCTTTACAAACTAACAAACTTTATTTCTGTCTGTAATATACAAAATGTAGTTTATATGTAATAAAATATTATTAAACACAGAAGAAAACCAATAGCATGCTGTGCATTTTGAGTAGATTAATCCTAATACTTACAGAGTACTTAAGAGCTAGTCATAAGTTACTGATTTTTTTTTAAGTGTACAAAGTAAATAGATAAGTGAACAATAGAACAATTTTAAGTATGCATTAAAACAAAAAAAAGAGAGGTAATTAAATGATTCAAGTGTTCTTAAGTAAGTTGGGATTTCTTAAGTAGTTTCACACTGACTGAGTCTTAGATGTCTTTAAGTGTCAAGAAAGAAGTGAAAATAGATAATTTCGTTGGATTTAATCGAAAAGATAACAAATGTGTCGAATGTCTAATACATTGGGTCTTAAGTTCAGATGACCACCAGTGTGGTACCATTTGTAGGTGAACAGGAACATGAGGTGTCGATTATTTAGTCGGGGGAGTGCTAAACCCGGAGGGATTATACAGCGCATGTGGGGGGATGGAAGGCATTCAGGCTTAGTTCAGGGAACTGGAGCACAGATCCAATTCCCTAGATCAAGAGCCTCTCACTAGCGTCAAGGAACCTTTCTTAAAGGGTTAGGTGTCTGTAGAATTATATTATTATTATTATAATAAAAAAGAAGCGCTAAACCACAAGGGCTATACAGCTCTGCTGTAGAATTATAATGGAAGAGGATGAGCAATTGTTTTCTTTGGGACTCTGAGGCAGACTGGAAGAACAAATATAGAGTTGGATAAACTGGTTTTGTTTTATTTACATTAGGAACATGAGGTGATTTTTTAACAATAGCTCTAAATTGATTGGGAGACAGGGGGATCTTTCGTTGGTTTGTTCAATGAATTCCAGATCTTAGGGCCTTTATATGCATTGAGTTTTTGCATAGACTGAGACGGACACCAGGAATGTCTAAGAGAGTTTTATGTCTTGAGTTGTGTCCGTGTGTTCTGTTTTAGCTATCAAGGATGTAACTGAGAAAGAGTAAAAGGCAAGGACACTGCCCTGTGGCACTCCAGCAGCTACAGGCTTATATCTGTTAGTAGACACATATGCAACATTAGGATCTTTATTTCGAACGTTTCGCCTAACAGTGGGCTTCTTCAGTCGAGTACAGAAAGTTGATAGACAGAAATACTTTTCTGTATCGACTGAAGAAGCCTACGTGTAGCGAAACTTCGATAAAGTACCTAACGTTGCATAGGTCAACCTAACATCTGTCGTTTTACTTTTAATGTTCAGGCTTATATCTGTTTACAATAATGTCTTATCACTGATTTCATCATTGCTTAGTTAATCTTAAGTTTATTTTAAGCCAGCCCGTAATGCTATGCATATAAGTGGCTTTGGCATGCTGCTCTTACCTGTATTTTTTTGTACCTCTGTATGTATGCTCAGATTACTAAATAAATAAATAAATAATAAATAAATAAATATATAGTTGACGAGGTTGCACCGTTTGTGGAGACATACTGGTGTCTATCGCTAAGATTTTAGGTATTCAAGGGTATGTCCTCTGACTCCATAATGTTCTAGTTTAAGGTGCAGATATTGTGGTCCACTGCAGTGAATGCTTTCAGCAAGTCTGTGAAGAGTCCCAGAGGATATTCATTTTTTTTCAAGCGCTGCAATTTACATAAGTTAGGTACAGAAAGGTGGGGGAGTGGTCAGTGGTGTATCTGTGATTATCCAGATATGGTCAAGTAATGAGGCACTTGTCTCTGAGATTCTTGTTGGTTTAGTTAAAAATGGTAGTACTAAGCAGTTTGTTGCCCGTGGCCTGGTTGCAAAGGCTCTTGCTTCACATGATGATGTCTGGGTTCGATCCCTGGCAAGGGTAGAAACATTGGGCGTTTCCTCACACCGGTCGTCCATGTTCACCCATCAGTAAAAAGTGGGTACCTGGGTGTTAGTCGACTGGTGTGGGTTGCATCCTGGGACAAAACTGACCTAATTTGCCTGAAATACTCTGCATAACAAGCAGCTTTCTATATAGTAATGTCATTGATGTCAGCTGGCCTGTATACTTTGTACATGTAATTGCAGAAATAAATTTATATTATTATAATCAAGGGGGAAACACTAAACCCGGAGGATTATACAGCGCCTGGAGGGGGGATGTGGAGGCATTCAGGCTTAATTCGGGGAACTGGAGCAGATTCCAATTTCCTAAATCAAGAGCCCCTCACCAACATCAAGGAACCTTCCTTGAGGGGTGCAGAAATAAAGATATTATTGTTATTCATAGTCTTTGAGGGTCCGCTTCTTGGATGAGGCTTATGTTGAAGTCACCATCATGTATAAGGTGTTGTTTATTCATCTCTCTCAATTATTTTGCTGTTTAGGTTGTCATTTAATGTATAAGAATTTGTGTGGGGTTGTTAAGGACCGTCAATATTGATTTGTTATTCTTGGAGTTGTTAAGGGTCACCAATACTGATTTCTTGTTCTTGAGATTATTAAGGGCCACAAGCCCGGCACTATAGAGCAGTGCCAGGCTTGTCTCCACATGGTATCTGTGAGTTTGTCACGTACAAAATATGCAGGAATAACAATAAATGTACTCCAGTGGATTAAAAGACCAATTGTCTGGGAAGACATGTCAAAATGGGGATAGAGTAACAAACAGGGTCCTGCAAGGACAAGTACTGTTTCTGGTTTACGTGGATGACATGTCAAATGGAGTCAGATGTATCCCTGTTTGCCGATGTAAAACTAATGAAATAAAAAAGATGAAGACTGGAAAGTTACAAATGGTTCTGGATAAACTGCCAGATTGGTCAGATAAGTGGTTGTTTAAGAATAGCCTTCAGGAATCTCTGGGTCCTTTATACAACATATATTAGGCCCATTTTGGAGTATGCAGCACCAATGTGCAACCCCCATGTTAAGAATCTTATGAAAGTACAGAAGCATGTAATGAGACTAATTCCTGGTACCATATACTTACTGGTAGGTAAACAGGGTCAACAGGAGCAAGGAAACTGGCACCCATATACTGTACATACATACTGCTAGAGGAAAAGGGGCTACAGGTATGTGGAAACATACTCAACTTTTCACTTGTGCTGGGATCTAATTCTGATGTGGACCATAGATGCAATTACTTGAGCCACGAAACTGAACCCATAGGGGTCACAAAGCAATGGGGGAAATGAGAGGCAATCATATTCAATGTAAGGGGTGGCAGCTCCACTTCCTTGGATCAAGAGCTTTTCACTAGCACCAAGTCACCTCCCTTGAACAAGGTTTCACATTTAAATGCCTCATATTACAAATAATGTTAGTGGGGTCATTTTTCAAGGTTTCCTGGACATGCTCTTGGAATGGGCATCAACACCTTCCTCAATGAACTTACACAACCAAGTCCTTACTGGATGCTCATGCTTATCAATGGCTTCTATTATATTCTTCATTTGATGGCTTGCCTTTTGTAACTCGATGATCTGTGCAATTGTCTTGTGTTAGCAACTTACTCCCACCCATACTAATTCATCAGTAGCCAAAAATGTCTGACAAATTCAGTACTAAAGGACACACAGTGCAGCGAGACCAGACAAATCCATCCACCACACAAGTCTAGAAGACATTCGAGATGCAGCCAGTATTATTATTATGAGGGAGCTCTAATCCCCTAGGATTTTACAGAGCCTGTGGGGAAAGGGGGATGAAAGGCATTCAGGCTTAACTGAGGAAATTGGAGCACAGATCCAATTCCCTAGAGCAAGATCCCCTCACCAGCATCAAGGAACCTCCATTGATGGGATGCAACCAGTAGCCTTCATGAACCCTGAAACATCCTGCTTTGAGTTGCTAGGCCTGAATAACTTTTTTGTCTCATCAATAAACCTACCAGGGTAGGTTATCTCTACCACCATCACTACCACCCTCCACAACCACTACCACCCTCTACCACCATCACAACTACTACCACCCTCTACTGATGAGAGACAAAGCCAGACTGACTCCGAACGCTGGGATGCTTTGTGTAGGTGCGGGCGGACACGTTCGGTATGGCAGACCACTGTCAACTTGACGAAAACCGAGTTGATGAACGAAAACTAGGACAAAATTTTGATGAAAAAAGTCATCAAAAACTGAATTTGACGAAAACCAGGGCAAACAAAAACCGAGGTTCCACTGTACAAGCAAATAAACCTCACTGCATTTACATTCTTCTTTCTTTCAACACGCCGGCCGTATCCCACCGAGGCGGGGTGGCCCAAAAGGAAAAACATAAGTTTCTCCTTTTACATTTAGTAATACAGTGGTCCCTCGCTTTTCATAGTTCTCGGCAATCGTAAATTTTGCCAATCATAGGGGTATTTTCGTATAAACATGGACTCGCTTTTCATAGGTTGACTCGCGAATAGTAGTTCGTCCGGGATGTGTACGCACGGTGTGAGTCGGGGCGGCCTCCCTACCCAGCCAGTCTGGCATTGTTTACCAGTGAGTGAAGGTCCCCTCAAGTGCTCCTATGAAATATTTCATAATATTCCACTCATTTTAGTGCTTGCAATTGCTAAATAAGCTACCATGGCTCCAAAGAAATCTCCTAGTGCCAAGCCTGTGGTAAAGAAGGTGAGAAACATGTACAGTGACAAAGTCTTGGGCCATTTTCGGGAAGTGTTAAAGAGACGCCAGAAACAGAGCTCTCTCCACAGTTACTTTGCGAGACAGGACTAGAGTGACTCTCAAGGTGGTCCTAGTGGCATTAAGAAACAGAGAAGAGAAGCAACCCCAGAGAAGCAATTGGTACCTGAGGTGTTGCTGGAAGGGGATTCCCCTTCCAAACTGTAAACAATCCAATCTCTCTCCTCCTCCAGTCTCCCATACACTAAGAAGAATCTCCAATAAAGGTAAGTGTTATGCTGTTAATGTTTCATTCATCATTTCCCATTGTATTGTTTATGTACTATATGTATATTTCATGTAAAAATTTTTTTTGTTTTAATACTTCTGGGTGTCAGGAACGGATTAATTGTATTTACATTATTTCTTATGGGGAAAATTGATTCGCAAATCGTAAATTTCGTTTATAGTAATGGCTCCAGGAACGGATTAATTACGAAAAACGAGGGACCACTGTATATACAGGAGAAGAGGTTACTAGCCCCTTGCTCCCGGCATTTTAGTTCCCTCTTACAACACATGGCTTAGAGAAAAATTATGTATTGGAGAAAAGGAAATTAACAAGAATAGAACTACAAAAGATAAATAGAAAAAACCAGAGGGGTGTGTATCACATATGTACAGATGCCTGTGTAATGAATAGCAACGTTAATCTTGCCGGTTTGTGAGACAGAAAAAGACACCAGCAATATACCATTGTAAAACAATTACAGGTTTTTTTCACACTCATTGCAGGACGGTAAGTACCTCCCTGGCGGTTGCTGTCTACTCTACCTAACCTATACATATTACTAAATAAAATTTCTTCTTTTTTTTCAACAAAACAGTCCACATCCCATAAGGCAGGTGAAAGAAAAAGAAAGTTTTCTCTTTTTAAATTTAGTAATTTATATAGAAGGGGTTATAGCCCTTGCTCCCGCATTTTAGTCTGCCTCTTACGACACACAGCTTATGGAAGAAAGATTTTCCATCAATGGAGATAAAGGAAATAAATAAAAGAACTATAAAAGATAAAGAAGAAAACTGAGGGTGTGTATAACATATGCTTAACATGCCTGTGTAAGTGTACCTAAGGTGTTTAGAGCAGAAATAGCAAGAATTACCTGGAAACATTCAGTTTATGAGACCAGAAAAGTAAGGGACAACCAAGCAAATCTTTTTTTTCTTCTACTTTCAACACACCGGCCTAATCCCACCAAGGCAGGGTGGCCCAAAAGGAAAAACGAAAGTTTCTCCTTTTAAATTTAGTAACTTATAAAGGAGAAGGGGTTACTAGCCCCTTGCTCCCGGCATTTTAGTCGCCTCTTACAACACGCATGGCTTACGGAGGAAGAATTCTGTTCCACTTCCCCATGGAGATAAGAGGAAATAAACAAGAACAAGAACTAGAAAGAAAATAGAAGAAAACCCAGAGGGGTGTGTATATATATGCTTGTACATGTATGTGTAGTGTGACCTAAGTGTAAGTAGAAGTAGCAAGACGTACCTGAAATCTTGCATGTTCATGAGACAGAAAAAAAGACACCAGCAATCCTACCATCATGTAAAACAATTATAGGTTTCCATTTTACACTCACTTGGCAGGATGGTAGTACCTCCCTGGGCGGCTGCTGTCTACCAACCTACTACCTATAAAAAATATATTATATGTTACAGAAAATTATCATTGAAACTCATTATATCTTCCTTTAGCATAAGTACAGGAAACCAGAATCTTAATCCCACTAGCACATGATTATATTTATGGGAAATGCTAAATTCATAAGATTTTGGGAAATGGGAGGGAAACAAGACTGCTTTTACGAGTGGGAAGAAAGGACTGATTTTAGGAGTGGGAAGATTTCTTTGATCAAGAGCCCTTCATAGCATCAAGGCATTCCCTGCAAAGAAATTTATATTGAAGAAACATTTCATAGAGAAAATTCATTTTTTACAAATACCTCACTAGAAATTTTGTGAAAGTCAAGGAAAAATTAAACAGCAACAAGTGGTACAGACTTTACTTAAAAGAAGCGACAGTTTAACTGTCTATAAAAATTATATAAAAAAAAAGTCTGAAAATAAAATATATCATCAACATGTTTTATTTATAGAAAAGCTTTACTGTTATGTATTTTAAAACATATACAAGATACAGATCACAAGTATCTTATTTATTTTTATTTTAAGTAGGAAAAACATAATGAAAAAGGAACTCAATATATTTCCACCACAAAATTATTATGGCCACTGATACAAAATAAATGCAGTAAAAAATACATTAGGACCACAAATGACACAATAAGCACATGAAAGCTTTGATAAATTATAGTGAGATTCTACGGTATATCATTCAATCAATTATATACTATACCATAAATAGCACATCTAAACAACTGTGATGCAACTGTTAATGTTACGTTTGCTGAGTTTCGTTTTGGGTTTAATTTAACACACAATACAGACATTTATACTTATTTCCGGCTTACTGGTTAAGTCGAGAGATTTTAATGTTTCTAAAGAATACACATTATGCCACGGGAGAGAACACTTTGAACATGCAGGTTTTACAATAATCACAATGATTAATATTTACTTTATGGTAAACACACACACATTTTTTCCCTCATTTTATGCAGTGACTCAATTTTTGGAGGTAATTAGCTATATATGGTATAAAGTCGCTCAAGTGCAATCAGTCACCCAAGCCCAGCACCAATTATTTTTTACCACTCTCTCTTCACATATCACCCTAAACTGGTTTATATTGACATTCATAAGAAAGGATGACTAGAAAAAAGATTTCGGCATGGGAAATTCAATGAACATATCTTGAACAAAATCCTGTGGTTGGTTTTCAATTTAATGTCTTGCGCCAAGTTGAAAATAAAATAGACACCCGGCCGAACCAAGTTGGGTTGCACCAACACAAAGTTGGGTTACACTTGACACAAAGTTAGGTTACACTTGTCACAAAGTTGGGACCAGGGGTAGAGGGAAGGAGGGAGGGAGAAAAGAATATTAGGGAGATTTGTATTCACTGGTTGATAACATGCACTTCAGTCTGGACAGAGAGAGGCTGGTTGAATGGTGGTGGAGGGATGAGGGAGGGTAAAAGGAAAATTATGAATGCACCTTGGATTAAAATTTTCGTTTCTTTTTTACCAAAGGCATTAATTTTTGGAATATAACTATTAATTGACTATCTGATATGTTCATAATATTTTGGGAAAAATAAGGAAAAAAATAAAAATGTGTAAATTCTTTTCTTGATTCTGTATTATAAAGAGAGATTTATTTCTTCTTATTTGCTTTTTCACCAAACTGATTTCTTTTCTGTCTATGACCATTTGGTGCCTGTGTGGTATACCTCAAAGGGGTTTTGGGGGTCAATGCCCCTGTGGCCCAGTCTGTTACCAGGGTAAGGTCATATTGTTTTGGTAAACTTTAGTGAGAAATGTGAAGCTTGCAAAGTCTTAGGATAAATCGCATGTTATACCGAGTTTACTTTATGCACCATGGGCCAGGAACACATCTGTTATGTATGGCAAGAGAGACCTTTACTTGGAATTAGATATTTAAGTATGGGTAGCATGAGGTCTAGCATTCTGTTTTACGAATAACCGAGTCCAGGGAATCCCTGGTTGGCTTAGGTGTCTGCTCTATTGATCTCAGAGCTGAGAGTGCAGCCATGTTAGCTTCTGTCAGACGGAAACTTGTTTCTCCTAACTCAGCTTCTGTCCCACACACGGCAATCATACCTGCAAAACATTTTGTACAAAACGTAAATATTACATAAAATGTAGAGAATGACACATAGATGCAGTGGATACCTCTAGTAATGACAACACTTCATCCACACAGTGAACTATATTAAGTCAGTTACTTAATAGAGCTTCTCTGTGGGTGAAATGCTGTGGTTAATTACTGTACCTCAGTACCAGTTATGCTATCTTGTCCATATTTACACACCATTCTAATTCCCTTATGTAAAATGAATGACATAGAATTAACTCTAAAATATCTGGGTCTGTGTTCAACAGCCACATTCTTTAGCTTGATAAATTATTTTATTTTGAATCATATAAATGGCTTTTAGAAGATGTGCTCAACTGGTGGTGATCTTTCCAAGGCCTCTTCTCTCTGACTACCTTCCTGATGATTAAGTAAATGTTTGAAAGACAGATTAATAAGTTAAAAAAAAAGAAAAAATGATATTTTTTTTTTTTACACAAATCAATTTTGCAGGCTAAGAGCTGTTATCATACCTCAGCTCATTTCAAATCCCAGCCCTAAGGTATACCCCTTCCCCCAAGGATGTTACCCACAATAATTGCCAGTTAAAAATGAAAGAGGAAAGATGTTAGATGGGATAGGAAAGATACCAGAAAGAGAGAGAGAATATTTTGAGTTGTTAAATACTGATAATGAAAGGGAGGCAGTGATATGATGCAATGGGCAGGGAGGAATAATACATAACAGGAGTAAGGATGAGCCAGAGGTAAATGTGGGGAAACTGCACGATACAACAGGTATAATAAAGTGGGGAACAGCAGCTGCGACAGATGGGATTAAAATTGCAATGTTAAAAGCAGGAAAGACAGAAAGGTACTTAAGGATTCTCAGAGAGAATGCATAGTTCATTTGTTTTGTTCAAGGAAAGCAGGGACAAAAGAGTGTGAAAAATTATACAGGAAAAACCTGTCGAGTTAAATGGGTAAAGTGACCAGTAGAATTATTACTGAAATGGTTAGGGTAAGAAAGAAAGTAGGATTGGAAAGGAGCAATGAAGATTTAGGAAGGATTAACCCTTTGACTGTTTCAGGCCCCTCTCTGAAACTGTCATTCTATGTCGCCAAATATTCAAAAAAAAAAAAAATTATTTTTTCTTATGAAAATGTTAAGATTATTTTTCTGAGTGTTTTAGTCCAAAAAAAAATTTTTGCCATCGGTACTTACTGAGATATAGAGCCGTGAAGTTTGCAGAAAATGAGCCGCGTATGGCAACAGCGGCGACTGCCGCTCACCCGGTAAACTTTAGTTTACTTGTAATTGAAGGTTTTTTGTTTTTTTCACTATTTTATTTTTTCACATAACTTATGTGGCCTATGAGACCAAAGTAAGGTGCAATGTACATATATACACTCGTTGTATACAATACAATAAGCACACAAACATAATTATCAATATATTGTTTACAAAACTTGTTTACAAAAACAAACAATCCTCCTCCTCCTCCTCCTTCTTCTCCTCCTCCTCCTTCTCCTTCTCCTCCTCCTCCTCCTCCTCCTCCTCCTCCTCCTCCTTCTCCTCCTTCTCCTTCTCCTCCTCCTTCTCCTCCTCCTCCTCCTCCTCCTTCTTCTCCTCCTCCTTCTCCTCCTCCTTCTTCTCCTCCTCCTCCTTCTCCTCCTCCTTCTCCTCCTTCTCCTCCTCCTCCTCCTCCTCCTCCTCCTCCTCCTCCTCCTCCTCCTCCTCCTCCTTCTCCTTCTCCTTCTACTTCTACTTCTCCTTCTCCTTCTCCTTCTCCTCCTCCTTCTCCTCCTTCTCCTTCTCCTCCTTCTCCTCCTCCTTGTCTTGTGTGGGAGTGTGTGGCTTATAATTGTTTTGAGTCAGAAGTCGGCAGCTGTCAAAGTGACATATTGTCTCATTACTCACACCCCTACCTCCTGTCAAAACAATGGGGTCGGACGCTGCTCACCCTCCTCCATTCTATCTAATTATCTTTCTCCCTCATTCTATATCTTTCAATCTGTCTCTCTTTCTATCTGTCTGCCTATCTCTGTCTCACAGGTACACATAAATACAAGTATACATAGTGTAAATTACCTAGGATAACCCAAGAAATCCAGACAAAGTGCTATACTCTGCTTGAAGATGTGAGTAAAGGTGATGACACAGTCTTGTGGCTCTCTCTGAGACAGAGAGCTAGATGGACAGACAGGGAGCTTGACAGACAGACAAATAGACAGACAGAAATGTTTGTGTACCAGCAAAAACAAAGGGAGGGCGATGGTCATGTAATATTACCCTCCTTTACGCTCATCAAAGTCAGCTCTTATCAGATGTTATCTCCCCTTATCTTGTCACTGTCATGGGGTGGACTTTTTTTTTTCTTGCTTCAAGGGAACAATATTATTACATCTTCTTCTTCCCTCCTCCCCCTCCTCTTCTCCTTCTCCTCCTCCTCCTCCTCCTCCTCTTCCTTCCCTCCTCCTCCTCCTCCTCTTCCTCCCCTCCTCCTCCTCCATTGCTTTTGGTCTCAAACTCCTCCAAATCATGAAATTGATCTTCATTGACACTTCCATCTGTGTTAGAGCATCACTTGGGAAGAGAAGAGTCCCAGATTTGCTAGGGAATCACATATTTCTTACCGCTAAACATGCTGAAAAAGGACAACTGAAATGGCATTCCCACAATGCACCACTGGCTCCCCGATTTTTTTTATATGGTGCACACTGACCATGGAGACCCATTCTCTCACATGTGGGCCTACCAGCTTTCTCCTGCTTGATTTGAAGCTGCTAGAATTTATGCGTATATTTATACGTCAGAAACATTGGCTCGTAAGACGTATTTATTATATATTATTTTTTTTATTATCACACCGGCCGATTCCCACCAAGGCAGGGTGGCCCGAAAAAGAAAAACTTTCACCATCATTCACTCCATCACTGTCTTGCCAGAAGGGTGCTTTACACTACAGTTTTTAAACTGCAACATTAACACCCCTCCTTCAGAGTGCAGGCACTGTACTTCCCATCTCCAGGACTCAAGTCCGGCCTGCCGGTTTCCCTGAATCCCTTCATAAATGTTACTTTGCTCACACTCCAACAGCACGTCAAGTATTAAAAACCATTTGTCTCCATTCACTCCTATCAAACACGCTCACGCATGCCTGCTGGAAGTCCAAGCCCCTCGCACACAAAACCTCCTTTACCCCCTCCCTCCAACCCTTCCTAGGCCGACCCTACCCCGCCTTCCTTCCACTACAGACTGATACACTCTTGAAGTCATTCTGTTTCGCTCCATTCTCTCTACATGTCCGAACCACCTCAACAACCTTCCTCAGCCCTCTGGACAACAGTTTTGGTAATCCCGCACTCCTCCTAACTTCCAAACTACGAATTCTCTGCATTATATTCACACCACACATTGCCCTCAGACATGACATCTCCACTGCCTCCAGCCTTCTCCTCGCTGCAACATTCATCACCCACGCTTCACACCCATATAAGAGCGTTGGTAAAAACTATACTCTCATACATTCCCCTCTTTGCCTCCAAGGACAAAGTTCTTTGTCTCCACAGACTCCTAAGTGCACCACTCACTCTTTTTCCCTCATCAATTCTATGATTCACCTCATCTTTCATAGACCCATCCGCTGACACGTCCACTCCCAAATATCTGAATACGTTCACCTCCTCCATACTCTCTCCCTCCAATCTGATATTCAATCTTTCATCACCTAATCTTTTTGTTATCCTCATAACCTTACTCTTTCCTGTATTCACCTTTAATTTTCTTCTTTTGCACACCCTACCAAATTCATCCACCAATCTCTGCAACTTCTCTTCAGAATCTCCCAAGAGCACAGTGTCATCAGCAAAGAGCAGCTGTGACAACTCCCACTTGTGTGTGATTCTTTATCTTTTAACTCCACGCCTCTTGCCAAGACCCTCGCATTTACTTCTCTTACAACCCCATCTATAAATATATTAAACAACCACGGTGACATCACACATCCTTGTCTAAGGCCTACTTTTACTGGGAAAAAAATTCCCTCTTTCCTACATACTCTAACTTGAGCCTCACTATCCTCGTAAAAACTCTTCACTGCTTTCAGTAACCTACCTCCTACACCATACACTTGCAACATCTGCCACATTGCCCCCTATCCACCCTGTCATACGCCTTTTCCAAATCCATAAATGCCACAAAGACCTCTTTAGCCTTATCTAAATACTGTTCACTTATATGTTTCACTGTAAACACCTGGTCCACACACCCCCTACCTTTCCTAAAGCCTCCTTGTTCATCTGCTATCCTATTCTCCGTCTTACTCTTAATTCTTTCAATTATAACTCTACCATACACTTTACCAGGTACACTCAACAGACTTATCCCCCTATAATTTTTGCACTCTCTTTTATCCCCTTTGCCTTTATACAAAGGAACTATGCATGCTCTCTGCCAATCCCTAGGTACCTTACCCTCTTCCATACATTTATTAAATAATTGCACCAACCACTCCAAAACTACATCCCCACCTGCTTTTAACATTTCTATCTTTACCCCATCAATCCCGGCTGCCTTACCCCCTTTCATTTTACCTACTGCCTCACGAACTTCCCCCACACTCACAACTGGCTCTTCCTCACTCCTACAAGATGTTATTCCTCCTTGCCCTATACACGAAATCACAGCTTCCCTATCTTCATCAACATTTAACAATTCCTCAAAATATTCCTTCCATCTTCCCAATACCTCTAACTCTCCATTTAATAACTCTCCTCTCCTATTTTTAACAGACAAATCCATTTGTTCTCTAGGCTTTCTTAACTTGTTAATCTCACTCCAAAACTTTTTCTTATTTTCAACAAAATTTGTTGATAACATCTCACCCACTCTCTCATTTGCTCTCTTTTTACATTGCTTCACCACTCTCTTAACTTCTCTCTTTTTCTCTCATATACTCTTCCCTCCTTGCATCACTTCTACTTTGTAAAAACTTCTCATATGCTAACTTTTTCTCCCTTACTACTCTCTTTACATCATCATTCCACCAATCGCTCCTCTTCCCTCCTGCACCCACTTTCCTGTAACCACAAACTTCTGCTGAACACTCTAACACTACATTTTTAAACCTACCCCATACCTCTTCGACCCCATTGCCTATGCTCTCATTAGCCCATCTATCCTCCAATAGCTGTTTATATCTTACCCTAACTGCCTCCTCTTTTAGTTTATAAACCTTTACCTCTCTCTTCCCTGATGCTTCTATTCTCCTTGTATCCCATCTACCTTTTACTCTCAGTGTAGCTACAACTAGAAAGTGATCTGATATATCTGTGGCCCCTCTATAAACATGTACATCCTGAAGTCTACTCAACAGTCTTTTATCTACCAATACATAATCCAACAAACTACTGTCATTTCGCCCTACATCATATCGTGTATACTTATTTATCCTCTTTTTCTTAAAATATGTATTACCTATAACTAAACCCCTTTCTATACAAAGTTCAATCAAAGGGCTCCCATTATCATTTACACCTGGCACCCCAAACTTACCTACCACACCCTCTCTAAAAGTTTCTCCTACTTTAGCATTCAAGTCCCCTACCACAATTACTCTCTCACTTGGTTCAAAGGCTCCTATACATTCACTTAACATCTCCCAAAATCTCTCTCTCTCCTCTGCATTCCTCTCTTCTCCAGGTGCATACACGCTTATTATGACCCACTTCTCGCATCCAACCTTTACTTTAATCCACATAATTCTTGAATTTACACATTCATATTCTCTTTTCTCCTTCCATAACTGATCATTTAACATTACTGCTACCCCTTCCTTTGCTCTAACTCTCTCAGATACTCCAGATTTAATCCCATTTATTTCCCCCCACTGAAACTCTCCTACCCCCTTCAGCTTTGTTTCGCTTAGGGCCAGGACATCCAACTTCTTTTCATTCATAACATCAGCAATCATCTGTTTCTTGTCATCCGCACTACATCCACGCACATTTAAGCAACCCAGTTTTATAAAGTTTTTCTTCTTCTCTTTTTTAGTAATTGTATACAGGAGAAGGGGTTACTAGCCCATTGCTCCCGGCATTTTAGTCGCCTCATACGACACGCATGGCTTACGGAGGAAAGATTCTTTTCCACTTCCCCATGGACAATAGAAGAAATAAAAAAGAACAAGAGCTATTTAGAAAAAGGAGAAAAACCTAGATGTATGTATATATATATATGCATGTGCGTGTCTATGAAGTGTGACCAAAGTGTAAGTAGGAGTAGCAAGATATCCCTGTTATCTTAGCGTGTTTATGAGACAGAAAAAGAAACCAGCAATCCTACCATCATGCAAAACAGTTACAGGTTTTTGTTTCACAGTCATCTGGCAGGATGGTAGTACTTCCCTGGGTGGTTGCTGTCTACCGACGTATTTATACGTCGGAAACAGTCAAAGGGTTAAGATATGTGGACCAAGTATTTACATTGAAGCGTATAGGTGAACAATACTAAAATAAGGGTAAGCAACTGCTGCATTTATGGATTTAGAAAAGGCATATGATAGGATGGATAAGGAAGCAATATTACAAATGTTGCAAATGTATGGTATAGGTAATAAATTATTAAAAAAGTAAAGTTTAATTTTATGAGAGTGAGGTTCAGGGACTATTAACCCACATTAACAAGCCCAATAATGTGGCTAATTTCTGCTAAGTTTCTTCTAGCCCTGTTTACTGCTAGGCAAACAAATTCAGTGGGTGTATGGACACCTGCTCATACATCTTGCCTGGCCCTCAATGATTAGCCTAATGTTCCTTGTTTAACATCGGGATGCTAGTAAAGCCAGAAGATTCATGTGTAACTGATGCTACCTTAAACCAGGTATTAAAAGAGACAGACTCTCTTTCAAGACTATGAATCCTTGGCCACAAGCAAGGCAGCTCACTGCAATAAATACAAGTGACCCCAATATGATATATTAATCTTTATTACCATACTAATTCCATGGCACTATTTTTCAATACATTAAACTTCCCTCTTTAAATTCCAAGTTTTTTATGTTAATTGCTCTATCTCCTTCATATTTCTAAACACTGAATGACTTGACCATGCTATAAAAATGTCATCATCTATACTTTAGTTTATAATGTGCAGTATATTGCTATACAACACAGCAGTAAAACTATTCCCGATTATTTTTTAGTCCTGAATGGCTAACCTGAGCATTATTGTTAATACAACTTCCAACTATATACAAAGAAAGTCAAGACCAATGAAAAGAAAATAGGTATCAATCAGCCCATACATTACCAGGTTTCTTGTCTGCAAGATATGCACAATAGGTGTTCAGGATGACTGTTATGTCATCATGGGGATAGGTGGGGGTCGCTTCGTGGTGCCAGAGTGCACGATGCTGGCGAACGAACTGCAGTGCTCCCACCCATCGCTGGTCTGCTACAAGCTGCAGCAACTGTGGGACAAAATGTGATCCATATATGAAGTTGCTGCTGTATAGGATATAGAGAGTATAGTGCCTATTTGTTTTAATTGCCAAGTATTTTTAAAATATTCTTTAAATACATTTGTAATAATAATAAAAAAATGTGAATTTTGATGTACTTGGAAACTAAAATAAAATAATACTCCCAAGTTTACTCTGAGTATGAAAATGTAACGAATGCTTGTAACGACCTACAGGTTGGAGATTATCATACTAGAAGTGGTGCTGACCCAGTGGTTAGGACAACAGACAGTCATTTTATAGATCCCAGTTCACATCTCTGAAACATCTTTGGATTACTCTAAGTACTCTTGCCACAAGGGCAATCTTAACACAGTAAGAAAAACAGTAGGTAGCATTTAGGGAGGCTATCTACAGTGATCTGACTAGCCTTGGGCAGTGCTAAGGCTACAATCTTATGTCAGAATCTATATAATTATATCCAAATTCTCAGTATAATTCTAAAATTTGTACATCATTCATAGCTTATTAGTATGACACTGAGGTAGGAAGATATGATGTCAATGACTGAGTATTGGCTGGAAGTCACAACCTTGGCTAAAGACAATGCTTTGAAAAAAAAAAATTATTATTCCTACTATGAATATCTAATTAGTATGGAGGAATTACCTGGAGCTCAGCTTCAGGTTGTGAGGTGGGTTGTGTCACTGGAAGCTCTAACGACTGAGAGCCAAGTGAAGAGGAGCTCACCGGAGACCCTCCTTCAGTACGACTTATGCTGCTCTCGCATGCACTACCTCCTTCACTCTCTTCTCCACCTACACTCTCACACTCTCCCTCTTCTCCCTAAAATGAAAAAATACTTGGATGATATATTTTTGTGAACAGATAAGCTTAAATGAATAATGTCACACTTATTAGGTGTCCCATATCTGGGTTGATAGTGCACTCAGCTCACACATTAAGGCCTGTGGTTTGATCCCTGGTACGGGTGGAAACATTAGGACATGTTTCCTGAAGAGATCTGCTGTTCATGTTCACCTACCAGCAAGTAGGTACCTGGGTGTTAGCCAACTGGTGTAGGTCACATCCTGGGGACAAAATTGTCCAAAATGATCTGCATAACCAGGGACTTTTTATACAGTATGTCACTGATGGCAGCTATGGTCTTTACAAGTTGTATAGTGTACTTGTAGAAATTAAGATTATTTTTTTTTTTCCAACAAGTCGGCCGTCTCCCACCGAGGCAGAGTGACCCAAAAAGAAAGAAAATCCCCAAAAAGAAAATACTGTCATCATTCAACACTTTCACCTCACTCATACATAATCACATTATTATTATATATATTATTATAATGAAGACTGGCCAGTGCAGCTGAGATGAAGTTGCTCTGATGTATGTAAAAAATGAAAAATAAAAATTAAAATAACTACAACAAAATGTAATTGCTATCTCAACAGAAGAAACTGGCCTTTGAAATAGACTGAGAGGACAATCCTCCCTATTCCCTTCACGTATGAGATTATTTGTATTTACTAGTTTATCATGCACCCCAAACCATTATCTAGTCAGCAGTCAGAAAATTAAATAGGCACATGATAAGACCCACAACTGAAATGTTCTCAAGTATTCTGTGACAAGTTTCTCTTGATGAAGGGAATTCTTAGAGTGAAAAATCATGAAAAATGGCAGACTTTTATAACTTAAGGAACAATTGTACAATTAAACCATGGTACAGGTGGAGTTAGAACCCATGGTAATCGAGTTATCATGAAACTCCAGGCCAGTGCGTAAGCCACTGGGCCAGCTGGCTACAATAAGATTCATCCCACTAGGTATATTTATACAACATAGGGAGGTTAGCAAGGGCCACCACTGTGGCCATAAATGCAAGGTTTAACAACTGAATCTCCACAACCCTATGAATAACTCGAAAAAAAAAAAAAATCTAAAGAGCATAATAAAGTTAACACAGAAGTCTTCAATAAATGAAAAGTGGATGATGTTCACCTCACCTCTGGTAGTTCTCGTTCAGGTGGCAGAGACTGTGAGCTCTGTGTTGGTGTTGTTGGAGGAGTCAGGTCGAGCTGGTCAGCAGCAGCTATAAGTTTCCCTTGTAGTGTGCTCAGCTCAACACTATGATCACTTGCCTAAAGAAAAATACATACTGCAGTATGATATACAGCCTCTCCTCACTTAATGATGGAGTTTCGTTCCTAAGACAACATCGGTAAACGTCGCTAAGTAAGAAGCATACTATAATGGTAGTGGGTTTGTGTCAACTATCTTTGATATTGTTTAATGTCACCTTTGCACCATTTATAACATTTCTGGTATATTTTTAAATGTTTACACAGTAGTGAACTGTATATTATAATAAATAGAATAGAGGAAATCAGCTTTAATATACATTATTTAGAAATGAGTACTGGTCAGAGAGGCTATCGTAAGTCCGAGGCATCGGTAAATGGGTACATCACTAAGTGAGGAGAGGCTGTATTGTAATATTGTACAAAGTGTGAGGTGAAAAATAGTGAAATGACAAGACATATTATTATATTCATAGTTAAGTGCTAAGCCCATAAGGGTTATGTTTTGTTTTACATTCATGGGGAAACACTAAACTCGTAGGGGTAATACAGGACCTGGGAGAATGGGAGGCAATCAGGTTTGATACAAGGCCAGGGAGGACATGTCAAGTTCCTTAGATCAAGAGTCCTTCACCAGTATCAAGGCACCCCAGTGGAAGATGTGGGATAACACCTTGAAAAATAAACCTATTTTAAGCTATTCAATCCATCAACCTGTTTTCATTTCAGAATATAAACAGTTTTATTACATTTTTTTTTTTTTTTTTTTTTTTTTTCAAAAATCGGCCTCCCCCCACCGGGCAGGGTTTGCCCCAAAAAAGAAAAAAAATCCCAAAAAAAAAATACTTTCATCATCATTAAACACTTTCACCACACTCGCACATTATCACTGTTTTTGCAGAGGTGCTCAGAATACAACAGTCTAGAAGCATAAACATATAAAGATACACAACATATCCCTCCAAACTGCCAATACCCCAAACCCCTCCTTTAAAGTGCAGGCATTGAAACTTCCCATTTCCAGGATCAGTCCGCTAAGAAAATAACCTTTTTCCCTGAATCCCCTTCAAAAATTTACCCGCCACACTCCAAAGATCGCAGGTCCCAAGTACCTTTTCGTCTCCATTCATCCTATCAACACGCTCACCAAAACCTTCGGGAGTCCAACCCCCCTTTCCCACAAAACCTCCTTTACCCCCCCTCCAACCCTTTCGAGGACGCCCCCTACCCCCCCTTTCCCTTTCCCCCTATAATTTTTTGTTTCCATGTCATTCTACTGTGATCCATTCTCTCTAAAATGCCCAAACCACCTCAAAAACCCCCTCTTCTGCCCTTGACTAATACTTTTATTAACTCCACCCCTTTCTCCTAATTTCCACATCCAAATTTTTCGCATAATATTTACACCACACATTGCCCTTAAAAGGACATCTCCGCTGCCCCCAAACCCGTCTCCTCCCCTGCATTTACCACCCAAGCTTCACCCCTATAAGAGTTTTGGTACTACTATACTTTATACATTCCCTTCTTTGCCTCCTAGATAACTTTTTTTTGACCCACATATACCCAACGAACCACTCACCTTTTTTCCCCATAAATTCTAGTTTAACCTCTCCTTCAAAAAACCCACCCGCCGACCGTCAACTCCCCAAGTATCTAAAACTTTCACTTTTTCCTATCCTCCCCCCAATTTGAACCCAAATTTTTTCTTTACTAAATCATTTGACACCCTCATCACCTTACCTTTTTATGTTTCATTTTTCAACTTTCTACCTTTCACACATTCCCAAACTCATCCACTAACCTTGCAATTTTTCTTTAAATCCCCATAAGCACAGTATCATCAGCAAAAAAAACTGTGTCAATTCCCCTTTTTAAATTTTATTCCCCATAATTTTAACCCCCCCTTCCCAAACCCCCTGCATTTACTTCCTTTAAAAACCCCTCTATAATATATTAAACAACCATGGTGACATTACACATCCCTTCTAAGACCTCCCTTTACCGGGGATTGTCCCCCTTCTTCACACACCCTAACCTGAGCCTCCTATCCTCATAAAAACCTTTACAGATTTAAAATTTAACCACCTATTCCATTATTTGCAAATCTGCCAATTGCCCCTTTATCCACTCATCATATCCCTTTTCTAAACCCATAAATGCAAAAAAACTTCCCTATCTTTATCAAATATGTTCACATAAGCTTCAAGTAAAACCTGATCTACACATCCCCTACCCACTAAAAAACCTCCTTGCTCATCCCAATCCTACTTCTGTCTTCCTCTAATTCTTTAATTTAACCCTCCGTACATTTTTCCCCGGGTTTACCATAAGCTTTTTCCTCAAAATTTTTTACAGTCTTTTTTGTCCCCTTTTTTCCTTTATAAAAAGGGATAACATCCTCTCCCAAATCCCTAGGTACCTTCCCCTCTTTCATACATTTTTTAAAACAAAAGTCCCAACCACCCCAACACTAACCCCCCCCTGCTTTTAACATTTCTGTCATGATCCCATCATTCCAGCTGCTTTACCCCCCTTTATTTTACGTAATGCCTCACGTACCTCCCCCCATACATTCCTTTTCTTCACTCCTAAAAGATGGTTACCTCCCACCAGGCATAAATTACTGCCTTGTTTCTTCCTTAACATTTAAAAGTTCCTAAAAATTTTTCCCGCCATCTTCCCAATACCCCTTTCTCCCCATCTACTAACTCCCCTACTCTTTTTTTAAACTGAAAAATCCATATTTCCCTAGGCTTTTTAACTTTTTAAAACTCACCCAAATTTTTTCTTATTTTCTTTAAAAATTTCTTGACAGTGCCTCTCCACTCTACATCTGCCTCCCTTTGCACTCTCTCCCCACTCCCCTTTACCTTTCTTTTACTCTCCATATCTCTGCCTTCTTAAAACCTTTGCTTTGTAAAAACCTCTCAAAAGCTCCTTTTTCTCTTTTATCCCCCCTTTACTTCATCATTCCACCAATCACCCCCTTTTTCCTCCCCCCCCACCCTCCTAAAACCCCAAAAATTTCTGCCCCACATTCTAATATTTTGTTTTTTAAAACTATTCCAACCCTCTTCAACCCCCCCACTACTCATCTTTTGCACTAGCCCACCTTTTCTCCCCAATAGTCGCTTAAAAATCCACCCGAACTTCCTCCTCCCTTAGTTTTTTACACTTTCACCCCCCTTTTACTTGTTGTTGCCACCTTCCCCTTTTCCCATCACCTCTTTCTCTAACTGTAGCACAACAAAAATGCCGTATTCAGTTTCCCCTCTATAAACAGTACACCCGGAGCCTACCCATCAACCTTTTATCCCCCAATAATAATCAATAAACTACTTTTATTACGTGCTACATCATACCTTGTAAAATTTTTTTATCCTCTTTTTTATAAAATATTTTTATTATTACCCAAAATTTTTTTCTACACATAGCTCAATTAAAGGCTCCCCATTTTTCATTTTCCCCCGGGACCCCAAATTTACCTACACCCCCCATAACATTTTACCCACTTTGCATTAAAAACCCCAACCCCCATTACCTCACACTTGATTCAAAAATCCCCAGCATTCACTCAACTTTCCCAAAAACTCTCTCTCTCCTCTAACTTCTCTCTTCTCCAGGTGCATACACGCTTATTATAACCCACTTTTTACATCCAAACTTTATTTTTACTCCACATAATCCTTGAATTAAAAATTTATAGTCCCCCTTTTTTCCGGCCCTAGTTACCCTTTAACAATTTACTTTCCTTCTTTAGCTCTAACTCTATTTTAAACCCCGACCCAAACCCATTTAAATTCCCTCCACTGAAACTCTCCCCCCCCCTTCGCTTTTTTTTTCACTTAAACCAGGGACATCCAGCTTTTTCTCATTCTAAATCACAATCATCCCCTTTTTTTTCATCGCCAAAATCCACGCACATTTAGACTTCCCACTTTGAAAAAAAATTTTCTTCTTCTTATTCTTTTTAGTAATCTTTAAGGAAAAGGGGGTTACAGCCCATGTTTCCCGGCATTTTAGTTTACTTTACAACACGCATGGCTTAGGGGGAAAGATTTTTATTCCACTTCCCCATGGGAAAAAAAAAAAATTAAAAGACCAAGAACATTAAATAAAATCAAAGAAAAACCAAAAGTGTGTATAAATAATGTGTACATGTATTGAGTGTGACCTAAGGGAAGAAAGTAGCAAGACATGCCGTAATCTTGCATATTTTTGAACAGACAAAAGACCCTCAGCAATCCCACCCTCAGTAAAACAATCACAGGCTTCGTTTTACACTCACTTGGCAGGGTGGGAGTACCTCCCTGGGTGGGTTTCTGTCTACCAAAAAATTTTTAAAATTTTTTAAATTGACAATAAAAGTGGTTTATTGAGCCCCGGTTAATCTGTATGATGACACAGCTACAATGATTTAGGGGGTGAATGGGGAATTTTTTCCCTTATAACTTTTCATGAAAATCACGATCAGTAAAAGTTCACATGTAACCAGATAACCTGACAAAAGGGGAATAAACTTATCATAGTTTCAGTCTGACTTGGACCATTAACTATCCACAGAAAAGCTTTGTGTGACTAGGAATGGTCCAAGTCGGGCCGAAAAGTGGCATAAGTTTCGGGTTTTATGTACAGGGTTTTTTTGCTGTTCCATTCACGTATTGTGCTGTTTATTCTCACAAATATTTCCAACAGGGGAAAAAATTTTAAATTGGAAATCCTGGTGAAATTTACATTTTTATAGCCTTCCTTCACCCAAATCACTTTCACATTATTGCAAATGTACAAGGATTTCAAAAACAAGCCAGACAATGAAAACAGTGAATACAGAATGGCAGGAATCAAGGGGCACAGTGGGAAAAAACCAGCTATAGCCTAAGAGTGTCTGCTACTGGAACAACTACCCAAAAAAGATAATTTAAACAGCCAGTTAACTCACTTCGACAATCTGAGTCCATAAACACACCTAGGTTACCAGCAACAGAAAGCTGCACCCACCATCAGAAGCCCTAGTACCTTGGCTACACTGGAAATGACCCACAAAATCATGGTTGTCCTTTTTATTTTTTTTAAAAACTGGTCATCTCCCCCCTGAGGCAGGGTGACTCGAAAAAAAGAAAAACCTTAAACCATACCCCCCCGGATTGAACCCGCGGGCATAGAGTCTCAAAACTCCAGCCCGCGCGCTAGCCACTAGACCCCAGCCACAATAAGAAATTTATCCAACTGGTATGTTTATTTTCAATCGTGTCATTACGATTTCTTAAGTCATGAAGAAAGCCTTATATAGCTTTTCTTCTTTTCACATTTAGTAAAATGGTTGGTATTGCCAGTGGCGCACAGATACAACAGTTCAGATGTCTCTCCAAACAGCAAATATCCCAAAACCCCTCCTTTAGAGTGCAGGCAAGTACTTCCCACCTCCAGGACTTGAATCCGGTTAACCAGATGGTTGGCCTTGTGTGCATCAAATAATAGTACATAATGTACTTGGTCCACTGGTGGAAAATACATAGTATTTAAAAAAACAATTGCTTACCTGTGCAGTCCTAGCAGCATGAATCATGGCCACTAAGAGTTTGGTATAGGTATCATATAGCAAGGAAAGCTGAAAGTGCAACTTGTAAAGGCAGCGACACAAATCAATGTGTTGCTCATCTGCACACAGTTCAGGCAGGCTGTCACCTAGGTTCTGAAGCTTTAATGTTGACTTGATTCCATCTAGGCACTGTCAAAAAGAAAAAAATCACATTTTTGTAAAAGAGCAAGGCACACGCAAAAGAAATGAGCACTGCAGTAGGTCTACTCTATGCTAGGTATGTTCCTCTCTCACCTCACCATTCTCTCTCTCTCTCATATACAGTGGAACCTCAAATATCGAACTTTCTTCAGTCCAGAAGGCTGTTCGAGTGCCTTTACCGAATGAATTTATTGCCATCAGGAATAATGTAAATTAGATTAGTCCATTTCAGACCCTCAAAAATACGCTTATAAAAGCAATTACAAAAATACACTTACATAATTGGTTGTGTTGGGAGCAGTACGATTTTTGAGGTTCCACTGTACATCTTTAATCTATTTTTCTAAGCTGACAAAAGCATTGCTCTCAATGACTCTACAGGAATTCGGTGTTTGGTCCACTCATGAAAACTCTATTGCTAAACAACTCTAATATCAAATAATATGTTCATCTGACTGCAGATAAAAATGCTTCATGTAAGATTATCACCTCAAGTTATGTATCTTTATCCCTAGGTAACTTGATTGAATAAGACTAAGCAAGGTAATAAAGAAAGTTCACAGAAGGCAACTTACTGAAGAAATAATCTGAATTCTGATATAATTTAGTTGGCTTATGCTTATGTCTTCAGGATAGTAAGGTACATATGCATCATTTAACCTTCCTGCACAAATGTAAAAATTTGCATCCTATGATAAAATTAAAATATAAATGAGGAACCATAAGAAAATTACTATTCCTAAATATTAATACTATTTATTATTATTATTATTATTATCACACTGGCCGATTCCCACCAAGGCAGGGTGGCCCGAAAAAGAAAAACTTTCACCATCATTCACTCCATCACTGTCTTGCCAGAAGGGTGCTTTACACTACAGTTTTTAAACTGCAACATTAACACCCCTCCTTCAGAGTGCAGGCACTGTACTTCCCATCTCCAGGACTCAAGTCCGGCCTGCAGGTTTCCCTGAACCCCTTCATAAATGTTACTTTGCTCACACTCCAACAGCACGTCAAGTATTAAAAACCATTTGTCTCCATTCACTCCTATCAAACACGCTCATGCATGCCTGCTGGAAGTTCAAGCCCCTCGCACACAAAACCCTCTTACCCCCTCCCTCCAACCTTTCCTAGGCCGACCCCTACCCCGCCTTCCTTCCACTACAGACTGATACACTCTTGAAGTTACTCTGTTTCGCTCCATTCTCTCTACATGTCCGAACCACCTCAACAACCCTTCCTCAGCCCTCTGGACAACAGTTTTGGTAATCCCGCACCTCCTCCTAACTTCCAAACTACGAATTCTCTGCATTATATTCACACCACACATTGCCCTCAGACATGACATCTCCACTGCCTCCAGACTTCTCCTCGCTGCAACATTCATCGCTCATGCTTCACACCCATATAAGAGCGTTGGTAAAACTATACTCTCATACATTCCCCTCTTTGCCTCCAAGGACAAAGTTCTTTGTCTCCACAGACTCCTAAGTGCATCACTCACCCTTTTCCCCTCATCAGTTCTATGATTCACCTCATCTTTCCTAGACCCATCCGCTGACAAGTCCACTCCCAAATATCTGAATACATTCACCTCCTCCATACTCTCTCCCTCCAACCTGATATCCAATCTTTCATCACCTAATCTTTTTGTTATCCTCATAACCTTACTCTTTCCTGTATTCACTTTTAATTTTCTTCTTTTGCATACCCTACCAAATTCATCCACCAATCTCTGCAGCTTCTCTTCAGAATCTCCCAAGAGCACAGTGTCATCAGCAAAGAGCAACTGTGACAACTCCCACTTTGTGTGTGATTCTTTACCTTTTAACTCCATGCCTCTTGCCAAGACCCTCACATTTACTTCTCTTACTAATATTATTACTACTACTAATAATAACACACCATGGGGAAGTGGAACAGAATTCTTCCTCCGTAAGCCATGTGTTTCATAAGAGGCGACCAAAATGCCGGAAGCAAGGGGCTAGTAACCCCTTCTCCTGTAGAAATTACTACATTTAAAAAGAGAAACTTCAGTTTTTCTTTTTAGGTCACCCTGCCTCGGTGGGATACGGCCGAATTATTGAAAGATGAGAATTAATAAACCTATCTCCTCCCACCTGAAGTCTTTCTGTATCTGGGCCTCTGGTATGAGGGATTTTAATGTTTGTTTAGATTCTTGTGATGGAGGAAAGGGTAGGTAGTGGTAAGAACAGGGGGGATTCAGTTCCCACCACCACCATCATCATCCATTATCATTACCAAAGTTTAATTTGTTTCTAGAGAGAAGAGGGAGACTTGATAATGAGCAATGACTTACCACATTGGCACTTTCTCTTTTATCCAGGTATGTGTCAAGATGTTCGTGTAGAGCTATGAAGGTTGAACGGAATCTCTGAGTTAACTGCGTGACCGACAACAGCGCTGCATCCATGTACACATATGCCAGGGGTGCCAGGCCTCCCACACCCTGCTAAATATATTAAAAGTTTTGTAAATAAAGTAAATAATGAACCGGATCATGCTCAACCTCAAATGCAAATCCATATATAGTGGTACCCAAAGTTTCAAACTTTCTTCGTTCCAGAAGGCTGCTGGAGTGCCATTACTGAACAAATTTGTTCCCATAAGGAATAATGTGAATTAGATTAGCCCGTTCCCGACCCCCAAAATTACACTTACAAAAGCACTTACAATAATACACTTACATAATTGGTCGAGTTGAGAGCAGTTTGAAACTTGGGGTACCACTGTATTAATAGAATTTATTTTAAAATCTAATGAAAAGGCATTACTATAAATTTTGCATGTCAAGTCAAAGTTTCAACCATATAAAATTATAATTTAAACTGCAACTAGTTCATTAATAACTACAATTATGAAGTGTCAAGATAATGTTTCACAGGTTTCAGAGAAGCACAACCACCATGAACATGTGTAAAATAAACCACTCAAACGCTTAGGAATGATGAGATGCATCATTTGCATTTACAAATCTTGTGTGTCTTCTCCTTGTCTATTATGCTGAAGAATATAGAACTACAGGACTGAACTCCTTAACCAAGGAACAAAAAGTCTGATATCAAGATGTAATAAGGATATTCAACAGAGTTTGATAACTTATATTATGGCCACTTCATCAATATTTATTATGACACAAAACAAACTAATATTTCAAGCATGCCAGCTACAATGCAAAACAAATGTGAGAAAATTCTTTTTCCAGAGTAAATAAATAAATGAAGCAGTCTGTCCTAGAACTACTGAACCAAGCAGAATGCATATCAGAATTACTGCCACCCTTCCACCAGTTTTCTCTGGTGGAATATCTATCCAGTCACCAGCTGGTCAAAACTGTGCATAAGATTTTATCTGATGTAAGTTCTTTATTTTTGGTCCCTGTCAAATTTCCTAACCCAAGATTTAACACCTGAATAATTATCAAATAATTTATTAGACGAGAAGAGAGGTTATGGTAGAAACTATTTGTGGGACTGGAAAATTAAATAACCCAGAAGATTCTCTCACCCAAGTACTTCATAATGATGTTTTCAGCCAAACTTATATACCCAGCACTATTTAACATATAATGCCAAACCCTCAGGATGTGACTCACAGTAGCTGGATAATGCCCAGGAACAATTTACTGCTAGGTGAACAGTGGCAATGAGATAAATGAAATATGTCCAATCCATCCCAAGATCAAACCCAAGTCCCCTGGTTGTGAAAAAAATATCATAATGTAGAATGCCCACAGTATCAAGCTTGCAATATTACAGTACAGATCAACCACAGTATGAAGCTTGCAATATTGCAATGTAAAACAACCACAGTATCAAGCTTGCAATGTTACAATGAAGAACAAATTGCAGAAAACACTTCTCCAAGCCTATGCAACAGTCACCAAATACACTCAATATTTTATATGCTCTAGTAAAGGTCAGTGAACTAAACAAAGTAAACTTTTTCAAGCCAAGGCCTTCCAGTCCCAGAGAGCCACCAAGGACAGTGGTCATGACATACAGTGCAGTGTTTTACTGCTCTCTCACTGAAGGCTGCATTTAATGGGGCATGCCCCAAGAGACTGCAGTCTCCCAGTTCGAGACCTTTTGCTTCCTACACTATAATATGCCTGCACCTTTCTGGTCAGGTATTCTGGATCCAGACATACACTGCTCTCCAGTGTCATACCCTTACTCACTCACTCACTCCTTTTGACTTGTTCACCTCATTAACTTATCCACCAGTTTCCTTTTTCTGATAATGTATATTAGGGGCAGCTCTAGATTAGCCCCTCTTGGTGCTGCCACTGCTGTATACAGATCAATATATTATATAAAAAATGTGTACTAGGATGAATCATATATAGAAATTTAGGACATCTGAATGTTTTTATAATACACTGGCTGTCTCCCTACCCAAAACATGAAACATTATAATATAAATTAATAAAAATTTAAGCTGCAATAAATAAGAAGAGTAAAAAAAGATGAGCACAGTGTATGAATACTCACCTCCAAATTCTGAAGAAAGGCAGTGTAGATGTGCAACATTTCTCCACCCTCACTCAGGTACTGGCTGCCCTCACTCACCACCTCCATGAACTTGGCAACGCTCTCCTAAATATAATCCATATCATACAGTTATAAATTACTGTATATCAGTTATGGCTAGAATTATAAAACTGATCATGATATTCCCTCAAAAAAGAATAATAAATATGATAATAGGAAAACAGTGAAGTAAAGAATTGCAATATTATGCAAATTTGTACTGTACTTTTATGTTGTTGTAATGATAAAATTTTTTCCAACAAACCAGCTGTATCCCATCGAGGCAGGGTGACCCAAAAAGAATAACTAAAGTTTCTCTTTTCAACTTTAGTAATGTATACAGGAGAAGGGGTTAATAGCTCCTTGCTCCCGGCATTTTAATTGCCTCTTATGACAAGCATGGCTTACGGAGGAAGAATTTTTCCCCATGGAGAATAAAAATATTAATAATAATTTAATGAAACTCCATGGGAAAGCTGAGAAGAATCTTTCCTCTGTAAGCCATGTGTGTTGTAAGAAGTGACTAACATGTTGGGAGCAAGGGGCTAGTAACCCTTTCTCCTGTATAAATTACTAAATTTTGGAAGAGAAACTTTCGTTTTTCTTTTTAGGTCACCCTGCCTTGGTGGGATATGGCCGGCGTGTTGAATGCACATCACCAGATTTGAACTTTTATCTATGGCAAAGCCTGAATGATATGATGTGCAATCAACAACTAAACCATTGTCTTCCTATATTCGATAAATATTTTCTGCATTAACAAATAATATATGCTATGTATGTGAATTAAATTTGGGTCTGTAACTTACTGAGAACACAGTGTTGAAGAGTTACACATTCTGGTAACTTACAGAGAACACAGTGTTGAAGAGTGTACACATTCTGGTAACTTACAGAGAACACAGTGTTGAAGAGTGTACACGTTCTAGTGGGATGCAAAATGGGCGCATCAGCAGCCATCAGCGACAAAAGGTGCGCACGCCATGTATCTTCCAGATCATTAGGCTGTCGTATAGGGCGAAACAACATGGCAGTAATGCTTGGCGATGCATTACATGGGGTCATATCCCCAAGGTCACCATCACTGCTTTCACTGTGGCTAGAAGAAGCACATTATCGTAAATCAACAGCATACTATTTTTACAGTAATGTTCACAGGAATGAATTCAATATACTGAATGATGCAACAGTACCTGTCTTCAGTATAATACAGTTAAGAATGAAGAAGTCTTCTACACTGCTAGACAGGGACATATTTACATAGGTCAAGGTCCTAAAATACATTAAACATGAAAGGTCTTATAAAATAATATTTAAGATTATTACTTTTATAAAGGTCACCCAACCTTCAGAATGCAGGCGCTGTACTTTCCATCTCCAGGACTCAACTCCAGCTAGTATAAAATAATTTTATCTTGTGTGTATAGAAACATTTGCAAAGATGAAAAAAAAAATTAATACAGTGGACCCTCGGTTAACGATATTTTTTCATTCCAGAAGTATGTTCAGGTGCCAGTACTGACCGAATTTGTTCCCATAAGGAATATTGTGAAGTAGATTAGTCCATTTCAGACCCCCAAACATACACGTACAAACGTACTTACATAAATACACTTACATAATTAGTCGCATTGGGAGGTGATCGTTAAGCGGGGGTCCACTGTACTGCCAAATCTTGTACTAAGAATTCTCTGATTGAGACCAAAATATACAATTTATTTTACTGGTGCTGAATTTCATGTTCAAAAAGCAGTTTACTCTGTACTGATCAGTGTTTTGTAATAACTCTGCGACAAAATTGTTATGAAAAACTCAACAATTGCAATAAAACTGAGAAAATTCTTGTAAATTTATGATAAAATTGTGGCAAAATTGTTACAAGTAATCATGACAAAATTATCATAAAATTAAAACAAAAATGTCACAAGACTAACAGATCCTGACAAAATTTTGATACAACTAAAAAAACTGTGGCATAACTGTGACAAAAATATCATAAAATTATAAATTTCTTTTAAGAAACTGAAAATTTTTGCAACTCTGGTTTTATTTTTTCTGGACACTTAACCCTTTCAGGGTTTTCAACGTACTAGTACGGCTTACGCACCAGGGTATTAACGTATTAGTACGCCTAAATTCTAGCGCCTTCAAATCTAGCGATAGAAAGCTGATAGGCCTACATATGAAAGAATGGGTCTATGTGGTCAGTGTGCACAGTATAAAAAAAATCCTGCAGCACACAGTGTGTAATGAGAAAAAAAATTTTTTGACCGTGTTTTTGGATTAAAACAGCGACTTTGAACTGTATTTTCGTATGGTATTTATTGTTGTATTCTAGTTTTCCTGGTCTCATTTTATAGAATGGAAGACATATTACAGAAATTGAGATGATTTTGACTGGTTTTACAATGAAAAGTACCTTGAAATTGAGCTCTAAGTAGCAGAAATGTTCGATTTTTATCAAAGTTCAAAAGTAAATAAATCATGCCAAGTGTCCAATATACGTCAACTGGTGAGTCTAATATTCTTTCACAAGTGCGCTGATATTATTTATATCATTTCTACACTAATGTAGTAGTCTGCATAACAGTAAATCTTCTATTTTTTCTAAGAATAAAAATTCAAAGTCTAAAGCCAAAGAAATATGAGGGGCCTGGGGACATGATTAACGAACAGAGAACTTGTTATTTTAGTGCCAGGAATGTCCGTCTTTTTTATTCTGGACCCTATTTGGAAATTGGCATCTTCTGAAATTTGTGTGAAATTGGCAAAATTGCCAATTTCTAACCACTTTATTGGATAGTTGAAATTGGTAAATGGGTGGTTTCTTGTACTCATTCGATAGAAAAAATGGAGTTCTAGTACACAGACTAGTACACAGGAATTGGCCAAAAATAGGGCTCAAAAGGGGCGGAATCGCCGATGTGCAAACATTGGCGAGACCACTAACTTCACGAGTGCATAATTCCATAAGTTTTCCCATCAAATTTCATACTTTTGATGTCATTATGATCGGGAAAAGATTCTCTATCATTTCATAAGAAAAAAATAATAATTTTTTTTCGAAAAATTTTCAACCCTGAGAACAAATTTAGGAGAGGGCCTCTCGACCCTGAAAGGGTTAGCTGAATTTTGATATCTTTAACACTATACAGTGCTAAAGGCAATGTATATGGCAATGTTTATTTATTTATTTTTTTTTTTTTCAACAAGTCGGCCGTCTCCCACCAAGACAGGGTGACCCAAAGTGAAAGAAAATCCCCAAAAAGAAAATATTTTCATCATCATTCAACACTTTCACCTCACTCACACATAATCACCGTTTTTGCAGAGGTGACCCATAATACAACAGTTTAGAAGTATATATGTATAAAAATACACAATATATCTCTCCAAACTGCCAATATCCCAAACCCCTCCTTTATATATATGTACATAATAGCTTGTGTTTAGTAAGAAAATCTTTTCTCTCATCTTGTGTTAAGTATATATGTTGGGTCAAAATACCATTTTCTTTATAATATATAAATTCATAACAAATAAAAAGGCACAATACCATGACTGGAACAATAAATAAAAAACATAATAACATCATTATAAGTTTCATTCTCCTGCGTGTGGGTTATTTGTGTATTAGCTGGACTTGAGTCCTGGAGGTGGGAAGTACAGTGAATGCACTCTGAAGGAGGCACGTTGATATGTTGCAGTTTCTTAACTGTAGTGTAGGCATGCCTCTGGCAAGACAATGATTGAGTGAATGATGATGAAAGTGTTTCTCCTTTTTCAGGTCACCCCGCCTTGGTGGGAAACGGCTGATGTGTTGATAAAAACAACTCATTATTAACTTGTGATATGAGACATAAAAGAAATATTCCCTCACTCTGACATGGATGTGGGTGACGCAGGTCTACGTGCAGCTGTGGTGTCAAGGGTGAGCTTGGGTGGCATAGTGGTGCCAGTAGTGGCAGGCTGGGGGTGGCGGGTGTGGGACACTGCTGAGCGCTCACTGGCACCCAGAGTGGGGTCATCCACAGGGGACACCGAGCCCTCTTCCTCCCACCACTCATGGTCAGCAGGGGGAGTGGGTTTTTTACCATGAGCAGCAGTGATCTCAGAGGTGTGTATATCATCCACATGACTAGAAGGGTCCACGTCTCCAAGGTTACTTGGGGATCGTCGACGAACACCCCATAAATTGAAGTTGTCTACGCTTTCCTCCTGCAAATTGGGCCATTACTTACTCAATCAAGAATGAAGAATGACATCAAATTCTTTTAATTCAAATTATCTTTGACAATACAGCATAATCTTTTCAGACTTATGTGATAATTTACTTAATGCAAGATATCATCATAACTGCATTACAGTAGATATTGTTAGAACTAATTTTCAATCTATTCATGAACTGCAGTTACTAACAAAATATTGAAATAGGAGAACGTTATCTCTGTTCTGGTTAGAGAAATTATGAATCAGTTATTATTTTTATAATGACGAAGTTGGTATGTAATCATAATGCTGAGATCTAGCTCAACTTGGTACATAAGAGTATTACTAAACTTTCTGTACCTAATTACAGTAGCTTAAGTTTTTATCCCATATATTATTTTATTTTTATTGACAGAGAATTTTGTCTATTATTAATTTACTGATAAAATATGAATATTTATTAAAATGAATAAGTAAAGTGTAATGAACACTTATCAATACAGTACTCAATAATAACCCTCATGGAGACAGAAAGTCAAGAGATTGATTGATCTGTATATTGCAACCCCTTTCTGGGTTCCTCTTCATTAAAATCTGCAGTTCAGTGATAACACTTACCCCTTGACTTTCCAATTCGTATTCTAAGAAGTCAAAGTCCTTAAATACGGCAAACTGTTTCTCCGAGGAGGTCATGTCATCTGCGGTTCTGTCGTTGGTTGGGTCACAAGGAGCGGCAGAGACCTCCTCTGTGGACGACGCCATGGACGACTGCCTCTCCAGCTCAGAACTTTGGCTGAATATAACCTGGTGTTGGATTAGACATTTGTTAAAAACTAAATGGGTTTAAAAATTTCAGTCTTTATAGTGTAATGTAATGTATTTAGTGGAATACAGTGTTGATCTACTGTCTAGTTGAAAGTGATGTGCAGAAAGTAGAGAAAAAGATTATAGCTAATTGTTTACAAGCACTGTATTGTTATGTTCTATCAAGGATATTCCAGGAGGAGCAGGAGAGTTTAGTGGGGGGGGGGGGGGGTTGCAGAGGTGGCAGGGAAGCTTAACAGAATCAGAATCAAGAAAAAGCTAATATTAAATCATGCAGCAAATAGTCTTTTTTTTTTCTTGAGAGTTTTTCTTGGTATCATATCTATCATCCTAGCAAAAATTATATATTAAAAGCTATTTATTTTAAAAGCTAGCCCTAAAGATTATAAAGTAGCCATTAGCTTCAAAGAAGAAAAACAAAATGGACAAAACTGATTATTTAGCTGCTTTATTGTGGTAATAATGAATAATAATGGTAATAATAGTGCTTTACCTCACAGCAATATTGGAAAATATTATTTGTAAATTGTTTGGAGGGATTCCCTATAAAACCACATCATTTATTTCTTAATAATTCTATATGAATCTAATTATCCATTTCACAAGTACTGATATGATGACAAAATTTTTATACATAAAACATTACCGTATATTTAGAAAAATATTGAATATCTGATTTCAGCACTCTTCTCCCAGACTCCAACAATTGGACATTATATAATTTGAGAGGCAACAAGGGGTGGCTATAAAGGTATTTTATGAAAAATAATGAAATGTAAATCTGTCAGGGAAGTCCACCTGCAAAATAGTCAGAAATCTAATCAATCACTTATAGCATATATCTAGCTGGTAACTCAGAGGGAAGTTTACTAAGATGCCAAAAAAGTGATAATCAATCAAATACAATAAGATTTCATGCCCAGCTGTTGGCTCCAGTTCATCATCCTGCAATCATACTTAATTACCACATTACTATAAGAAGAAATAAATGATCTTACATAATATTATATTAAAAAAATGCCAAGTGTTGGTTGCCTTCTTCCATACACGTCAAAAAAAAAATTGCAAAGTGCTGGCTGCCCTCTTCAATACTGCGCAAAAAGCACGAGGATTAGAACTATCAAGAACCATTATTTGCGAAGAAGAATTACAAGCAAACAATAGCAAACAGCAAAGCATTGGCAAACAAATATCTGATACACAATAATACAAAGTTCCTTGGATGTTAGGTGAGAATTTTTGAAAAATGAAAAAATTCCAAAATAAAATTCTCAAATACAATACCTCACTGAGTGCATGCAAATTACATCACAAGGGATATTTAATTTAATATTCATAAAGATTCACACTAATGATCTATATATATTGTCCATAGGTATCTTACCATAGGAATATGAATATTTTATACAATGCCCATACAGTTATAACAACAGATTTAAATATCACAAAAGATTAGCTACTTCAACACTTTTCTTATGTGTAAATAGCATAACAAACTTTAAAGAACAACGAGGCCCAATACCATGGCTGGAACAATATACAAATAACCTGCAGATAGGAGAGAAAAGCCTATGACGATGTTCCGGACTAACTTTAACCTTTTACAGTCACACTGTGTGACAGTGTGACTTTGTAAATGGTCAAAGTCAGACCAAAATGTAATCGTAAGCTTCTCTCTCCTATGTGTGGATTATTTGTACATAAACTATTTTCTAGGTAGTAGGTTGGTAGACAGCAGCCGCCCGCCCAGGGAGGTACTACCGTCCTGCCAAATGAGTGTAAAACGAAAGCCTGTAATTGTTTTACATGATGGTAGGATTGCTGGTGTTCTTTTTTCTGTATCACAAACGTGTAAGATTTCAGGTACGTCTTGCTACTTCTACTTACACTTAGGTCACACTACACATACATGTACAAGCATGTATATATACACCCCTCTGGGTTTTCTACTATTTTCTTTCTAGTGCTTGTTCTTGTTTATTTCCTCTTATCTCCATGGGGAAGTGGAACAGAATTCTTCCTCCATAAGCCATGTGTGTTGTAAGAGGCGACTAAAATGCTGGGAGCAAGGGGCTAGTAACCCCTTCTCTTGTATAAATTACTAAATTTAAAAACAGAAACTTTTGTTTTTCTTTTTGGGCCACCCCGCCTTGGTGGGATACAGCCGGTTTGTTGAAAAAAAAAAAAAAAAAAAATGTTTCTTCCCATAAGGAATGATGTAAATTAGATTAATCCGCTTCAGACCCTCAAAAATACACTTAAAAAAGCACTTACATGAATACACTTACATAACTATTCGAGTTTTGAGCTGTTTGTATACTGAGGTACCGCTGTACAGTGGACCCCCGGTTAACGATTTTAATCCGTGCAAGAGGGCTCATCGTTATGCGAAATAATCGTTATGCGAATGAATTTTCCCCATAAGAAATAATGGAAATCAAATTAATCCGTGCAAGACGCCCAAAAGTATGAAAAAATTTTTTTTTTACCACATGAAATGTTAATTTTAATACACACAAACTGAAAAAGGCATGCACAATTAAATGACACTTACTTTTATTGAAGATCTGGTGATGATTGATGGGATGGGAGGAGGGGAGAGCATTATCTTCTTACTGTTTAGAAGGGGAATCCCCTTCCATTACGACTTGAGGTAGCAAGTCCTTTTCCGGGGTTACTTCTCTTCTTCTTTTAATGCCACTAGGACCAGCTTGAGAGTCACTGGACCTCTGTCGCACAACAAATCTGTCCATAGAGCTCTGTACCTCCCGTTCCTTTACGATTTGTCTAAAATGGGCCACAACATTGTCATTGAAATAGTCACCAGCACGGCTTGCAACAGCTGTGTCAGGGTGATTTTCATCTATAAAGGTTTGCAGTTCAACCCACTGTGCACACATTTCCTTAATCTTTGAAGTAGGCACAATGGATTCCACAACTGGCATAGGCTTCTCAGGGTTAGCCCCAAACCCTTCAAAATCTTTCTTAATTTCCATACTAATTCTCACCCTTTTTACCACAGGGTTGGCACTAGAAGCTTTCTTGGGGCCCATGGTCACTTATTTTCCAGAAACAGCACCGAAAACACTGTAATAATACGAAATATTCCGAGTGTATGCTTGGATGTTACCGCGGAGGCTGGCTGGTAAACAATGGGACGGCCGGCACATGTGAGGCTGGCTGAGGGCACATTGGACGCGTCTCAGACGAAAATCGGTAAGCGGGTTTTTAATCGGTATGCGCGGCAAAAATTTTGCGATAAAAGTAATCGGTATGCGGAAAAATCGCTATGTGATGCCATCGTTATGCGGGGGTCCACTGTATTTGAAAATAAATTTCCAATTTAATGTGTCAGACAGAGCTACTGGGGAAGTCAAAAAGAAAATTAATTTATTATTAACTCTAGTAGATATCTTTACTTTTATTTTATTGACCTACAAATTAAACTTCAACTACATTTCATTATGAATATCAGCATGACAATGACAAAACATCAACATCGAACAAATGACAAAATGACCACGAGATGAAACTCAATTTCATTAGAATTATAAACAGTGTGAGGTTAAAAAAAAAAAAAAAAAAAAAGAGTTACATGTATGGCACAAGTTAAGAGAGAGTTAACAGATGCTGCCAACTGAACAATACTTTCTGAAAATATAAAGGCACATGAAAAAATAAATTTCTGTTGAGAATAATGCAATACAAGTCCTAGAAGAAAAACAACTGCATGGGCATTAAATAATGTAGTTGTACAATATTAGATCATTAGCGTTAATCACACTGCCCTAGATAACAAAGACATCAGAAATTTCACTTCATTTCTAAATAGAATATATATATTAATGATGAGACTTTAGTTTTACTTTGGAATCTTTTTCCATATTCCTATATTTATCCATGATGGATAAAACAGAGTTACCTTGTTGATGTTGCCATCCTGCTGCACACCATTACCAGAACAACCAAGTTCATGAAACAGAGACACGAGAGACAAAGGTTAATTTTAAAGCCATGCCATTCCCAGAAAGACTTTCTTATTATACAGAAGGGAAAGGGACACTGTGAATCAGAGGACTCTGACTGTATTTAAAAGAACACAAAGGCACAATACTGTGACTGGAACAATACACAAATACCCTTAACAAGTTTCTTTCTCCTATGTGTGGGTTATTTGTACTCTGTATTTATAATAAATATTAAAATGAGGTATCAAAAATAAGAGATCAGAGAGATTATTTAAATTTAATATATTGCATAGTATTAAAACCAGCAATATTTAATCAATTTAAGAGAAAATTAAGTCATAAAGTCATCTGATTCAGTTATTCCACAAAAGCTACATTAAAAAAATGAGGCTGCTATATAAGGCTCATTTTACTAGTCTAAAAACTGAAATATTCAGTTTACCCAATCATGCTACACTGCAATGTACTTCAGCACCAGCTCTCTATACTACATCTCAGTGCCAGAGAAAATATTCTGAGAAAAGCTCACTTGGATCAAAACTGAGTTAGTTCCAGTCTTCAGCTGTTGTATAACCACTAAGTGTGGCTCTCCATGAGTATACAGTAATAATGATTATCAAAATGAATACAAAGGAACAATACCATGAATGGAACAATACACAAATAACCAGCACACAGGAGAAAGAAATTTATGACGATGTTTTGGTCGAACTTTGACCATTAACTAGCCACACTGAAGCGCAAAGGGAAGGAAGCCAGTATATATACGAGAGGGGATTCAACTTGGACAGAAACGTCGTCATAAGCTTCTTTCTCCTGTGTGCGGGTTATCTGGATAATAAAAAAATGGTAGGCCAGGTTTGTACTGAGAGCTGATTCAGAATGTTGAACATTTGCATGCCTAGAATGTTACCATAGAATATGTCATCATAAGAAGGAATTTCTGGAAAATGCAGACCATTACCACCTTGGGTTGACAAAACGCAGACAAATATAACAATGTATCACATTTCTCACAAAGAATCTATATTACAGTACCACTGACATTTACGTATAAAGATGCAAAAGCCGGCTTTAAGATTATCATCGAGTATTTTAGAAGATATGTATTTAATAAAAAAATCTGATGTCATGTAAGGCTGATTTAATTGGTAAAGATAAGAATTTAATTAAGATAGCTTTTATTCTTGTTCACTACCACACACACAAGTACAAAATGCTAAGTAAAATTGTACACTAGTGTATTTGAGAAAATTAAAGAGACTGTATCTAATTTTGGTTGAAGTGTCTTGCTTCTTCAGGTATCAGTAATAGTAACCAAGTCTGTTTGTATTACTCATTATCAGTTCCAGATCACTGCTATACTGTATTGTGGGATATACGTATATATAATAATCTAATTAAAACGTGACTTAGGAGTATAAACTGCCATCATAAACTGCTGTATACAAAATACATCACATAAATGAAATGTGAGAGATTATACAATGTAATTGATGTGAAAGGAATTCAAACCAAGACATCAAAAATTAAGAAGAAAAAATGCTGCCAAATGCAACTAGCAAGAAAGGCCACATTACTAAACTCTGAAATGTAACAAACTGAGAATGATATATTTCTCTTCTTTAGTCAAGTTAGTACACCAGAGCTTGTGAAGGTGACACATTCTTTGGGGCAAGTGTTGAGTTAACCATATACTATATAGCTCTTGCAAGACACATTGCCTGCAACACACGCACACACACACACACAAAGCCTGCCATGCTATTTACTAATATAGAGAAAGTTTGTAATCTACCTACTTTATGAGTCTCATGCTGAGTTAGTACAGATACCCATACAGCCTGAAACAATTAAGAACTTAACATGCAATTCTGGAACTTTGTTTCCTTGAATACAATAATACCACAATCATAGATACAGACCAGGTTAAGCAGATTTCCAATTATTCAGAATATCAGACACCAATATACAATATAAAGCACTATATACATAAGCAATGGTATTAGAAAAAATACTTATACAGTGATATCTCTCTTGTTCATCACTATATTATCTGAAAGCCATCTAAATTTGGAAAATAAATATAAACATCATTTTCCAACTTTTGAATAATTTTTCAAATAAAGAACGAAAATTCCAAATTTTGATTCAGAAAAAATCTCTTTACTGAATTTTTTTCCAAATACAAAAGAGGTTAATAAGTTCTAACTTTTGGATCTTTCTGCAATTTGAACACCCTGGCATAAGAAAAATATGACTGCATACAGCATATGACAAGACCTAATGCTCTGGACAATTTAGAATCTGTCTAACCCAATTTTTAGATGATTGAGGTATTGACATAATCTGTGAATGTTATAATTGCATGTACTGCTTAGGAATCATGTATTTTATGTTCATATATATAATTAATGCATGTAATATGTAAGTATTTTTATACACAGTACAAGTATACACGACTGCACAAATTGCATGTTATTATTCTTACTCTACAGTAAAACTTACAAGGAAGAAGTCACACTATCAGAGAAAAGAATTTGAGTTCATGTTACCCTGTTAATGTACAAAGAATATATAAAATTAATCAAGAATTATTGTATGTAATCCCTGTCTTTTCTCACCCACACATACAGCCAAGTGGATGTACACAATTCAGAAAATTACAAATAAATAATTGTATACACACAAGCACATACATACATAAAACCAGTTCTTAAATCAGTACAATATGCTAAATACCAGAAAGGAGCCTATATCTAGCAAAGCACATAACAAAGTCTATTCTTTAACAAGTCGGCCGTCTCCCACCAAGGCAGGGTGACTTCCCAAAAAAGAAACACTTTTATTATCATTCAGTCTATTAGTGTCTTGTCAGAGAAGTGCTGACATTACAGCTCATTTACTCCTCCAAACTTAAATATCCCCACCCCTCCTTTATAATGCTTCACTGTACTGTACTTCCCATTATAACAAAGTCCTGTGAAGTAGAAATGGTTTACCACCAGACTGGCAAGGCAACAGAAGGCTTCAGAGAAATAATCGAAAGCTCCACTGAGTGGATCATCATATGTTTGAGATCTACATTAGGAGAAGTTTTCTATTTCTTCTTACAAACAAAAATGCCACCATCACCACCAAACTAGGTACCAAAACAAAAATAAAAAGATACAAGGAAAGGTCACATAAACCAGCCCTCACGACTTCATAGCGATGTACGTGACTGGGTTAGGGTAGAATGTCTGCCCCGCCTTCCTGAGTGAATCCAGGATAAGAGGGGCCATATAAGCCAAGGAGATGTTAGCAAGCAACCTTTGCATCATTAATATACATTTAACAAGTGGAACAAATTAGGGAGCAATGTAGACTAATCTGAATAATCTGAATCTGAACACTCTTTTACAAGCAAATTTGAGGGAACTAGATTAAGGTATCTGACAAATTTAAGAGATAGACCCAGCAGCTGGAGTTCAACACTTGCAGAATTAAAAAAAAATATGCAAAATAACAAACAAAAACTGACTACAAATTCCTACAGGAAACTTTTGATAAATTGGACAAGTGGAGCGATAACTTGATGATGGAATTTCATGTTGAAGAGCCTCAGGAAAAGGAAATGTAGGAAAGTACAAATAGTCTTCACATGACCTATAACGTCATAATATCTTATGAATATCTAAGACAGAAAAAGATCTTGGGGTGAAAGCAACAAACAACAGATTATCAACAAAAGGACAGAAGATTGCATACATGCAGTACTGAGAGATTCTTGCAATGTTTAACAAACTGATAGTTTTCAACTAAAGGAATAATGAAGACTAAACCTAAACTATAAAATGCAATTTTAATCTAATTGCCGGCAACTACAAAGGTGCGGCCAAAACATGAGTAACTGAAGGTGTACAAAAAATAATATTTAAAAAAAAAAAAAAAAAAAAAAAATTAAGATGTCATTGTTGGGAGAAGGTAGAAAATGATCCATATTTTTCACTTGTCAATTTATAAAAAAAATGCAAAATGTGAAAGAAAAGTTTTTTCTTTTTTGGAACTAATGTAGAAAATGCAAGAGAAAGAACTACATCTCTTTATATAAAAATGGTAGATAACTAGGATATGTGCAAATAATTGGAGAGAGAATACTCCAAGTACAACTATACTCATTTTTTTTTTTTTCAACAAGTCGGCCGTCTCCCACCGAGGCAGGGTAACCCAAAAAAGAAAGAAAATCCCCAAAAAGAAAACACTTTCATCATCATTCAACACTTTCACCACACTCACACATTATCACTGTTTTTGCAGAGGTGCTCAGAACACAACAGTTTAGAAGCATATACATATAAAGATACACAACATATCCCTCCAAACTGCCAATATCCCAAACCCCTCCTTTAAAGTGCAGGCATTGTACTTCCCATTTCCAGGACTCAAGTCCGACTATATGAAAATAACCGGTTTCCCTGAATCCCTTCACTAAATATTACCCTGCTCACACTCCAACGGATCGTCAGGTCCCAAGTATCATTCGTCTCCATTCACTCCTATCTAACACGCTCATGCACGATTGCTGGAAGTCCAAGCCCCTTGCCCACAAAACCTCCTTTACCCCCTCTTTCCAACCCTTTTGAGGACGACCCCTACCCCTCCTTCCTTCCCCTATAGATTTATATGCTTTCCATGTCATTCTACTTTGATCCATTCTCTCTAAATGACCAAACCACCTCAACAACCCCTATACTCATATAAGTACAAATACAAGAGGGCCCCACATATACAGCAGGGCCCTGCATATACAGCACCTACATTCGGTGTTCCACATTTTCATTGACTTTCAAGTGAGCCAATGTTACACCCACTGGTGACAATCGTTGACAGGTGGAACATAATGAACAATGGCTCAATACGAAGCCAACGAAAACGTGGAACACTGAAGACGGTGCTGTACATGCAGGACCGTTCTCTATATAATAACCAACTGCTAATAATACATAATTTACCCCAAATCCCAGTTCTTGCTAAACGAAACAAACAAATATATCCAGATTTTTATAATTAAGTCTGTAATGGAAGATATTCACAGAACAATGAAGACAAGACAGAGGTTTAAGAAACAAGTACAGGAATTAGACAACCATCAAATAAACGTGAACACAAACTAAGCATAAATGTGATAAAACACTGCATAAATAAAAAAAAGTAGTCAACAAGGGAAAAGAATTGAGTGTTAAGGCTAACAAGCTAAGAAATAAGAAATAGAAGATAAAACAACTTAATGTTTATGAAGAATGAAAGTGAAATGAAATCACCACAAAATATAACCTGTGATACAAGAAGCCTCCATTTTGTAAATGATTTGTGTCTCTGGTGTTTTAACTTGCAAATGAGTTGTCTCTCTGGTGTTTCAACTTGCAAATGAGTTGTCTCTCTGGTGTTTCAACTTGCAAATGAGTTGTCTCTCTGGTGTTTCAACTTGCAAATGAGTTGTGTCTCTGGTGTTTTAACTTGCAAATGAGTTGTGTCTCTGGTGTTTCAACTTGCAAATGAGTTGTCTCTCTGGTGTTTCAACTCACAAATGAGTTGTATCTCTGGTGTTTCAAGTTGCAAATGAGTTGTGTCTCTGGTGTTTTAACTTGCAAATGAGTTGTGTCTCTGATGTTTCAAGTTGCAAATGAGTTGTCTCTCTGGTGTTTTAACTTGCAAATGAGTTGTGTCTCTGGTGTTTCAACTTGCAAATGAGTTGTCTCTCTGGTGTTTCAACTCGCAAATGAGTTGTATCTCTGGTGTTTCAAGTTGCAAATGAGTTGTGTCTCTGGTGTTTTAACTTGCAAATGAGTTGTGTCTCTGGTGTTTCAACTTGCAAATGAGTTGTCTCTCTGGTGATTCAACTTGCAAATGAGTTGTCTCTCTGGTGTTTCAACTTGCAAATGAGTTGTCTCTCTGGTGTTTCAACTTGCAAATGATTTATCCTGGGTTTCAACTTGCAAAGGGGAGTTGTATCTTGGTGTTTAAATGAAAGGGTTTTTGTATCTCTGGTGTTTCAACTTGCAAAGGGTTTGTATCTCGGTGTTTCAACTCGAAAAGAGTTGTATCTCGGGGTTTTTCAAGTTGCAAATGGTTGTGTTTTGTTGTTTTAACTTGCAAATAGTTGTGTCTCTGGTGTTTCTCTTGCAAATGATTGTCTCTTGGGTGATTCAATTGCAAATGAGTTGTGTCTTGGTGTTTTAACTTGCAAATGGTTGTGTTCTGGTGTTTTTTTTGCAAATGAGTTGTGCGGGGGTTTTTTAAACTTGCAAATGAGTTGGCTTTTTTTTTTTAACTTGCAAATAGTTTGTTTGGTGTTTTAATTTGCAAATGAGTTTGTCTCTGGTGTTTAACTTGCAAATGATTTGTCTCCGGGTGATTAAACTTCAAATGAGTTGTGTTTGGTTTTTAAAATTTGCAATGGGTTGTGTTCTGGTGTTTTAATTTGCAAATGAGTTGGTTTTCGGGTTTTTCAATTTGAAAATGAGTTGTGTCTTTGGTTTTTTTAACTTGCAAATGATTTGGTTTTGGGTTTTGTTTTTTAACTTGCAAAGATTTGTGTCTTTGGTGTTTTTAACTTGAAAATGAGTGTGCCCTGGTTTTTTTAAATTGAAAAGGTTGTGCTCTGGAGTTTTGGCTTGTGAATGAGTTGTGTCTTTGGTATTTTAACTTGCAAATGAGTTGTCTCTCTGGTGTTTTAACTTGCAAATGAGTTGTGTCTTTGGTGTTTTAACTTGCAAATAAGTTGTGTCCGTGGTGTTTTAACTTGAAAATGAGTTGTGTCTCTGGTGTTTTAACTTGCAAATGAGTTATGTCTTTAGTGTTTTAACTTGCAAATGAGTTGCTTGCACAGAAAACACAGGTAAAAAAGGATGTTTATATTTAGCATGTTTGTACTGCAGCACAGCAGTTGTCAAACTTTAACTGGTTCCTAAGTGATGAATTAGTAAGTGACATGTTTGTAAATTGGCATTTGTAAAATGGGATTTGTAACGTGGTGTTAGTAATGTGGGATTTTGTAATGGGGATGTGTGAAAATGTGAGATGTTTGTAACGGGGATGTTAGTAACGGGATGTTAAAAATAGGTTTTTTGAAATGGGATGTTTTAATTGTGATGTTTGTAACTGGGATGTTAGAAAAGTGGGATGTTAGAAATGGGTTTTGTAATGTGGGATGCTTTTTAACATGGGTGTTTGTATGGGGGATATTGTGTGGGTGTTTGTAATGGGGGATGTTTGAAACAGGGGATTTTTTGAAACAGGGATGTTTGTAATGTGGGATTTTTTGTAATGGGGATGTTGTAACAGGGGATGTTTGAATGGGGGATTTTTGAAATGGGGGATGTTGTAACAGGGGATTTTTTTTGTAAATGGAGATGTTTTTAAAGGGATGTTTGTAATGTGGGATGTTTGTAATGTGGATGTTTGTAATGTGGGATGCTTGTAACATGGGATGTTTGTAATGTGGGATGCTTGTAACATGGGATGTTTGTAATGTGGGATGTTTGTAACATGGGATGTTTGTAATGTGGGATGCTTGTAACATGGGATGTTTGTAATGTGGGATGCTTGTAACATGGATGTTTGAAATTGAGATGTTTGTAACATGGGATGTTTGTAATGTGGGATGTTTGTAATGTGGGATGCTTGTAACATGGGATGTTTGTAATGTGGGATGTTTGTAATGTGGGATGTTTGTAATGTGGGATGCTTGTAACATGGGAGGGTTGTAATGTGGGATGTTTGTAACATGGGATGTTGTAATGTGGGATGTTTGTAATGTGGGATGTTTGTAATGTGGGATGCTTGTAACATGGGATGTTTGTAATGTGGGATGTTTGTAACATGGGATGTTTGTAATGTGGGATGTTTGTAATGTGGGATGTTTGTAATGTGGGATGCTTGTAACATGGGATGTTTGTAATGTGGGATGTTTGTAACATGGGATGTTTGTAATGTGGGATGTTTGTAATGTGGGATGTTTGTAATGTGGGATGTTTGTAACATGGGATGTTTGTAATGTGGGATGTTTGTAACATGGGATGTTTGTAATGTGGGATGTTTGTAACATGGGATGTTTGTAATGTGGGATGTTTGTAACATGGGATGTTTGTAATGTGGGATGTTTGTAATGTGGGATGTTTGTAATGTGGGACGTCTGAAGGAAGAAAGAAGGAAGCACTCAAGTAGTGTATTCATAAAGAAATTTTAAGACAAATTTGCAATATATGTTAGACTCAAATTGGAAAATGCGGTCCTAATATGACATCCACTCCAAAAAATGTCCAAAGACACTTAATATTATGGATTCCACATGTAAGAAATATAAAAACTGAAGGAACTGGATATAACCACATACAAATAAGTAAAACAATACTAAGAAACAGACAGAGAAGGCTATTCAAAATCATGAATTGAGAGAATGACGAGGACATAATTTATAATTATGGAAAGAGATTGGGTCAAGAGACAATGTGAAATATATTACATCCTCACGAATAGAAGGATAGGTAGTTGGACTGATCTGCTGGAGAAGAAAGTATACAATACAACCACTGGAAACTTTAGAAGTACAGTGGACCCCCGCATAACGATTACCTCCGAATGCGACCAATTATGTAAGTGTATTTATGTAAGTGCGTTTGTACGTGTATGTTTGGGGGTCTGAAATGGACTAATCTACTTCACAATATTTCTTATGGGAACAAATTCGGTCAGTACTGGCACCTGAACATACTTCTGGACTGAAAAAATATCGTTAACCGGGGGTCCACTGTATTAATGATAATTGAATTAACCAAAATGGGGCACCACAAGCATAATTATACTTCTGTAACTGCAAAGAAGAAGGGTAATCAATGTTGATATGTGCACACCTCACATACATACATGCACACACACATGATAATCACAATTTCAGTCAAAATTTGATGCAAGATAATGAATGATGGAATGTGATCCTGTAGCAGCTTATTGAGGAATACTAAATAAACAATGAAAACATGACACCTAAATTCAAAGGCCAAAAAAAAAAAAAACTCAAAAATCTATTTATAACACTGGCTTGACTTTTTTCTTTGATACCTAACTCTATGAGGATCATATCAAACAATACAGGATATGATTAATATGATTAGTGGTTTATTGATTAACTGTACATCTTTTCATTGATTTTAAAAGTTTGAATTATTTTTTAAGAAAGTATTTTAGCCAAAGCATTAATGATGATTTGTGTATGTACAAACTGCCTCATTTTTTATAATTAATTAAGTGTACAAGGCAAATCTAATGTGCACTGTTTGTTTATAACAATTATATACGAGTATTTTGTCTACTTGGCTTGTAATGGCTTATTCTACAAGGTTGAGATCTAGTGACCAACTTTCTGCATGAAGCATTACTTTCAACTTAACTACTTGTTTGAAAAATAAATCAATACAACTAAGTATTCATTAATCTTCAGATGTTATGATATATAACAATCATATTACCACCAGTGGCTTTTACCAACGTCAATAAAACCCAAAATTAACTACTAATATTCAAAATTCTTGTTATCAGAACCAAAGAACAGCACTTCCTAACTCGATAAAAAATCAAAACAAAATTATTTTTCCATTCTGCTACATATTTTTTATAAACGTATTTTACTCATGAAAAACAACCAGTAATTCAAATACTGAATCATGGCTCCCGCTCATCACTTCTCTCAAGCTCTTCCTATGTGAAGAATTAATTTGTTAGAGACCATGAAACAACATAGTTAGGAATGTCGATAAATGGCTCAGAGAACTGACAGGTTGATGAATTAGACACTCGTGAAACACTTGGATATCTTCATTGTGGAAATGCTTTGCCAACCAGTGGCTTCCTCAGTCCAATACAGAGAACAATAGTTGAAGATGAGGAGTTTGAGGTAATCAGTCCCTCAGATGAAGGACTGATTACCTCAAACTCCTTCCGATTTTCAACCATTCTTCTCTGTACTGGACTGAGGAAGCTGCTGGTTGGCAAAACATTTCCACAATAAAGATACCCAAGCGTTGCACAAGTGTCTAATTCAACAACACTGTCAGGACACTTAAGAATAATGAGGCAAAAAAAAAAGTCAATGGAATCTGTACAATGCAGTATATCTACCACAAACAAGACACTTGGCCTTAACAACAATAAAGGATGACTGAATATGATGATGAAGCATATTTATCTAGCAAATATGAGTCTACAATTTTTTTTTAAGATAAACTACAGTAACTGCTGAACAGTCTAGTAACTTGCATATTCTTATGATCCTAATGCCATACAGCTTGCAGTAGATCTATTTGTTTATAAGTGGCTGAAATTATGAAGAGCTATCAGACTTGAGGAGGGTAAATAAAGCTTTTTAAGGCTATTATGCTATTTAAACCTAACATTACCTTTTATTTCATGATGATCCAAAATCTCCTCAAAATTTACTACTTTAAGAGTGGAAAACTATCTTCACTGACTTATCTTGAACTGAAATTCTATTTTAATATATGGATCTATTTCTTGGGTAGACTTCTCAATACCATACTAAACATTCCAGCTAATAACAACTATGTGGTCTGATGTGAAATCAGGCACCTATAATCCAATGTTTCTTGATTTAGGAATACATACCGAAGGAGACTTTGGTAGCCCCACTCTCTGACCACAGGTGTTAAGGAGATTTACCAAACACTCTCGTGCACGGGCCTGCAAGAAAGGAGAAAGTGAATGGGAATGAATAGGAAAGATGGTACAGTACAGAACTTCGAAAAACATTCTAATGATTGGCAGGAACATGCAGATTTTGTGACCAATCCCCATCAATTTGATGAGACTCATGGTAGAATCCTGCCTCACTGTACCCTTGGCAACAATGACAGTCAACTCATTTCCTTTCATTTTGTGTTTTAACACAACAGCCATCTCCCACCAAGGCAGGGTGACCCAAAAACAAAAGTAAAATTTTCTTCTTTTTACATTTAGTAATTTGTACAGAAGAAGTTACTAGCCCCTTGCTCCCTGGATTTTAGTTGCCTCTTACGACACACATGGCTTATGAAGGAAGGCTTCTTCTCCACTTCCCCATGGAGTCTAATGAAGTATCTAACTTTATTTACACCAAAAATTAAAGAAGAAAAGTTTCTAAAAGAATATCATTGAGATACCATATAAAGACCACTTTCCTGTTAACTTCATCAGTGTAGCACCATAAAAGAACTTACATAACCAGCTGATACATAAATTACATTGTAATACTCTACCCCTATATCACGTAAACATTTTTCTACACTAAGTGCAAAGTGATACCTTACAATCCTTGTAATTATTTACTGTAGTATCTATGCAACTCTTGCAAGACAATGATAGTGAAAGTGTTTCTTTTTGTGTCACCCTACCTCAGTGGGAGACAGCCAGAGTTAAAAAAAAAAAATTGCTGGAAAACACTTAGTCACTGAGCACCTGGGGAATGGAAGGTAATCGAGTGTGACTTGAGGGAGGGATAGGTAGGTCCAATTCCCTGGATCAACAGCCATTCACTGGCATCAAGACACCCATCTGAAGGTTAACTATCTAATAATATTCAACAATGTAGTGCCTACTACAGATAGCTATCTCATGAAGCTCCTCAGCAGAGTGAAATTTTTTGTCAATGTGATTGAAAAAGTGCACAGAAAATTGAACAGCATGTGGAAAAGTCTTTATAGTATGTGCCATTCAATTTTGGATGAACCTTTCCAATTGAACTTGCAAAAAAGTGCACTGTATAGAATAGCTTTATACAAGAGCTGACTGTACAGAGAGAGTTTTACCATATCATCGACTTGAAAATTCTAATATCTTCTTGGAAGTATTTCCCTTCCTCTCTCTATCTCATACAGCAATGATTCTAATACAACACTTCAAGTACTTTTTTTTTAAACACGTCGGCTGTCTCCCACTGAGGCAGGGTGACCCAAAAAAGAAACACTTTCACCATCATTCACTCTATCACTGTTGTGGCAGAGGCACATAAACACCACAGTTCAAATGCTCCTCCAAACTGCAATTTTTGTTTTTTAACATGCTGGCTGTCTCCCACTGGGGCAGGGTGACCCAAAAAAGAAAGAAACACTTGCACCATCATTCACACATAATCATTGTCTTTGCAGAGGCATCCAGACATGAAAGTTTAGATGTCACTCCAAACAGCCAGTATCCCAAATGCCTCCTTTAAAGTGCAGGCACTGTACTTCCCACCTCCAGGACTCAAGTCCAGCAAACCAGTTTCCCTGAATCCCTTCACAAAATATTACCCTGCTCTTTTCAATATTAAATTTCCCAGGTCATTCACAGCATTTATTGGCATTATGCACTTAAGTGTATAATCTACCAACCTTCCCTAATAGTAAATAACCTCTGTTGTACTATAATGAAGAGCCTAACATTTACATTTACTTTTAAGTTAGAGCACACTGAGAATAATTTATTAACATGAGGTGGGTAAAATAAATTTTATTGCCAGGTCAACGGCAAAAGTCTTCAAAATGAAACTGGACAAGTTACTGAAGGATGTACTGAATCAGCAGTATTTCTGAGGGATGCAGGCAGTCACTCGGAAAGCCAAATTTTAAAAATAGTCACAAGCATGATATGCTGAGCTGTTGGCATTGGCCATTGAAGAAATTTGAGCAGTTTGAAATATCTCTTGGACCTGCAACATGTTTCCTTGAGGATTTGCAGCATGTTTCCTTGAGAATTTGCAGTATGTTTTCTTGAGGATTTGTAACATAAATGCTTGTTACAACTGTTTTTTAACACACCAGCCATCTCCCACTGAGGAAAAGTGACCCCAAAAAACTAAGGAAAAACATTCACCATCATTCACTCAATCACTGTATTACTGGAAGCATGCTCACAACACAGTTGAGATGGCCCTCCGAACTGCAACATCTTCACACCTTCAGAGTGCACTATTTTAATGTTTTTACTGAGTTATTATTTATAATTTATAGATCTTCCAAAAATGTTGTTAATGCAGATTTAAGGCAAGGAATAGATGATATTCTAAATGGTAAATATTCAGACTCCACTGGGTGGGTGGTTAATGAAGTTGTGAAGCTATTCTTACTCATTCTATCACCTTTCTCACTAGTGCACTCTCACTTATACCCTCTCACCTATGCCCTCTCATCTGTACCTTCTCATTTGTGCCCTCTCATTTACACCCTCTCAGGTTCATTTTCAAGAACAACTGTCATGCTGTACAAGAGGTAACTTGTACATAAATTATCAAATGTATCATAATTTTAAATCTATTCATTCTTACTGGAAATTAATGCTAAAACTAAAATAGAAATGAAACTACATTAGAGAACAAGGATAAAGTAACTCTGTACCTGAGACAACCAGGGCCGCTTCCAGCCAGCAAGGTGACTGGTGTCAGCGGTGGAGAGTGACAGACTTCTACGTGCTGAGGCTGTCTCCTCTCTGTCAATTCCCAATGAACCATTTGTGTCGCTGCTCACTCGGTCCTAAAACAAAATTGAGGAGAACTAGTTTATGGAAATTACCATATTTTCTACATATAAGATGCACAAGCAATATAAGTATCACAACTTTATGACTAAAATGAAGCCTTGGAGGGATGTTGCCGGTTTGTTGAAAGAAGAAGAATTTAGTGAACTACGTGTCCTTTTATATAATAACACCAGTAAACCGAAGCCTACTCTTCACCCTGACTTTGAGCATATAAGGTGCAGGCTGATCTTCCAAGACTTTTCTTGGAAAAAAAAAAACCCATAGAGGTCATACAGCACCTGAGAAAATAGAGGGCAATCAGGTTTGATCCGAGGAAGGGGAAGGCAATCCCAAATCTTTGGATCAAGAGCCCTTCACCATAAAAGCACTATCACAAAATAAAGACCTCTAGAAAACTGCTCGTTGAGACATTACATATTACTCTGTACAGGTCCACATTCCTTTATCTGAAATTCTGAAATTCAAAAAGTTCCGAAAACCGAAGTGTTATCGTGGAGTGTAGAGCATCAGTCACTGACAGCCAGAGTGGCAGGTGTCAGTTGTGTCTCAGTGCTTGTAGTGTTCACATGTGCGTCTGCTGTTCGCTGACATTTTGTTTTTGCTTTTTATTTTATGACTGTGTTTAATTTCACCATGAAAATGTAGAAAACTTAAATGCTCTTCTTAACCCTTAAACTGCCCAAACGTAGATCTACATTTGGAGAGCTAGCAGTACTAACATAGATCTACATTTGGACAGTTTAAGGGTTATATGTTCCAGTGAAAGGAAGAAGAGCAGTTCCTTGGGTCAAGATATACTTACTAGCATCAAAGAAAAATAATAAAATAATGTAAAATAATACTATACCATTATGAGATTAAGTGTCAAAATGGCACCTACACACTCAATTAACACCACCAAATTTACAAACTTCAGTATGTCTTTTGAGATTATATAATTTTTGAATGCAGAAATCTGTCTTATAGGATTATATAATTTATGAATGCAGAAATTAAATATGAACCTGTTCTTGTTCCTGTAGACTTTCACCGGTAGCAGAACTGACAGTTGATGAGCCAGTGCTTGCTTGGCCAGGGACCACTATAATTCCTGAGCCCTTTAGGTACCGGCGACCAATTATAGGTGTCTGGTTCACATCAAAAGTAAATTCCATTGTGCGTCCTGTTAATCAAAATTTAGATGTGAATATTTGAATTTAATACTGTATATGCAAGAAAATATATAACTAGTCTTCACACACACATACACAAAACAAAAGATACTAACTGAATATGAATTTTAAAATTGTGAATTAGGAATCAAATCATTTCAGAAATTTCTCCTACCTGGTAATTCCTTTTTGAAGTGCGACTCAATGTCAGCAAAGACATGATGATCCCAGTAATGTGTGTGAGATGAAGCCGGAGGCACCACCAGCGATGATGAACGAGTCACAGCCATTTTTAAAATCCTAAGAGCTTCTTTCCAGTGTGAACCCTGTAATATAAAACTTTGTTTATTTATGATTTCCATTTGATGTATGTTCAAAATCCTTTTATTTGAAGTTGTAATATATTCTGAACCAGTGGTAAATATTTTTTTTTTCAATGCACTGGCAGTATCCCACCAAGGCAGGGTGACCTAAAAACAGAAACAAAAGTTTTTTTTTTTTTTAATTTGGCAATAGTGGTAAATATCTGCTCAATAATTTCTATTTAACCTACAAACTATAAAGGTTGTTCTGGCACAAAGTACAGTAATTACCTTTAAATGTAAAATTGCTCAAGAAAAGAATAAAAAAGTACAATACTGTGATTGAAACAATACACAAATAACCAACACATGGGAGAATGAAACTTGTGATTACATTTTGGTCCAACTTGGACCAGTAACTAGCCACTATCTAAGATATTCCAAATTATTCAATGTGTAATCAAAATCAAGTGACAAAATTCTACTAATCAATCACTGTATTCTGCACACAAGTTTCATAGCTTAAGAAATGTTCCTTGACTTACAATGAGGTTACATTCCAACAAATCCATCACAAGTCAAAAATAGCATAAGCTGAATGTGAATTTTTTGTTTAACACGCTGGCTGTCTCCCACCAAAGCAGGGTGACCCAAAAAGGAAACACTTTCAACATCATTCACACTACCACTGTCTTGCCAGAGGCATGCAGATGTCCCTCCAAACAGCAAATATCACCAACCCCCCTTCAGAGTGCAAGAGCTGTACATCAACTGAACTTACCTCGATATATTTAGCAATAACCCTCAACAAATCTCCATTGACCAGCTGAGCAACAGCAGTATTCATGTCTATATAATGAAGCATGCAGTGGAGGATATTCAATATTGGATTCTGCACACTTGTAGGACCCTTCTCCAATACCTGGAAAGACATTTAGCCTTATACTGCATATTAGAAACTTTTATCCTAAATATTGTAACTCACACCAATATCCCAAACCCCTCCTTTAAAGTGCAGGCATTGTACTTCCCATTTCCAAGACTCAATTCTGGCTAACCTGTTTCTCTGAGTCCCTTCACAAAGTATTACCCTGCTCACACTCAAAAAGCTTGTCAGGTCCCAAAAACCATTTGTCTCTATTCACTCCTATCTAACACGCTAACATGTATGTATCTTTCTTTCAACACACCGGCCATATCCCACCGAGGCGGGGTGGCCCAAAAGAAAAAACTAAAGTTTTTCCTTTTATATTTAGTAATATATACAGGAGAAGGGGTTACTAGCCCCTTGCTCCTGGCACTTCAGTTGCCTCTTACAACATGCATGGCTTATGGAGGAAGAATTCTGTTCCACTTCCCCATGGAGGTAAGAGGAAATAAACAAGAACAAGAACTAGAAAGAAAATAGAAGAAAACCCAGAGGGGTGTGTATATATATGCTTGTACATGTGTAGTGTGACCTAAGTGTAAGTAGTAGCAAGACGTACCTGAAATCTTGCATGTGTATGAGACAGAAAAAAAAAGACACCAGCAATCCTACCATTGTTTAAAACAATTACAGGCTTCCGTTTTACACTCACTTGGCAGGACGGTAGCACCTCCCTGGGCGGTTGCTGTCTACCAAGTGAGCGTAAAACAGAAACCTGTAAATGTTTTACATGATGGCAGGATTGCTGGTGTCTTTTTTCTGTCTCATAAACATGCAAGATTTCAGGTACGTCTTGCTACTTCTACTTACACTTAGGTCACACTACACATACATGTACACATATATATATATACACACCCCTCTGGGTTTTCTTCTATTTTCTTACTAGTTCTTGTTCTTGTTTATTTCCTGTTATCTCCATGGGGAAGCGGATCAGAATTCTTCCTCCGTAAGCCATGCGTGTTGTAAGAGGCGACTAAAATGCCAGGAGCAAGGGGCTAGTAACTCCTTCTTTTGTAAATATTACTAAATGTATAAGGAGAAACAATACACAAATAACCCGCACATAGAAGAGAGGAGCTTACGACGACGTTTCGGTCCGACTTGGACCATTTGTAAATGGTCCAAGTCGGACCGAAACGTCGTCGTAAGCTCCTCTCTTCTATGTGCGGGTTATTTGTGTATCATCAGTCACGGTATTGTGCCTTTTTTTGTTATTTAAAAGGAGAAACGTTCGTTTTTCTTTTTGGGCCACCCTGCCTCGGTGGGATACGGCTGATGTGTTGAAAGAAGATATATATATACATGTATATATGTATGTACATACACATGCATGCATGCATGTAATAAGATCACAGTAAACAGATGATATCACAACATGCAAAATAACAACTCTGAAAAAAATTGTGAAATTCCAATCACTTTTGAGATTTTTCATATCAAGGAACTGTACACAGTTCCTTGATAGTGTATAAAATCACAAAATCACTTGGAATTTCACTATTTTTTTCACAGTGGTTATTATGCTTATGTATACAGCCTCTCCTCACTTAATGATGGGGATCCCCTCCTAAGACCATGTCAGTAAACGAGTTCGTTGTTAAGCGAGGAGCATACTATAATGGTAGTGGGTTTGTGTTAACCATCTCTGGTATTGTTTTAATGTCGCCTATGCACCATTTATAATATTTCTGGTATATTTTTAAATGTTTATACAGTAGTGTATTGTATATCGTAATAAACTGAACAGAGGAAATCAACTCTAATACACATTATTTAGGTATGTGTACTGGTCAGAGAGTCCGGTGTAAGTCTGAGTTGTTGGTAAATGACTATGTCCCTAAGTGAGGAGAGGCTGTATATGTATGTATGCAAGGACCTTGATAATGTGAGAAATCATGAAAGTGCTTGGAGTTTCATTATTTTGTGTTGCATACAGAGAAGGAATATCTCACCTCAACTAAAAATGCCATGAGACTTAACGAGAGGTTTGCGTACGAGTCGTGGAGGTATTTGACAACGCACTTAGTCCACTGAAAGCTCTCCTTACTGAAGTTGCGGCGACTGTACAGGGTCATAACCGTAGCCAGGTTTTCCAGCTCTTTGCCCTTCTCATTACAAACCTGAAAAAAAAGAGTTAGATAAATTCTTAAATCAGGTGTTTCTTCCATGCAGGGGTAACAAGCTGAGCATACCACTTCTATAAAAACTTAATAAAAAATGCAAATGCTCCTCATAAATTAAATTTAGTATATGCACACACAAACACACATTTCATTTGAAGAACTCCCAAAAGAACCTTAATAAATTAACAACTTTACTTCCAATATTCAGAGGTCTGGAAATAAAAGTACAACATAACTTGTCCACTGATGAGAAAAAATTTCTATTTGTATTCTGTCTCAGTTAAATGGTAAAGGAGAAGCATCTAGTCTGAAGATACAAGGTATTACAACAAAGTGTTAAACAATCATTATTATTTCTCATTCTAATGATGATAAATACAGTGGTACCTCGGGATACAAACAGCTCAAAACACGAACAATTATGTAAATGTATTTATGTAAGTTCTCCATGGGGAAGTGGAACAGAATTCTTCCTCCGTAAGCCATGCGTGTTGTAAGAGGTGACTAAAATGCCGGGAGCAAGGGTCTAGTAACCCCTTCTCCTGTATAAATTACTAAATTTAAGAGAAACTTTTGTTTTTCTTTTTGGGCCACCCTGCCTTGGTGAGATACAGCCGGTGTGTTGAAAGAAAGAAAGATTTATGTAAGTGTTTGGTAAGTGTATTTTTGGGGGTCTGAAACAGATTAATCTAATTTACATTATTCCTTATGGGAACAAATTCGTTCAGTATCAGCACTCAAACAGCCTTCTGGAATAAGTTCGTATCCCAAGGTACCACTGTAAATATCACCATCCACCAAGGCTTCACAATAAGCAGCCTATGCCATGACAGATCATCATTACAGGTAATATGATTTCTCAAAAATGTTTTGGTACCTGAATTCTAATCTGATAGAAAATATAGTCCAAGTGATATATTTTGTTGTGCTGGCTAAGGGCTTCAAAATACTCTAGGCAGTATATTAGCACTTTGAAAAAAAAAAAATATTCAGACAACAGACATTAACAAAATTTTTGTCAAACATGACAACACACCTGCACAGTAGGCCTCATGTCTGATGATCATTTCTCTTTAACCCGTAAACAGTCCAAGCAGATCTACGTTCACATGTGTAATGCTACAAAAGTAGATCTATGTTTTTTTACATATTTTCAAATATAAAAAAAAAAAAAGTAGATCAAAGTTTTTTACACATTTTCAAATGTAAAAAAACAAAAAGAAGGTCTATTTTTTTTTACATACTTTCAAATGTTGAAAAAATGTATACCGTGGACCCCCGCATAACGATTACCTCCGAATGTGACCAATTATGTAAGTGTATTTATGTAAGTGCGTTTGTACGTGTATGTTTGGGGGTCTGAAATGGACTAATCTACTTCACAATATTTCTTATGGGAACAAATTCGGTCAGTACTGGCACCTGAACATACTTCTGGAGTGAAAAAATATCGTTAACCGAGGGTCCACTGTATATACGTTTGGACCGTTTATGGGTTGAGAGTGAGTTAGCATCATTCACTATAAAGCCCAGATCTAGAACAGTCTTCTACTACTTGGACAAGTTAAGACAACATCACTGACAATAATGAGGAGCTGAAGACTTGACAATGCCTCTGCCACTGGCACTAGAGGTTTCTATTATTAGAAAAAAGTGTGTGAATCATAATGTTAACTCAAATGAAAAACATGATTCATTACCAAAATCTGATAGGCATTATATATTAATTTCAAGTACTGTAGTGTATTTATGTTGCTTTCTTTGCACTATTCTATGACAGAAGCAAGAATGAAAAAGGCATTTCTGAGATATTGCTTGAGGAGTGAGAGTGAGTTATAGAGTACAGTAATTATGATGGGTGATATGAATAACCTGAAAACAGTGCTTTTTTATCAAACTGGCCATATCCCACTGAGGCAGGGTGACCTAAAAAGAAAAACAAAAGTTTTTCTTTTTAGGTTACCCTAAATATAAAAAGAAAAACAAAAGTTTTTCTTTTTATATTTAATAATGTAAACAGGAGAAGGGGTTACTAGCCCCTTGCTCCTGGCATTTTAGTCGCTTCTTACGACACGCATGGCTTACGAGGAAGAATTCTTCTTCACTTTCCCATGGAGAAAGAAATAGTGTATATGTATTATAAATGCATATTTTAGGCGTAAATTAGTTACATTCTTGTATACCTTTGATATACCTTTGAAGAGTTTAAAGAATTTTACTACTCTTGGCCATAGGCCAGGCTTGTCCGGTACTTGCCTGGTCAACCAGTCTGTTGTTGCTGGAGGCCTGCTGCCCCACATATCCATCACAGCCTGGTTGATCTGGCACCTGGTGAAGATGCTTGTCCAGTTTCCTTTTGAAGGCTTCTACACTTGTCCCAGCAGTGTTTTTGATATCTTCTGGTAAGATGTTGAATAGTCTGGGACCCCGGATGTTGATACAGTGTTCCTTTATTGTTCCTACCACACCCCTGCTCCTCACTGGGTTTATTGAACACTTCCTCCCACATCTCTCACTCCAGTATGTTATTATGGCAGTGTGCAGATTTGGGACCAGGTCCTTGAGTACTTTCCAGGTATATATTATCATGTATCTCTCTCCTCTGCTCCAATGAGTACATGTTCAAGACTTAAAGGCGTTCCCAGTAATTTCGGTGTTTTGCTGACTCAATGTGGGTCGTAAACGATCTCTGTATTTGTTCCAGTTATGATATTTCTCCTGCTTTGAACGGGGCCATCAGCACTGAGCAATATTCTAAATGAGGGAGCACTAGCAATTTGAAGAGTGTCACCATCAGCATTATTTCCTTTGTTTTGAAAAGTCTCAATACCCACCCCATCATCTTCCTGGCTGTCGTGATCTTTGTCTTGTTATAGTCCTTAAAAGAAAGGTCAGCTGACATAATTATTCCCAGGTCTTATAAGTGTTCCTTTCATTCTATTTGGTGACCCTCTTACAGTGTTCCTTTTGAGTTCTTCATTCTTTACATACCTAAGCAGCCGGAACTTATCACCAATGAATGCCATATTGTTCTTCACTGCCCACTGGGAAACCCTGCTTATGTCTTCCTGCAATTTTTCAGTGTCCTCTACTGTAGTGTTTTTCATGCTTATTTTAGTGTCATCTGCAAATGATGATACAAAAGTGTGATGGGTATTTTTATCTATGTTTGCTATGAGGATGAGAATCAGCAGAGATGCCAGGACAGTGCCTTGGGGCACTGAGCTTTTGACCTTGCTGATGTTGGATCTTGCTCTGGTTACTACTACTACTTGTGTTCTGTGTGTTAGGAACCTGAATATCCATCTGCCTACCTTCCCCATAATGCCCATGGCCCTCATTTTGTGTGCTATCACTCCATGATTGCATTTGTCAAGCACCTTTGCAAAATCTGTGTAAATCACATCTGTGTTTTGGTCATCTTCCAATGCCTCCGTAATTCTGTCATAATGGTACAGTAGCTGTGACAGGCATAATTTTGCTCTAAAATCATACTGGTTTGGGTTATGCTGGTCCATGAAATTTGTAATCTGCCATCTCATCGTTCTTTCGAAGATTTTTATGATGTGAGAAGTTAGGGCTACTGGTCTGTAATTTTTAGCTAGTGTTCTACTACCTCCCTTATACAAAGGAGCTATGTGCGCACTCTTTAATTAAGGCCTCCGGTATTTCACCTAGATCTAAGCTCTTTCTCCAAAGAATACTGAGGGCTCGTGCTAGTGGTACTTTGCACTTCTTTATAAATAGAGCATTCCATGAATCTGGTCCAGGTGCTGAGTGAGTGGGCATGTTGTCCATTTCTTTTTTGAAATCTATGGGATTTGTACTAATATCAGTTAGTTGGTCTGTACGGCCTGCTGCTGGAGTGAAAAATATTTCTGCATTTTCTACCTTGCTGTCATTTAGTGGGTTGCTGAACACTGACTCACACTGTTCTTTTAGGATTGCACTCATTTCCTGTTCATCGTCAGTTTACGAATCTCCTCTCAATAACAGTCCAATTCTACAGGTAGTTGTTAGCTTAGATTTTGCATAGGAATAGAAATATTTCAGGTTTCTTGCAATATCCTGTATGGCCCTTTTTCCCTTTGTACTTCTTCTGTTAGGTATGACATCCTAAGTTTTTGCTCTAATTCAGTGATCTCTCAGCTAAGACTATCTTTCCTCTGTTGCAACATATTTGTATTTTTAAGCAATTCAGTAACTCATTTTCTTCTTCTGTACCATCTCCAATGCTCTCTCTCTATATCTGATCTTCTGTACCATCTCCTACACTCTCTCTCTACATCTAATCTTCTGGGTTTCCTCAATGGTATGTGCTTCATACATACCTTGTTTGCTTCTGTATTCAGCTTCTCTCGGCACTGGTGGGGATTTAGGGTGCTCATGTCTGATTCCAAGGATATGTCTGATACCTTTTGGTTTATTTTTTCCCAGTCAATTCTATGGTTGTTAAAATTAAACTTACTGAACATCCCATCTCTAACATTAGTGATGCAGTTCGCTAATCCTGAGTTAATACTCATTTGAACTTCTATGATGTTGTGATCAGAGTACAGTGGACCCCCGCATAACGATTACCTCCGAATGCGACCAATTATGTAAGTGTATTTATGTAAGTGCGTTTGTACGTGTATGTTTGGGGGTCTGAAATGGACTAATCTACTTCACAATATTTCTTATGGGAACAAATTCGGTCAGTACTGGCACCTGAATATACTTCTGGAGTGAAAAAATATCGTTAACCGGGGGTCCACTGTATATTGTTTTTGTAACTGTTATGTCTCTGATTAACTCCTCATTGTTTGTGAATATCAAATCCTGGATATTTTCATTTCTAGCGGGATCAATTATATATTGGTTCAATGAGCACTTTTCACACAGCCTCATTAATTCCCTGGTATGTGCCCATTGAGCCAGGGTGCTTCCTGGAGATATTTCTGGTATAACATTGTATTTTTAGCTAAGTTTCAATATTTTTTGTAATACAGCTGTTGTTTTATTGAATATATACCTCTAATGAGGTATATATTCAATATTAGTTGCTTGCTGATTTAAATTCTTCATCTATGATGCAAATGAAAGTATGAGGCTGGTTGCACACATTACATTTGCTAACACCTGTCAATGGCTATGGAGCTCATCAGTCCTGCAGCCAAGTCCTAGAAAAGATCCCTTAAACTGGAAAGGAAATATTAAAGGAATAGAAGCTCTTACAAATACATAGGAAAGTAAAGATAGTGTATAGCACTGAGAATAAGTTTGTACAAAAGATTCTTCCATTTGTGAAGGTTGTAGATAAATCCTTTATTGACAGGAAAAGGAACAAGTGTGGGTAGCTGAAGTGACAGCTGGATGTAGTCATGGAACCAAGTGAGGGAGGGTAGGTACAGTCATCTGTAGACCTGGATAACAATGAAAGGGAAAACTGGGTGTAAGGGGAGGGAGTATCCCCTTCACTCCTCACCAAGCAGCAGCACTTGTGCTGTGCATATGGAGTGAGGTACAGAGATACAGAAGACAAAGATGGCAGTTATGAAATGCTGCAGAAGGCAGGTTAACATTCATGATATTTACCTGCCATCTCAAGTGCTTATAAGACAAAAAGAAAAGGCCAGCAATCCTGCCAGTGTAAAACATGTAAGATGAAGAATGGGAGGGGGACATGTAATTACCATGTATCCTTTTCACATTACTATGAGAGGACAGCAGTATCCTAAGCCTAAACACATTTATATCATATAGTTAATAGCCTCAAATTTTTTTTAACACAATGGCAGTCTCCCACTGAGGCAGGGTGACCCAGAAAAAAAAGGAGAAACAAAGTTTCTTCTCTTTTACATTTAGTAATTTACACAGGAGGAGTTAGTAGCAACTTGCTCCTCGATTTTAGTCGCCTCTTACAACATGCATGGCTTAAGGAGGAAGGATTCTTCTCAATAGAGGAAATATAAAAGGTAAAAACGTGCACATACTGGATTATATGATAAATCTTACAGAAAGAAGACATTAAAGAAAACATTAAGCTCGTAAATTCTTATTTGTATTACTGCTAAATTCTACTGAACAGTTCTTACCTGTGCAATATTTTCTGCTGCCTGTATACAGAGTGTATTTGCATCTTCATAGTTTTGCAACATGTAAGGAAGCAAAGCGATCACATTGATGGCAAACGCCCTGCTCTGACTGGGGTCGACAACCTGAACAGACAAAATAAAAGCGTAAGAGATACATCAACTGGTCATCTGAGCTGACAACTTCAAGGACCATGTCTATGAATATTTCCCTAAAAAAAAAAAATACCAAGAAAAACAAAAATTGTAATTTTAATATCGTTTTATCTGCTAATCATTGCAGGAAACATGACAAAAAAATATTTACAAAACATGAACAGTAACTCAATAAATATTTGTTTTCCTAGGCAGCAAGGATATTCATACACATCTATTATTTCCTTGTTACTATTAGTGATATAATGAATATTTTATAGATATCAGACTGCAAAGAAATAACTAAAATGAATTTTACTACAGTATCAAAACTAAATACTGTATATGACACATGGTGTTATAATAACTAGTGAGAGGTAGTCTACACAAGTTAATAGTTTAAGCAACAAAAAATAGTATTTACTATTAGCATTTAGTGTTTTATGACTATAATATGATTTCCTCTCTGGGTCACCCTGTCTTGGTGAGAGACTGTCAGTGATTTAAAAAAGCAATTCAGAGAGCACAGGAGTTGTTACAGTGGTTTGGGCATTTAGAGGATGGAACAGAATAAGATGACCAAGAGGATGTATAAATCTGGGATGGAACGAAGAAAGGGCAGGGGCCAGATAAGGAAGGGATCACGGGAGTGTAGAGGTGGTTTTGAGTGATAGGGACTTGTGCAAGTGTGTCTGAACAGGGTAAGTGGAGACAAGTGGTTCTTATAACTTTACATGCTATTGGAGAGTGAGTACATTAACATTTATGAAGCCATTCAGAGAAGTCTGTTTGTTGAACTTGAGGAGTCCCAGGGTGGGAAGTACAGTGTCAGACTCTGGAGGAGTGGTAAGGATGTTGCAGTTCAGAGGGTCATTTGAATTGTGATGTTTGCATACTTCTAGAAGATAGCTAGTGAATAAATGATGGTAAATGTGTTTCTTCTTCTTCTTATTCTTTTTAGTAATCTTTACAGGAAAAGGGGTTACTAGCCCATTGTTCCCGGCATTTTAGTTGACTTTTACAACACGCATGGCTTACGGAGGAAAGATTCTTATTCCACTTCCCCATGGATATAAAAGGAAAAGTAATAAAACCAAGAACTATTAATATAAAATCAAAGAAAACTCAGATGAGTGTGTATAAATAAACATGTACATGTATGTGTAGTGTGACCTAAGTGTAAGTAGAAGTAGCAAGACATACCTGTAATCTTGCATATTTATGAGACAGACAAAAGACACCAGCAATCCTACCATCATGTAAAACAATTACAGGCTTTCGTTTTACACTCACTTGGCAGGACGGTAGTACCTCCCTGGGTGGTTGCTGTCTACCAACCTACTACCTACAATGTGTGTAAAGGTAGAAAGTTGAAAGTAAACATAGAAAAGAGTAAGGTGATGAGGGTATCAAATGATTTTGATAAAGAAAAATTGGATATCAAATTGGGGAGGAAGAGTATGGAAGAAGTGAATGTTTTCAGATACTTGGGAGCTGACGTGTCGGCGGATGGATTTATGAAGGATGAGGTTAATCATAGAATTGATGAAGGAAAAAAGGTGAGTGGTGCGTTGAGGTATATGTGGAGTCAAAAAACGTTATCTATGGAGGCAAAGAAGGGAATGTATGAAAGTATAGTAGTACCAACACTCTTATATGGATGTGAAGCTTGGGTGGTAAATGCAGCATCGAGGAGATGGTTGGAGGCAGTGGAGATGTCCTGTCTAAGGGCAATGTGTGGTGTAAATATTATGCAGAAAATTCGGAGTGTGGAAATTAGGAAAAGGTGTCGAGTTAATAAAAGTATTAGTCAGAGGGCAGAAGAGGGGTTGTTGAGGTGGTTTGGTCATTTAGAGAGAATGGATCAAAGTAGAATGACATGGAAAGCATATAAATCTATAGGGGAAGGAAGGCGGGGTAGGGGTCGTCCTCGAAAGGGTTGAAGAGAGGGGGTGAAGGAGGTTTTGTGGGCAAGGGGCTTGGACTTCCAGCAAGCGTGCGTGAGGGTGTTAGATAGGAGTGAATGGAGACGAATGGTACTTGGGACCTGACGATCTGTTGGAGTGTGAACAGGGTAATATTTAATGAAGGGATTCAGGGAAACCGGTTATTTTCATATAGTCGGACTTGAGTCCTGGAAATGGGAAGTACAATGCCTGCACTTTAAAGGAGGGGTTTGGGATATTGGCAGTTTGGAGGGATATGTTGTGTATCTTTATACGTATATGCTTCTAAACTGTTGTATTCTGAGCACCTCTGCAAAAACAGTGATAATGTGTGAGTGAGGTGAAAGTGTTGAATGATGATGAAAGTATTTTCTTTTTGGGGATTTTCTTTCTTTTTTGGGTCACCCTGCCTCGGTGGGAGATGGCTGACTTGTTGAAAAAAAAAAAAAGTGTTTTTCTTCTTTTGGATCATCCTATATTGGTGGGAGATGGCTGGTGTAATAAAAAATAACAAATTGACTTTTAACACAATGGCCGTCTCCCACCAAGGCAAATAAAATAAAAACAAAAAAGGCAAATTTTTCTTCCTTTTCTTTTTTTAAGTTTAGTAGTGTATACAGGGTTACTAGCCCCTTGGGAAACGGCCAATGCGTTGAAAAAAAAAACCAATAATAGCAACAACAACAATACTTACTATTAGATCAGTGAGCTGTGTAAATCTAGAGAGAAGAGTAATTGTTGGTTCATAGGTGGTTGCACTTGTACATCCCTTAAGTAAGAGAGCATGTACACCTGGGAACTCCTTCCACTTTAGTTGCTGCTGTAACTTCTCAACCTGTCAAGTATTACATCATATGTTATTACATAATATATAGTATACTCATCGCTCCTTCCCTATTCATTCGTACTTTTCTGTTTCTCCTCTCTCCTTATTCATTTTCCTCCATGTTTCTCTTCCTCCTGCCCTATCCTTGTTCATCTTTTCCTTCTCATCCCTTCCTTCCTGTTTCTCTCTTTTTCCCTATTCCCTTGCGTGAAATGCTCTGCATAACCACGGGCTTTCTACATGCATTATTAAGTGTCATCCATTTGTATACAAACAATGTATCACGTGGAAATAAATTTTTGAATTTTGAACCTGAATGTATCTAACTTGTTTGAGGAGGAAGCATTACACTTTAACCTATCACAGTAACCTACTTTTCAAGAATCTGTCCTTTCAAGTCCCACTGAAATTAGATTGTGAATGAATGACTCTACCCTTATGTTTCATTATTCGGTAATTAAATGCAAATAACCATATGAAGTTCAATACTTGAAAAGGTCAGTAATGTACTTTCTTTCTTTCAACACATCGGCCGTATCCCACCGAGGCGGGGTGGCCCAAAAGGAAAAACGAAAGTTTCTCCTTTTACATTTTAGTTTTTACATTTAGTAAGTTTGAGCTCGGGTCACTGGGATGAGAGCTCAAGGTGCTTCCACTGAGACATGAGTCACCTTTACTTAACATGATTTAAATTGGGATGAGAGCTCAAGGTGCTTCCACTGAGACATGAGTCACCTTTACTTAACATGATTTAAATTGGGATGAGAGCTCAAGGTGCTTCCACTGAGACATGAGTCACCTTTACTTAACATGATTTAAACTGCCATCTCCCAATGTCTTTCTAAAATAATTTTCAAATTTTAAATCAAGAAAGATTTTTAAATAAAAAAAGGAGATTCAGTATTTTATGAAGCAGATTTTATTCCTTGTTTCCTTTAGGAGGTTTGTAAAGCTATGAAAAAAAATTAAAAAAGGAACACAATTCTGGAAGATTAAGATGCATGCAACAGTTGGGTATCTTTATCGTTGAAACATTTCACCTACACAGTAGACTTCTTCAGTGAAATAATGATGATGTAATCAGTCCATCAAACTTAGAGAAATAGTACAGTGGACCCCCGCATAACGATCACCTCCAAATGCGACCAATTATGTAAGTGTATTTATGTAAGTGCGTTTGTACGTGTATGTTTGGGGGTCTGAAATGGACTAATCTACTTCACAATATTCCTTATGGGAAAAAATTCGGTCAGTACTGGCACCTGAACATACTTCTGGAATGAAAAAAGTTCGTTAACCGGGGGTCCACTGTATTTGAGGTGGTCAGTCCCTCAATAATTGTTGCACATATCTTAATCTTCAACTTGTTGGTATTTTGTACCTTTTACAACATAACACAATTCCTGCTAAATAACCTTCACTGTAACCCAGAACTTGATGGTAAACCTGCATCAAAACGAAAAATTCCATCTACAGTCCTTGACAGAGTTACCGGAAAACAATAAAACCAGTTTAGATATGAGAAAAAACAACCGTTAATTTCCTACATTGCTTACACAATCCAATCAAGGGAAAATCAATATTCAAAACAACATACTCAATCCATTTTGTTGAAATAATTCCACTTAAAATAGAAAACTTAATAACAATGAAGGCCTAAAATCTTGCCTTGTCTCGACAGTCTGGTCGATCAAGGGGTAGTCGTGCTAGCACCTTGTCCAGCAGCCTCATTGCTAGAATAAACTCATATTCATAGTCAGATTCCAACATAGACACTGCAATCCAGAAGAACTGTGCGAGAACCTGGAAGAATTATGCCTTCTAAAATTATACTTTATGACACAGACATTATAACAAATCAGATCATACACAATTAAATAAAAAAATATCCTATCTGGTTATTTTTTCGCTTAGTGACAAAGCAAACATTAAGTAGCAATTTCTTAGTGACTACCTGGTACACAGTACTTAGTTTTCTCAAAGACCTGTCAACAAGATGTATTTCAGTCAATTTTGTCAGAATAATTTAATATCCAAAGAATCATAGTAGTGCCGTAAATGCACGTCAACTTACCGTCATCTTGTCATCAGCTGAACTCTGGTCAGCTAACTGTTTCAGTGATTGAGCTGACCGTGACCGTGACAAGTTACTCGACTGCTGGAGCTGCTGCTGTTGCTGTTGCCTCATGCGTGTGTCCACATCTGTTCCACTCCTACCTCGCATCTCAGGCTGAACTGTAAAAGGGGTAAGATTTATCTACATCATTTCATCTATCTACATTCGTTTGCAATTTTATTTTGTACCTTTAAGGAAAAAAGTTATTAGAAACTTCTTCATGCCAATACCTCTCATTCATTGTAAAGTACAGCTTTGTCAGTAGAGTTGTAGATGAGTGGAAATAACTTTTATATTGTATCACTGCTCATAGAACTGAGTAGCTTTTAAAATAGAATGGATAAATATGTGAGAGAGAATAGTCGGGTGTGAAAAAGACCTGCCTAGCATGGGCCTTTATGGCTATCACAGTGCTCCTCTAGTCTTATGTTCTTATGAGTCTTTCACTTCTTTATAATGTAAGATTCAATTATCACCATTTATTCAAGATAAACTTCAATAAATGGTACAGATAGGTACCAAAGTTTAGCTTGAGTGTTGGAAACTAGAGTAGCAATTCAAGACTGAATGACTGTGAACAGGAAGTTTAATGGGCCTAGTATAATCCCTAATGTATAAAAAAAAAAAAGCTTCAACATTCAACTTTTATGCAAGAATCTTTTTTTTTTTATCACACAGACCGGACCGCGGGGGCGCTGACCTCTGGAACTCTCTCCAGGTAAACTACAGGTAAACACTGACTGTCACCCTACCTTAGTGGGAGACAGCCAGTGTGATAAAAAAAACTTGCACAATACACTGAGCTGTTTAACATAGTTTATAACAACAGGTCAAATGAAGTGTTTGGCTTATTATGTATATCTAAATAATTAAAAATATTCAAATACAAATCGAAAGCTAAATATTAATGCATTTAAGCTGTACACATTGAGAAAGGTGTAGAGAAGCTATATAGGAGGGGCCCCACTCTTATATAGCAGGTTAGGTTCCGGGCTACTGATGTAGAGCGAAAATCACTGTAAAGTGAATCATAGCCTTTTTCCACTTTCAAATGCATATAAAACCCTGATAACAACAGCAATAGAGCTAGGCCTAAAAAATGCATATACAGTACACACATTACTTATCTTAAAATATTTTTGTCCTTAGCTTATAGTGAGTGATGAATATTGTAGGAAGACTGAATAAATAGAGAATGGGCATAACCGAAAACTGCTGTATTAGCAAAACACTATAAAGCAAAGCGCTGTGCAGTGGGGCCTGCAGTCTACCTTTAATGTCTGCTGTTGGTGAAGCCATTGGTTTGCCTCTGCCATAAGATATGGAGTAAGAGGTGGAACGGATGTGTCCTCCAGGAGAAACTGGTGTTGTGGGTGTTGGATATCCAGCCCCGTAGAAGTGACCCATCATGCCATACCCTAGCGGCCCTTTGCGTTCTTTGTTGTTTAAGTTTGGTGTGGATTTGAACAGTTCACGAACAAATTCTATGGGCCTGTTGAAAGAACGAAAATCTCATTACAGCATATTTAAAAAAATGAAAGAACTCATAAACTTACAAATAATGAGTTGCTGTGTACAGTTTAGGAATACTCAATAATTTGCAACATTTGATTATTTCACTATGTATTTTAAATTGGTCAACTAAAAACCAAAGATTAATTATTAATACACTTAAGCCCTAACTTTTTAAAAAAGGTGTATGAAATCTGACATAAACTAGTGTATTATTATTTAATTGTATTGCCTAAATGTTTACAAGAATTGATTATTTAATAATAAAATTACTGTGCACATTTAAAAAAGTTTCAGAAATACAATAAAAGTGATACATTTTATTTTATTATACAATATGTATATTTATTGGGAAGCACTAAAATAGTATAGGTCGTATAATGCCTGGGTTGAGAGCCCTTTACAGGATGGTGAATCAGACACATGTGCAACATCAACCCAGATATTGCACATGTGTCTAATTCATCAATGTTGCATAAAACAAGAATTTCACTTGCCTGAAATCTGAGTCCAGAGCATCAACAGCGGACTCGAGGGTGAGCATTAGTTCGGTAACATAACCTTGCATGTCCTCCCCTTGCTCAGCCACTGTCTCCACAAGGCGCCCAAGAAGATCACTCAACATGCGTGATGACATAGACACATGTAATGACCGAAACACCTGCCAAAAATTTGGAGAAAATAATGAACACTGTCATGATGTACAGATTTAAGCTGCATAGAGAACAAAGATAATCTACCTAACTGTTTCAACAACTATAATGCTATACACAAATAACCCGCACATAGGAGAAATAAGCTTATGATGACATTTTGGTTCAACGTGGACCATTGACTAGTCACACTAACACGCAAAGGTGAGGGAGCCAGTATATACAGTGGACCCCCGGTTTACGATATTATTTCATTCCAGAAGTATGTTCAGGTGCCAGTACTGAACAAATTTGTTCCCATAAGGAATATTGTGAATTAGATTAGTCCATTTCAGACCCCCAAACATACACGTACAAACGCACTTACATAAATACACTTACATAATTGGTGGCATTGGGAGCTGATCGTAAAGCGGGGGTCCACTGTATAGGTGAGGAAGACAATGCTATAAAAGTGACACACAGACACAAAGCAGAAAGTGAGTGTGAAGTTTTACCCTTCTAGGATATGTGGCAACCTTCACTCAATTACTGTACTGAGTGTCTGTGGTTTAACCCCCGGCTGAGTGGAAATGTTGGACATATTTCCTTACATCAGCTGTCCCTGTTCACCTAGCAGTGAGTAGGTACCTGGGTATTAGTTGACTGGTGTGGGTTGCATCCTGAGGAACAATACTAAAGGACAGCAATAGAAATAAGGCAGACAGTTCTCGATGATGTATTGACTTTCTTAGGTTATCCTTCATGGCTTACACTCCCTACCTTGGGTTAAAAGTCCCAGCAAATCTTATCTTACCTTGTACTTTGGAAAATATTAGTGAATGTGCAGTCAACATGCAGAGACATCAAAATATTAATGATCCTCTGAACTGCAAAAAATCCCCACATCCTCCCTTCAGTGGATAGGCACTATACTCTCCACCTCCAGGACTCAAATCCAACTACACAATATTAATCTGATGTTGATTTAATTTCAAATAGGGGCTCCTTTATTAGGCCTTCTACATACTGATCTCTTGTGTATTCTTATTCCAAGCACAGCCTGAGGAACTGAACATTACACTAATAGAGGAAAGTGTCTTCTTTATTCTTGTTTAGTACTAATCTTCAAGTGGACTTTTAGAGTGACATCTAAACCATCATATTTGTGTGCCTCTGGGAAGACAGTGTTTGTGTAAATGATGACAAAATTGTTTCTTTGTTGGGTCCCCCATGGCTGTGGGAGACAGCCAGCACATCAACTTATCTGGTTTAATAATATGTACATTTAAAAATGAAACTACAAAGGATTTTAAACTCATCATAAATCTTACCTGCAAGGAGCGTCCAGCATAATGTCGAGAAGAACACGAGAGTGCCAGGTGTAAAGCAATTTGAGCCCAGCGTTCTTCAATGTGGGTGTGGGGCAAGGAGTGACTAAACACCTAGAACACATTACACAAAAGTAACACAAGCCTAAGAACAAATTAAATGTCAAATATAGAGTGTTAGAATAGGAAATAAGATTGCTAGTTACTGCATTCAAGTATAGTACATTAAAAACCATGGAATGGGAAGGGTTTGAACCCATGGCGAGTGAGTCGCAAAACTCCAGTGTTATTACGATTTTGTGAGTCATAGTACATATTAATAAAATGACCAAAAGTGATGGCTGGATGAGACAACTTACTGTAACAACATGCCGGACAAAGTTGGCAAGTTGTTCGGCACTTCTGATGGAGAACTGCTTCGATGTGATGTCTTCATAAGTCCAAAGAGGTTGGTTCTTGCTGCAGAATAATAAAAAATGATTGCGTTGAATATGATAAAGTTTAGGTAACTGTACATTTACCTAAATATTTAAATTTATTATAGGTAGTAGGTTGGTAGACAGCAACCGCCCAGGGAGGTACTACCGTCCTGCCAAGTGAGTGTAAAACGAAAGCCTGTAATTGTTTTACATGATGGTAGGATTGCTGGTGTCCTTTTTTCTGTCTCATGAACATGCAAGATTTCAGGTACGTCTTGCTACTTCTACTTACACTTAGGTCACACTACACATACATGTACAAGCACATATATATACACCCCTCTGGGTTTTCTTCTATTTTCTTTCTAGTTCTTATTCTTGTTTATTTCCTCTTATCTCCATGGGGAAGTGGAACAGAATTCTTCCTCCGTAAGCCATGCGTGTTGTAAGAGGCAACTAAAATGCCGGGAGCAAGGGGCTAGTAACCTCTTCTCCTGTATATATTACTAAATGTAAAAGGAGAAACTTTCGTTTTTCCTTTTGGGCCACCCCGCCTCGGTGGGATACGGCCGGTGTGTTGAAAGAAAGAAAGATTTAAATTTATATCCATTGGCCTTTTCTCAACCCCTTCTAATGACATTTGATGAATCTCAAAAATGATCCATCATTCTTGGTGTCCATGAGTGTCCACTCATGATGTTTTTCATCACCATTTGTTTTACATATATTTTGTCTTACTGCAAAACACATTTGTGCTTTAGAACTTTTTGTTCAGTTTCTCATTAACTCTTATAGATGTTTTACTGCCATTATACTGATGAATTGTTTTACTACACCTCTCATGCATTTTTTTTTTTTTCAACAAGTCGGCCGTCTCCCACCGAGGCAGGGTGACCCAAAAAAGAAAGAAAATCCCCAAAAAGAAAATACTTTCATCATCATTCAACACTTTCACCTCACTCACACATTATCACTGTTTTTGCAGAGGTGCTCAGAATACAACAGTTTAGAAGCATATACGTATAAAGATACACAACATATCCCTCCAAACTGCCAATATCCCAAACCCCTCCTTTAAAGTGCAGGCATTGTACTTCCCATTTCCAGGACTCAAGTCCGACTATATGAAAATAACTGGTTTCCCTGAATCCCTTCACTAAATATTACCCTGCTCACACTCCAACAGATCGTCAGGTCCCAAGTACCATTTGTCTCCATTCATTCCTATCTAACACGCTCACGCACGCTTGCTGGAATTCCAAGCCCCTTGCCCACAAAACCTCCTTTACCCCCTCTCTCCAACCCTTTCGAGGACGACCCCAGCCCCGCCTTCCTTCCCCTACAGATTTATACGCTCTCCATGTCATTCTACTTTGATCCATTCTCTCTAAATGACCAAACCACCTCAACAACCCCTCTTCTGCCCTCTGACTAATACTTTTATTAACTCCACACCTTTTCCTAATTTCCACACTCCGAATTTTCTGCATAATATTTACACCACACATTGCCCTTAAACAGGACATCTCCACTGCCTCCAACCGTCTCCTCGCTGCTGCATTTACCACCCAAGCTTCACACCCATATAAGAGTGTTGGTACTACTATATTTTCATACATTCCCTTCTTTGCCTCCATAGATAACGTTTTTTGACTCCACATATACCTCAACGCACCACTCACCTTTTTTCCCTCATCAATTCTATGATTAACCTCATCCTTCATAAATCCATCCGCCGACACGTCAACTTCCAAGTATCTGAAAACATTCACTTCTTCCATACTCCTCCTCCCCAATTTGATATCCAATTTTTCTTTATCTAAATCATTTGATACCCTCATCACCTTACTCTTTTCTATGTTCACTTTCAACTTTCTACCTTTACACACATTCCCAAACTCATCCACTAACCTTTGCAATTTTTCTTTAGAATCTCCCATAAGCACAGTGTCATCAGCAAAAAGTAACTGCGTCAATTCCCATTTAATAACTTACCACCTATTCCATACACTTGCAACATCTGCCACATTGCTCCTCTATCCACTCTATCATATGCCTTTTCTAAATCCATAAATGCAATAAAAACTTCCCTACCTTTATCTAAATACTGTTCACATATATGCTTCAATGTAAACACTTGATCTACACATCCCCTACCCACTCTGAAACCTCCTTGCTCATCTGCAATCCTACATTCTGTCTTACCTCTAAGTCTTTCAATTATAACCCTACCGTAAACTTTTCCTGGTATACTCATGCAATATATATTATTAAAGCCATCTATACATTCATGTATACCTGTGACTAGTTTCTAGGTTTCTATTCCTACAAGCGTGGTCAACCAGGCTGTTGCTGTTAGTGGCCAACAGGCCTACAAAGTAGTCACAACCTGGCTGAACAGGCAGGTAATACAAAATAATTATGTGATATAAATGGTTTAGAAAACTGACAGGTTGATGAATGAGACACTTGTGCAACATTTGAGAATCATTACTGATGAAAAGTTTCACCAGTTAGTTGCTTCTTTAGTCCATTACAGAGAAGAACGGTGGGAGATAAGGAGGAGCTTGAGGTAATCAGTCCCTCAGCCTGGAGTCAATGTGTTTAGTCCATCAGTCTTGATGGACTGAACAAGCCACTGATGAAGCCACTGTCTGCCGAAATGTTTCCTCAACAGAAATTCCCAAATGTTGAACAAGTGTCTCATTCTTCAACAAAATAATTAATATATTGTACATGAAAATAATTTCCATGCTCTTACCTAGAAGCTATAAAATCTATGAGAGCCATAATGCTGTACTGAAGATCATCTTGTGGTACATGGTCAGCTCCCGTGGCCGAGGAACCAGAAACAGTATCCGCATTATCATCCGAAGTGATGATGACAGGGTTAGTTCCATGTTCATCTGCTAGGCCTACTGGTACACCCCTGTCACATTCACTAGTTGAATCTGGCGGGTTCTCGAAGCCTGGAGGAGCGGCAACTATTGGCAATGCTGGATCTGTTGGTGGTTCCTCTGAAGGTGTTCAGAGTAAAGTGTACATCAACACACAGTTACATACCATCATTAAATACATATTTCTTAGCCTTTTTTTTTTTTAAAATACAAGCTGTCTTCCACCAAGGCAGGGTGATGCGAACAGAAAGAAAACTATAAAGTTTTCTTCTTTTTACATTTAGTAATTTATACAGGAGAAGGGGTTACCAGATCCTTGATCTCAGCATTTCTTAACACACACACTCATAATTTTCATTTTATCAATTGGAACATAAATATAAGAACAAGCCCATGAGGTGTGCATAGACCAGGAGGTTTTGACAACTTTATCATTCACAGCACTGAATTCTGTCGCAAAACATTTTCTTTGCTGAATACATTCACTACTGTAATTCACTCTGACATAGGTAATCAAGGAAAGTACAGTGCCTGTACTCTAAAGGAGAGGTGAAGATGCTACAGTTGCAAGGGTCACCTGAACTGTGATGCCAGAATGCTTCTTGCAAGACAGCAACTGAATGATGGTTGATATGTTTCCTCTTTTCTCAGCTTACCTTTCCTCAGTGAAAGACATCTGGTGTACCAGGAAAAACTTTAAGCTGTACCAATGAAAATACAATGGGAACTAGTATACTACCACAAATAGGCTGGAAGGTGTGGTGGTGACATATAAAAATTAAGGACTATTCCAGCATGATACAATGTATGTAAACAGGTGGGTGACATTTAAGTGTGCATGCAGAAATCCCATTTGTATGCAGACTATTTTGGGCAAACAAGTGTGACAACACTGTATCAAACCATGGAACAGGCGGGGCTTGAACAAATGGTGAGTGAGTGGCAAAACTCTGGGCCAGTGTGTAAGCTACAGTGGCTTAAGCACTGGCCTAGAGTTTTACCACTCGCTCACCATGGGTTCAAACCACCAGGCCCGGTGGCCTGGTGGCTAAAGCTCCCGCTTCACACACGGAGGGCCCGGGTTCGAATCCCGGCGGGTGGAAACATTCGACACGTTTCCTTACACCTGTTGTCCTGTTCACCTAGCAGCAAATAGGTACCTGGGTGTTAGTCGACTGGTGTGGGTCGCATCCTGGGGGACAAGATTAAGGACCCCAATGGAAATAAGTTAGACAGTCCTCGATGACGCACTGACTTTCTTGGGTTATCCTGGGTGGCTAACCCTCCGGGGTTAAAAATCCGAATGAAATCTTATCTAATCTTATCTCTTGGTCCGTGGTCTGTTGGCAATCACGTTATTACAGTTTCGTGAAACAATGAGTCAATTGTGGTGGTGCGTGTGGTGACAAGTGTGACCACACCAGATCAACTGTAGTAGTGGGTGTATAATAGATGGATTCAATGGATTTAAAGAGTTAGCATGTGGCGAAATTTCTGTAAATTAAAATTATGCAAGACAGTTAATGAAGGATACTGCATACCATTAGCACAGCTTAATTTCTGCAACTAAAAAGAGGCATAGTACTGTAATTTCTTTTACCACAATGAATGATTCTCCACCAAGGTAGGGTCACTCAAAGAAGGAAACATATTTACCATCACTCATTCAATAGCTGTCTGGCCAGAAGTGAGAGAATATTGCAATAATAACTGTCGTCTGAATTACAATATCCCCCACTTTTTTGTAGTGTGCAGGCTCTATACTTCCCACAAACAAAACTCAAGTCTTGCTACCTGGGTTTCCTGAATTCCTTCATAAGTTACTTTGCTTACACTCCAACAGCACATCAAATCCCCAAAACCACTTGTCTATAAAAGATTATGCATCTAAAATGATAATAGCCCTTAACTTACCCTGTTAGCTGATTTATGATTAAATTGTGTACCAGTTACATTCCTGTCAATAATATGCCTCTGAACCAAATACAGGAGGGCTCTGCTTATACAGCAGGTTAGCTTTGGGCTACTGTAGGGCTCTGCTCATACAGCAGGTAAGGTTCCATGCTACTGTAGGGCCCCACTTATACAGCAGGTTAGGTTCTGGGCTACTGTAGGGCCCTGCTTATACAGCAGGTTAGGTTCCAGGCTACTGCAGGGCCCCACTTGTACAGCAGGTTAGGTTCCAGGCTACTGCAGGGCCCCACTTGTACAGCAGGTTAGGTTCCAGGCTACTGCAGGGCCCCACTTGTACAGCAGGTTAGGTTCCAGGCTACTGCAGGGCCCCACTTGTACAGAAGGTTAGGTTCCAGGCTACTGCAGGGCCCCACTTGTACAGCAGGTTAGGTTCCAGGCTACTGCAGGGCCCCACTTGTACAGCAGGTTAGGTTCCAGGCTACTGCAGGGCCCCACTTGTACAGCAGGTTAGGTTCCAGGCTACTGCAGGGCCCCACTTGTACAGCAGGTTAGGTTCCAGGCTACTGCAGGGCCCCACTTGTATAGCAGGTTAGGTTCCAGGCTACTGCAGGGCCCCACTTGTACAGCAGGTTAGGTTCCAGGCTACTGCAGGGCCCCACTTGTACAGCAGGTTAGGTTCCAGGCTACTGCAGGGCCCCACTTGTACAGCAGGTTAGGTTCCAGGCTACTGCAGGGCCCCACTTGTACAGCAGGTTAGGTTCCAGGCTACTGCAGGGCCCCACTTGTACAGCAGGTTAGGTTCCAGGCTACTGCAGGGCCCCACTTGTACAACAGGTTAGGTTCCAGGCTACTGCAGGGCCCCACTTGTACAGCAGGTTAGGTTCCAGGCTACTGCAGGACCCCACTTGTACAGCAGGTTAGGTTCCAGGCTATTGCAGGGCCCCACTTGTACAGCAGGTTAGGTTCCAGGCTACTGCAGGGCCCCACTTGTACAGCAGGTTAGGTTCCAGGCTACTGCAGGGCCCCACTTGTACAGCAGGTTAGGTTCCAGGCTACTAATGTAAAGCAAAAACTGCTGTAAAGTAACACAGCCTTTTTTCACCTGATTACATGTTTACACTATCATATATTAAGTGAGCAATACAGCTAGGCCTAAAAAAATGCATATACAGTACACATTACTCACCTTAAAATATTTTCATTCTTAGCTTATTTTGAGTGGTGAACATATTTATTGTAGGAAGTTTAAATGCATGAAGAATGGGTGTAATTGAAAACTGCTGCACTGGTGAAATACTGTATCGTAAAATGAAGTGCAGTAAAAGTGGGGCCCTCCTGTATAAAATTTCAGTACCATTTCTCTTAGTATATTCAGCGTCCACATTTCATTTACCAATTACAACTCCACCAACAGCAGAAAATGACCTCAGCCATTTTTTTTTTAAACACAATGGCCATTTCCCACCATGGCGGGGGTGACCCGAAAAAGAAGAAACACTTTCATCATCACTCACTCCATCACAATCTTGCCAGTGGCGTGCCAATCTTACCGGTGAAATTCTTGTTGTGTGTGAATATATTATTAGGGATAAGTCCGTAGCCAAGCATAGTCGTCTTGTTGTTGAGAAGAACTCTTGCTACTCCTAAGTGATCTCGGTGGTCAGCAACTACTGTTAAGAGGTGAATCAGCAAGGTTTTGCCTGTGGGAAAGCAAATTATTGGTGGTATAAAAAAAAGTATATTGGACAATATTCCATTGTGTGTGACACAGATTGGCTACATTCCATGTGCTATTACACAGGGTGAAATAGGTAGCAAAACATACAGGTGCTACAGCAACAGTGCAAGACACCCTTGGGGATATATTTTATTTTAAATGCAATTATCGATTATTTAGCTCCTTTGGAGAAAAGGGTATGCTGGATATTCAGCACTGAATGTTGATAATAATACAATGGTAGAATATACCTAGTTACGGCAAAACCAACATGGTGTTTTGCTACACTGGATGTTCACATTTTTGAAGATCTCCTTGTTTTGCACATTCCTCTAATTACCAATCTTGGTGCTGGGTAAAACTAAACTACTTGATAATGTTGGAAACTAAACAACTATTCACTGGATAATTAATGATCTACAACATATATTCCATATCAACCTTTCCAAACAATATTTTCAAAATGTCTTGCACTACACACGAGGTTCTCAGCATACAAATAATGTGTGTTTCTTGGTTTTCAATTTTCAAACAAGTTGTTTGTATAGGAAACAATAGCCCAAAGGATGGCTATGTTTTCCACACATTCATGCTATGAATCGGCAGTTTTAAAACTTTAAATGGTTCTTTAGTAAATAACAAAAAAGGCACAATACCGTGACTGGAACGATACACAAATAACCCGCACATAAAAGAGAGAAGCTTATGACGACGTTTCGGTCCGACTTGGACCATTGACAAAGTCACACTAACCAGAGGTGGAGCAGGACGGCTATATATAGGCAGGAAGAGGTGGTGGTAGTAGTAGTAGTAGTAGTAGTACAAGAATTGTATATAATACCGACAAGATGAAATTAAGACACATGCACAACACCCGGGCATCCCCATCGTAGACGTTTCGCCATCCAGCCAGCCACTGGATGGCGAAACGTCCACAACAAAGACAACCAGACGCTGCACATGTGTCTTAATTTCGTCAGTAGTTGTAGTAGTAGTAGTAGAAGAAGAGGTAGTAGTAGTGGTAGTGGTAGTGGTAGAAGTGGGAAATAAGGAAGACGAGCCAGTCAAATACAAAGGAAGGGGAGCACTGCAAGAGAGCTAGATGCCCACAGAGGGAGAGCAAGCGCACAGAGGTGCGTGAAAGGGGAAGTGGTGAAATAAATGAAGAAGGAACAGAAACACGAGACAGGAGAGAGAAAGACAACCCAGAGGAGAAAAGGAAAGAGGAAAGGGGAAGAGGAAGAAGAAGAAAAAGAAAAAGAAAAAATGAGGATTCAGGTTAAGTCACGGGTGTTCTGAAGTTTGGAGCATTTTACAATGTAGTCGGAGAGGAAGGCATCTACAGAGACGAAGCCAGGGCTAAGGTTCATACAAGGAAAGTTGTGTATTAGAGAGGATTCAACTAGACGGCGACTGTTCGAGTTGGAAGTAGGGAAGACAGTTTTAGCAGAAGACCAGTCAATAGGATGGCTATGATCTCTGACGTGACAGAAAAGAGCATTGTTAGTGTCGGCAAGCCTAACACTATTTTTGTGCTCCCTAAGTCTGTCAGAAAGAGATCGACCAGTTTCTCCGAAGTATTGAAGAGGACAGGAGGAGCAAGAAATAGAGTAGACACCAGGAACATCTGTAGAGGGAGGAGAGGTATGAACGAGATTAGTGCGAAGAGTGTTAGTCTGGCGGAAGGTAAGCTTGATGTCTAAGGGACGGAGAGAATTGTTGAGATTAGAAAGACCGGAAATGTAAGGAAGGCGTCTGGTTGTCTTTGTTGTGGACATTTCGCCATCCAGTGGCTGGCTGGATGGCGAAACGTCTATGATGGGGATGCCTGGGTGTTGTGCATGTGTCTTAATTTCATCTTGTCGGTATTATATACAATTCTTGTACTACTACTACTACCACCACCTCTTCCTGCCTATATATAGCCGTCCTGCTCCACCTCTGGTTAGTGTGACTTTGTCAATGGTCCAAGTCGGACCGAAACGTCGTCATAAGCTTCTCTCTTTTATGTGCGGGTTATTTGTGTATGGTTCTTTAGTGTTTTACCTGTAAGAGCAGATGTGTGAAGAATGAGGTGTGACCCCTGTATTCAGTTTTCCACACAGTTTATCCCTTTATTTGTGCCACTCTGTTCTGTTTTCCCCTTTATTTGTGCCACTCTGTTCTGTTTTACCCTTTATTTGTGTCACTGTTCTGTTTTACCCTTTATTTGTGTCACACTGTTCTGTTTTTCAGTTTCTTGTTATCAATAAGAAGGCTTATTAACCCCTTGACTGTTGCAACCCCAAATCCTAAGGTGTCTCGTGGTATTGCAAAATTTCAAAAAAAAAAAAAAACTCGTGAAATGATAGAGAATCTTTTCCCAATTGCAATGACGCCAAAATAATGAAATGTTATGGAAAACTGATGGAGTTATGCTCTCGCGAAGTTAGCAACCTCGGCGATATTTACGAATTGGCGATTTCACCCAATTTGAGCCCTATTTTCATCCAATTCCTTTGTTCCAGTTGACCAAACTCATAGCTATTTCTTTAGAACTCCATTTTTTCTATCGATTGAGTACAAGAAACTACCCATTTACTGATTTCAACTACCCAATAACATGGTCAGAAATTTGCAATTTGGCCAATTTCATGAAAATTAAAAAATATGACAATTTGAAAATAAGGTCCAGAATGAACAATGCAGACATTCCTGGCTCTAAAATAACATTTTCTTTGTTCATCAGTCATGTCTCCAGGCCCCTCTGATATTACTCTTGGTTTCTATTTTGAATTTTTTATTCAAACAAAAAATAGAAGATTTACTGTTATGCAGACTATTGCAATATTGTAATAATTGTATAAATAATGCCAACCCATTCATGACTGCATATTAGAATGGCTACTTGGACATTTATTGGAAAATGACATCATTTGTTTACTTTTGAACATCGGCAAAAATCAAACACTTCCTGTACTTTGAGGTCCATTTCAAGGTTCTTTTCATAGTAAAACCAATCAAAATCACCTCTATTTCTATATGTTTCCCATTCTATCAAATGAGACCAGGAAAACGAGAATACAACCATAAATACTATACAAAAATAGACCACAAAGTCGGCATTTTAATTAAAAAAAAAAAAAAAAACGGTCAGAGTTTTTTTTTCTCATTATGCTCTGTGTGCTGCAGGATTTTTTTTACATGGTGCACACTGACCACACAGACCCATTCTCTCCCATGTGGGCCTACCAGCTTTCTCCTGCTCAATCTGAAGCCGCTAGAATTTTTTTTTTTTTTTAACAAGTCGGCCGTCTCCCACCGAGGCAGGGTGACCCAAAAAGAAAGAAAATCCCCAAAAAGAAAATACTTTCATCATCATTCAACTCTTTCACCTCACTCACACAATCATTGCTTTTGCAGAGGTGCTCAGAACACAACAGCTTAGAAGCATATACGTATGAAGATACACAACATATCCCTCCAAACTGTCAATATCCTGAACCCCCTCCTTTAGAGTGTAGGCATTGTATTTTCCATTTCCAGGACTTTTATGAGTATACAGTGGACCCCCGGTTAACGATATTTTTTCACTCCAGAAGTATGTTCAGGTGCCAGTACTGACCGAATTTGTTCCCATAAGAAATATTGTGAAGTAGATTAGTCCATTTCAGACCCCCAAACATACACGTACAAACGCACTTACATAAATACACTTACATAATTGGTCGCATTCGGAGGTAATCGTTATGCGGGGGTCCACTGTATATACATCAAAAACGGTGGCTCGTAAGACATATATATACGACCAAAACAGTCAAAGGGTTAATAAGTAGGCCTACTGATAAGCAGGCCTACTGATCCATACTAGGCAGGTCCTCCTCACATTCACTCATGTGCCTGTTCACCAAAATTTTGAAGCTCCTTAATTTACTTTAATGATCTTACTTAGCAGCAAGATCATTAAATTTAAATTAATTAAACCTGATTCCACTGCTTCGAGTCTGTCTTGATTAAAAGCTTTCAGCAATTTGTTTTGCTTATTTATGATGGTGGCCAGTACAAAGAAAGTCCTGGTTGTGAAACGCAGAATAAGCTACATGGAGCCAGTCTTCCAGTCTTCCTGCAGCCAAAAAATACTGATGCTGTGTAAACACTGATTAGTTGGTTCATTAGGTTTAAAGCCTGAATATGATATGGTATACAACACTGACAAGTTGATAAGACACACACAACAGTTTGGTATATCTTTATTTCAAAATGTTTTGCCTACACAGTAGGCTTCTTCAGTTGAGTACAGAGGAGACAGCAGAATCAACAGAGATGTAAAGATGTAATCAGTCCGTTACCACCTCAAAACTAGGTCTTCAAGGGTGATGGACTGATTACATTGTCTTTACTTTTCTACTGCTTCTCCTGCCTCCTCTGTACTTGACTGAAGAAGCCTACTGTGTAAGTGAAACTTTCGGAATAAAGATGCCTAACTGACGCGTATGTGTCTTACTTATTAGGTTTAAAGCCATAAGAATCACTAAGGCTGCATGTCACCTGTATATCACAAATTCAGAATTCTTTAATCCTTAAATTACAGACTAAAGCAAACTCTCAGCATATGCACACACCTTTGTGTGTATAATATACCCTTGGTCTGCATAAATGTGAAGAATCCAGAATTAAAACAACAGAAATGAACAATCTGAAGACTATGTATTTAGTATGGAGGAAAGGAAAGGTTGTATTATAGTGTTTTGGAGTGTTTGGGGCTGTACGACCCATACGAGTTTAGAGCTTATGTTCTAATATAATGAAGGTGCAAAAAACGATTGAGTCTGAAAGTTTGATTCAGTTCATGAAGTGTGTGCCATGTTCCTAAGGTCATGCAGGACAAAAAAAGGAGTAATGACAGAGCAGTGAAGGAAGCACATGTGAATGATCAGTAGAGAAGTGAGAAAATATGAAGAGTATGAGGAGAGAAATGGTAAGTGTGCAAAAACAGTGCCAAGAACATAGTCAGCACAATACAACATAAGTAGTACAGTAAAGAAAAGGATGGAGCTCAGTGGCAATGTTTAATTAGAATGAATTGAATGATTAGTAATATGCTTTTGACAATTTACAAGGAGTTACATAAAGTCCCATGTATGAAATAGCTGAAATATTGCACAATTGGAACATGGAAGGCAAAAAATCCACCTTGACCAAAAAATGAAACACGGGTAAGTGAGATCTGTATATCTTCGCTTCAGCCACGGACCCTCCTCAGCAGATAGGTCTAAATGCCTTAGTTTAGTTTTGGTTTTACTTACTTAATGATGTACAAATGGAGCTTGCATCCAAAACTGATAAGTGCAAGTCTGCAGATGACATGAAATTAGGAAGATGTGTAACATCCATCACCAATTTGTCAACACATCCAAGTTGACCTGGAGATTGACTTGGATAGGCTGACCTTGACAGGTTGTCACAATGGTCATTAGACTGGGAAAGGTATATATTGTAGATTAAATACCTGTTAATGAGGACAAAATATAGATATCTCTTAAACTTGTTTAAATTTTTGGTCCAAGTGGTTCCTCACCTTTCATTAATCAAGTGTTCATGACACTTTAATTGAAGAAAAGTGGAAAATGCTAAAGCAGTGTCCTTGGATGCTTCTTAATATGCAAAGTGGAGTGCAAGATTGGGTGTTATCCTTTCCTATAATCTAATTTTTCTTTCTTTATCCAATGAAAGGGTGAAGTTCATAGTGATGATGATCACAATGCTGATGATGCTGATGATGATGTGATGATATATGTGTAAAACATATACTGTATACAAGCAAAACACAAAAAACAAAAAATAACAAACAAATCTCAGCCCCCCCAAAATTCTAAGTGTAACACTAAGAAAGCAAAAAACTTTAAGAAATGAAAACCAAATATACATACAGTGTAGATGTACAAGTGGCCTGGAGTGGTCGAGCCCAAGGGTGATGATATGTAGCATAAGAGGAACATGGATGGACCAGTCTACACTGTGACATTCAACATCAATGCCTGCTACTATAACATCACAGATCAACATCACAGCTAAGTTGCATCTGCAAAAAGAAAAATCTGAATATATATAATTTTCCATTTAATGGAGAGCATATGAACATAATACAGAAGCACTGTGGTAGGCCTACTGGCCCATGTTAGGTAGGTCCTTCTTGATTCAAACCCTTCCCATTCATATATTCATTTAACCTAAGTTTTAAGCTTTAATGTGATAAAATAATCTAGCAGCAGCTATTGTCTCAGAAAATAAACAGATACTGAAAGTTTTATTTAAGTAAATACAGAGAGTAAAGCAGGTGATATTTCTTGCTACTGGAAGACCCTCCATTAAGGAAGCAAAGAGGTGCTTTTTTCTCTTACCATTGGTTGATTTCAGACAATTGCAGTGCTGCAGCACTAAATGATAACGTCCTAAAAAGACCCACCTTTGCACATCTATTTCTGCTCTTAATTTGGTTTTCCCACTGGTGTGCTGGAGTGAGTTGTTGGATAATGAGGGATGGTGCCAAGTGTGGCATTTACAGTGAACAGATGGGTGCCGCTTTTGAATATTTATCATTCTTTACCTATAATGCTCTTCTATTGTCACGGGGCCAATGCCTCGCTGCTCTACGAAGGTAGTCATGTGGTAATGGTAATGTTACTTCTATGTGATAGTATATTTTTATTCTGTGTATACATGGTTGGTTCACATTATTTTAGTATACAGCAGAACCCTGTATCCATGGAGTCATCATCCATGGTTTCAGTTATCGACGGTTTACTGTGGCCCAAAAATAACTCTTAATTTTGTTTAATAGTGGCCCCAGAGTGCAAAAGCAGTGATGCTGGCAGTTCTTTAAAGCCTAAGAGAAGCCATGAAATGCTTCCCATCAGTGAAAACATGCTAATTCTAGACTTATTTTGAAAAATTTATCAATTAAACTTTATCATACGCATATATGTAAACAAAAAAAATGACATATATATATAGGGTTTACTACTATCCATGGTTTCAGGTATCCACAGTAGGTCTTGGAAAATATTCCCTGTGGATACAAGAGGACTACTGTAATATGTTTACAAAATCATGAGAGGTGTTGATATTCATTTATTATTTGATTGTTTCCTGAATTTTACAATAAATTTACTGATGTATGGTATGGTAATACTGCTAGCACAATGACATGTTCTATCAAACTAGCTCTCCTTCCCCAAAAATAGCCTCTCCTCACTTAGCGACGTACTCGTTTATGGACGACTTGGACTTACAACGGGCTCTCTGACCAGTATGCATATTAAAGTATGTATATTAGAGTTGATTCCCTCTATTCTGTTTATTACAACATAAAATACACTACTGTATAATCATTTAAAAATATACTAAAAATGTTATAAATGGTGCAAGGGTGATATTAAAGCAATATCAAAGATGGTTGATGTTACGGCCCCCTGCCAAACTAGCGGTTAAATAGTTAACCTGCCGGCCGGCAGTACCACTGGGTACGTCATCAAACCCAATGTGGGGACTGCTGAGCCGGCCTTAGCAGCAGTAAGTACCTGAACACCTCACGGTACGCATCTAAGCAGTAGGTACCTGAACACCTCACGGTAAACATCTACTGGCTTTAGAAGCAGTAGGTACCTGAACACCTCACGGTACACATCTACTGGCTTTAGAAGCAGTAAGTACCTGAACACCTCACGGTACACATCTACTTGCTTTAGAAGCATTAAGTACCTGAACACCTCACAGTACACATCTACTGGCCTTAGAGCAGTAAGTACCTGAACACCTCACAGTATGCATCTAAGCAGTAGGTACCTGAACACCTCACAGTACACATCTACTGGCCTTAGAAGCAGTAAGCACCTGAACACCTCACGGTACGCATCGAAGCAGTAGTTACCAGAACACCTAATGGTACACATCTACTGGCAGTAGAGAGTATTCTACTGATTTTAGAAGAAGCGCTCACCGCAGCTCACTGAGTCTGTTGGCCTCAGTTATTTGACGGCTGCATTCAGTGAGCTTGCAACATAGTGTGTGCTGCATCGGACCACCTTGCGGTGTGTCAACTTGTCTTGAAGGCGGTAGATAGTACTCACCAGACCATCTTACGGTGTACTTCTACCGGCCTTAGAGAGTATTTACAGGACTACCAGTGATGTCTGCGGACTCACCGCCTATGCTAGTCAACTGTGGGCCGGAGTCATCTGATGCTATTTTAGTGGGACATTACATGAAGAAAAGGTTGGAGTGTTACACTGAACTGGGCTAGGACCGTAGTGTGACACTTAGGAAAGTATGATGGAGTGGAACACTGAGATATGCTACAGGACCGTAGTGGAACACTAAGGAGAAAAGGGTGTCTTGTGACACTGAAGATGGCATAGTTGTAGTGTACATTGAATAGTGTCATGTGACTGGCCTCTGATAAGAAAGACGCTGTGGGTGATAGTGTGCGACGCAGAGACAAGGGTGTCAAGAGTGACACAGTAGAGATATTGTGTATGACGCAGAAAAAAGGGTGTCGTGTGACAGAGAAAAGGGTGTCTAGTGGACACGGTTGAGCAGGAGCGTCATTATACGGAAGAAAGGGTGTCAAGTGACACAGTTGAGAAGGAGCGTCACAACATACCACGGATAAGTGTCGTGTGACACAGAGCGTCATAAGGGTGTCGTGAGACACGAAGAATGCAGTTGATTATTTATTATTATACAAATGTTATTTATAATTTATTATTTTAGCACAGATATATATATTTTAAATACTTCTAGACCAAAGATTGTGTTTTTTATATAATATTAAAAATTCATTTATTTTAACGTGTACTTATGTATCCCGAACTCTTTATTACAAAATGAGTAAATCCACCATATAAAATTAACTTTTTTTTGTAATAGTTGACATAAACCCACTACCATTATAGTATGCTCCTTATTTAGCGACGAATTCGTATACCGATGCGGTATTAGGAACGCAACTCCGTCATTGAGGAGAGGCTGTGATGTTTGACTGAAAACTTCTTAGGCATTCAACTAGCCAGCTCCCTAACTGGAGCAGCCCATGGACCATTATCAAGTCACAACTTAATAATGGATCTGGACAGATCAAAATGTCATCTACAATTTCTTCTTTGAATCATAGGTTGGTTGTGTAAGTCTCTTGGTAAATGTCTGTGATACTATGTTATGTTGTGGTAGTCACTGCTGCAACATGGTGAGTATGTCTCTTGGTTAAATGTTCCAGCTGTGCTACTGTGACCTTTGTTCTTCAAAACCCAGAATGCTTTGAAATCTTCAACTATTAAATGCAATTTTCAGTTTAAGGGTTAAAAAAAAAAAAATCCCACAGCAAGACGAGAGGACATAAAGCATCATGGATGACACCCAGCTAAGTCCAACAAAATAGCTGACTCTCAGAAATCAAATAACCTGCACACAGGAGAAAAACTACTACCATTACATCGCTTCACTCCACTTTGTCTCATTTGCCACTACCACTACTCCCCCTACTTACTACTACTTAAACTACCAGCATTGCCTCTACCACTAATGTCTCCATTTCCTTCTTTCTTCCTTCTCTCTCTTTGTTTAATCCCTGCCCTCCTCTCACATACATACTGGTTCCCTTACCTTCATGTGTTAGTGTGTGACTAGTTAATGGTCCAAATTGGACCAAAACATCGTCATAAGTTTCTTTCTCCTGTGTGTAAGATATCTGTATATTGTTCCAGTTACAGTATTGTGCCTTTTTGTTCTTCACAGCAATCAACTAATACAGTACCAATTAACTCTTTCACTGTTAGTGCTGTAGTACTACGGCTTACGAGCCAGTGTTGGTGCCGTAGTCCTATGCCAAAATTCTAGCAGCTTCAAATCTAGCGGGAGAAAGCTGGTAGGCCTACGTATGAGAGAATGGGTCTGCGTGGTCAGTGTGCACAGGATAAAAAAAATTGGGGAGCCAGTGGTGCATTGTGGGAATGCCATTTCAGCAGTCCTTGTTCAGCATGTCTAGCGGTAAGAAATATCTGACTCTCCAGTGAATTTGGACTCTTCTCTTCCCAAGTGATAGTTCTAACAGAGATGGAAGTGTCAGTGAAGATGAATTTCATGGTTTTGAGGAGTTGTAGAACATAAAAACATAAGGAGGAACACTGCAGCAGGCCTGTTGGCCCATACTAGGCAGGTCCTTTACAATCCATCCCACTAACAAAATATTTGCCCAACCCAATTTTCATTGCTACCCAAGAAATAAGCTTTGATAATTCTATTTACTCATATGCAAGTCCCACTCAAATCCAACCCCTCTCACTCATGTATTTATCCAACCTAAATTTGAAACTACCCAAGGTTTTAGCTTCAATAACCCTACAAGGCAGACTGTTCCACTCGTCAACTACCCTATTTCCAAACCAATACTTTCCTATATGCTTTCTAAATCTAAACTTATCTAATTTGAATCCATTATTGCAATGCCCAGGATACCAGATACAGACAGTGAAAAGGGATGGCAGCTTGGACAGAGGGTAAGGCAGCTTGAGTATTGGGGAAAGCAGCTTGGATGGTGGGGAAGACAGCGTGGATGGTGGGGAAGATGGTGTGGGTGGTTGGGAAGACGGTGTGTAAGTAAGTTCATTCAGGTATACACGAATACAGTTGCATAGATTATCATACACAGCAGCATGTGTAGAGAACCTAGGATAACCCCCAAAAAAGTCAGAGTGACTTATTTCCAGCATGGGTGGTGGGGAAGACAGTGTGGGTATGGGGAAGGCAGCATGGGTGTGGGGAAGGCAGTGTGGGTATGGGGAAGGCAGCATGGGTGGTGGGGAAAGCAGCATGGATGGTGGGGATGATGGTGTGTGGGTGGGTGGGGAAGGCAGCATGGATGGTGGGGATGATGGTGTGGGTAGGGAAGGCAGCATGGGTGGCTGGGAAGACGGCATGTAAGTTTATTCAGGTATACACAAATACAGTTATATAGATTATCATACATAGCAGCATGTGTAGAGAACCTGGGATAACCCAAAAAAGTCAAGCATGGGTGGTGGGGAAGACAGTGTGGGTGTGGGGAAGGCAGCATGGGTGGTGGGGAAGGTGGTGTGGGTGGTGGGGAAGACAGCATGGTTTTGTGTAAACCTGTTTTGCAAACAATATAAAGATAACAATGTTTGTGCAGTTACTGTGTTGCAAAGAAGTGGATATATATATGTACGTATATATTACACATTATATTGGTCTCACAGGCCACAAAAGTTACTTGAAAAAATAAAATATTAGAAACAAAAAGAAAAAACAGAATAAAAGTAAAAATAATATTACCGAGTGAGTGGCAGTCGGTGATGTTGCTGTAAGCGGTTCACTTTGTCAACTTCACGCCTCTATATCTCGGTATATAGTGATAGCAAAAAAATGTTTTTTTCTTTAAAAACAATCAGAAAAATATTCTTAAGATTTTGGTAAGAAAAAATAATTATGTTTTCAAATATTTTTCGACACAGAGAGGGACTTCAGGATCAGAGCTCTCGACAGTGAAAGGGTTAAAGATTGAATGAAACTGTGGCACGTGGTTAACATGAATATGGGTAAGGGATTTTATGGAGGAGCATTGAAATTATCTCTCGCCTGAAGACTATTCATCGCATTTAGCAACACTGGAAGGTACTGTACTACATTATGAATTACAATGAGTGAGGTAGTGACGAGGCAGTGAGTAAGGTAGAGAGAGGTGGTAATAAATGGTATAAAATACCGACACAATGGAAATATAAACACAAATGCAGTATAATGTGATCCTTTATTGACAACGTTTCACCCACACAGTGGGCTTTCTCAAGTCACACACGGATCTACCTGGGGTTGGAAGGTACGAGAGTATTTATAGTCAGAATGTTGAGGTAGAGAGAGGTAGTGAAGCAGTGAGTGAGGCAGTGAATAAGGTAGTGAGAGAGGTAGTGAGGCAGTGGGTGAGGTAGTGAGGCAGTGGGTGAGGTAGTGAATGAGGTAGTGAGGCAGTGAGGTAGTGAATGAGGTAGTGAGTGAGGCAGAGAGGTAGTGAGGCAGTGAGTGAGGTAGTGAGGCAGTGGGTGAGGTAGTGAGGTAGTGGGTGAGGTAGTGAGGCAGTGGGTGAGGTAGTGAGGCAGTGGGTGAGGTAGTGAGACAGTGAGTGAGGTAGTGAGTGAGTAGTGAGTGGGTAGTGAATGAGGCAGTGAGGGAGTAAGGTAGTGAGGCAGTGAGTGAGGTAGTGAGGGAGGAGGTAATGAGGTAGTGAGCAGTGAAGAGGTAGTGAGGCAGTGAGGTAGTGAGGCAGTGAGGTAGTGAGGCAGTGAGGTAGTGAGGCAGTGAGAGGCAGTGAGGTAGTGAATGAGGTAGTGAGGCAGTGAGTGAGGTAGTGAGGCAGTGAGGTAGTGAGTGATATAGTGACTGAGGCAGTGAGGTAGTGAGTGAGGTAGTGAGTGAGGTAGTGAGTGAGGTAGTGAGTGAGGTAGTGAGTGAGGTAGTGAGTGAGGTAGTGAGTGATGCAGTGAGTGAGTAGTGAGGAAGTGAGTGAGGCAGTAGGTGAGGTAGTCACTCCTATTACTCGATTTATGGATTTACGACTACTTCATTAAGTGATGATGTGACTAACATGTAGGAAGCTTTAATAAATTCTTAGAGATCAGACTCACATGACTTCATAAAAAGGTAAACCTAATTCAGGAAATCATATATAAAAGATACATGGGAGGACAAAGTTAACCTCTATATCTCACCTGTGAAATGCAGTGTTGGTGAGTTCATATCGTCATATATCATCGTGAGTTGACAAATAACCCCCTATTCTGCATGGTTCACTGGTTATTTGTTTGGTCTAATATCGTTATCACTATTATCATTGAACCTGGAGCAATACGGGTTTCAGGAGTTCCTGAGATTATTGCATTCTGAGCTTAAGAACAGCGAAACTTTCCCTTAGTGGTACTGTACCATCCTGGGAACAATGTACCTTTATAAAATGCTTGTGCAGAATGCTTCATGCAAGTTTCACGGGAGATAATCTGTCTCCACTATATAAGTAAGGGTGACTTCCTTCCTGTTAAGGAAGGACATTTTACCATCATTATTCAATCATACACCATTTGTCAGGAATAGTGGAGATTGCAGTTCAGATGGCTTCCTTCAGAGTGCAGGCATCTATACTTCCAACCTTGGTTTTGTAAGTCCAGTAATTGGTTTCCCTCATTCCTTTCATAAACATTACCTTTCTCACACTCAGCAGTGCAGCAAGCCATAAAAACCTCTTATCTCCACTCATTTTGATTTAGCCACTGTCATACAAGCCTTTTGGATGGCTTCATATAAACAAAAATAAAAATAATTCTCATGATAATCTAAACAAGTGTAAAGAACATACCTCAACATTATTAGTGTTGAGATCCTCCTGCATATTAGAAGGTAAGGAGTTGGGTGCCAGTGAGGAATTGGGCCGAGACTTAACATTAATGGCTGTGGTCGCTGCTGTTGAGGCTGCAACAGAGCTGTCCACAGCAATGACACTCGAGACCCCAGACCCAACACTGGACACACTGCGCAGTGATCCAGGAGCACTGCGCTGTTCTCTTGTAACTCTGCAAAATAAAGATGCAAATAAACCATTGTTGCAATTAAAAATATTTATGGCAAGTGAGTGATAAGATTCCACGGCAGTGTGCAAGCAACTCAGCCAGCTGGCTCATGGTACATATATTCACAATGGGAATCTCACCGATGGCATGAAATCAAAAAAATGAAGAAACCCCAAATGGAAAATGACTTTATCATGCATTCAACACTTTCAACACCCAGTTTCACTGTTTTGCGTGCTCAGATTAAATTAAAATAATCATAAAGTAACTAAACTATACTAGTCTATGTCCTCAGAGGGAATTTTATGTGATTTAGCTGCCATTACATTATTTAAAGTTTGTTTCTGTCAATAAAAGGAAATTAAATTATTCTATTCTTTAGAATATGGAAATGTGTACATTTTGTGTGTAGAGGAATTAGAAACATTTTTAAGAATTTACTTGGATTAAGAAAATTGATTCATTGAAATGATTAATTGCACTCAAATTGATAATTAAGAAAGACAGTACAAACACTCCATGGGGAATGGAAAAGAATTTGTCCTACATAAGCCATGAATGTCCTAAAATGCTGGGAGCAAGGGGCTAGTAACCTCTTCTCCTGTATATATTACTAAATTTAAAAGGAGAAACTTTTGTTTTTCCTTTAGGGCCACCCCACCTCAGTGGGATACGGCTGGTATGTTGAAAGAAAGAAAAAAAGGAAAAGCCTAAGTTTTTTCCTTTTTCGGATGGGAGACAGTCAGTGTGTTAAAAAAATGGTATAGAGAAGGAGAATTATAATTTACTAGATGTACAGTAGAGTACCACTCTCCAGAGTTGTGTGTGAATAGTTATAAAGAATTCAAACAAGAAAATGAACAGACAAAAATATAGCGATTTGGTTTGAACCAAATAAAACGATATTAATATCTTATGATGAATATATAGTAATTTACAATACAGTAAGTGTTAAATTTCGTAGTTCCAAGTTGTATGGCGACACCGACAAGCTGTGTATAAGGACACTTGTGTACCATTTAGGACATTTTTTAATGGAAACATTTCACCACAAGTGACCTCTTCATCAGAACTGAAGATGCTGTTTGTGGTGAAAATTTTTCTCTCATAAATGTCCTGAATAGTACACAAGTGCCCTTATACATTTGTTAAAAGTCTGTGCCACGATAGTAAGAGCTGCATTTTAACTTATCTTTAACTAAAATGTTTATTAAATGCATTTATTAATTCTGTATGTTTCTTTTATACATGATTTGGTTTAAAAATACATATTTGTTTTCTGCAACATTAACATACAGAATTTCTTATTTTTTTAGATACATTAATTTTTTCAGTACAAATGCACACTCTGCATTTTTCACAGTATATACCTGTTTTATACACACCTGGCTAGTCATTGATATGTTTGATATCAATTAGTTTGGGAATGTAGATTAATTTTTTATAATTTTCAAACTGAATTTCTTAATATTCTAATTGTAATATTTTTTTTTTTGTTTGCATTCTCTCCATTATAAAACTTTCGCTACCCCTTTTTTTTTTATTAATGTGTAAAATTCACCACTCCATAACCTGTGTCTGGTTTTAAGTCAGCATTTGGAGTAGTCTGCCCAAAATGCTCAGGCATGTTAGTGGCTTTCATTGTGTTTAACAATACTTTACTACATGTAAACTACACATCGTATACTATGCAAAGAAATAAATATTTGAATTTGAAAAATGTGTGATCAAAAAGAACAAAATGGCACAATACCATGACTGGAACAACACACAAATAACCTGCATGTAGGAGAGACGAGCTTACGATGATGTTCCACTCCGACTTGGACCATTTACAAAGTCATGTTGTCATTAGCTCCTCTCTCTCCTATGTGCACCTTATTTGTGTAATATGTGGTCAATTTACACATTTAGGATGCAAACTTCCCATCCTTATAGGACAGATATGTGATCACCATTCAGTGTCTTGTTTAGAGTACAAATGCAAAATCGTCCAGAAAAACAATAATGTTATGATTACTTACAGAGGAGAGTATCTCTCTCTAGGTAGGTCGTGATGATCTCCGGAATGTCGTTTTGTGTGTAATGTTCCTCGTTCGGAGGGCGTCTGCTCTTGTGGTGCCCCACTTCCCTCCACACACCCACCCTCACCATGTGAGGACGTTTTACGCATGGAAGTGAGTCTGAAAAATATTAAAGAGTAAATTGAGCTATCGTATGTTTGTAGAGTAAACTGAGATATCTGTTTCTAGAGTAAACTGAGATATCTATTTCTAGAATAAACTCAGATATCAGTATGTTTGTAGAGTAAACTGAGATATCTATTTCTAGAATAAACTCAGATATCAGTATGTTTCTAGATAAACTGAGATATCAGTATGTTTCTAAACTGAGATATCAGTATGTTTCTAGAGTAAACTGAGATATCAGTATGTTTCTAAACTGAGATATCAGTATGTTTCTAGAGTAAACTGAGATTTTTTTTTTTTTTTTTTATTATCACACCGGCCGATTCCCACCAAGGCAGGGTGGCCCGAAAAAGAAAAACTTTCACCATCATTCACTCCATCACTGTCTTGCCAGAAGGGTGCTTTACACTACAGTTTTTAAACTGCAACATTAACACCCCTCCTTCAGAGTGCAGGCACTGTACTTCCCATCTCCAGGACTCAAGTCCGGCCTGCCGGTTTCCCTGAATCCCTTCATAAATGTTACTTTGCTCACACTCCAACAGCACGTCAAGTATTAAAAACCATTTGTCTCCATTCACTCCTATCAAACACGCTCACGCATGCCTGCTGGAAGTCCAAGCCCCTCGCACACAAAACCTCCCTTACCTCCTCCCTCCAACCCTTCCTAGGCCGACCCCTACCCCGCCTTCCTTCCACTACAGACTGATACACTCTTGAAGTCATTCTGTTTCGCTCCATTCTCTCTACATGTCCGAACCACCTCAACAACCCTTCCTCAGCCCTCTGGACAACAGTTTTGGTAATCCCTCACCTCCTCCTAACTTCCAAACTACGAATTCTCTGCATTATATTCACACCACACATTGCCCTCAGACATGACATCTCCACTGCCTCCAGCCTTCTCCTCGCTGCAACATTCATCACCCACGCTTCACACCCATATAAGAGCGTTGGTAAAACTATACTCTCATACATTCCCCTCTTTGCCTCCAAGGACAAAGTTCTTTGTCTCCACAGACTCCTAAGTGCACCACTCACTCTTTTTCCCTCATCAATTCTATGATTCACCTCATCTTTCATAGACCCATCCGCTGACACGTCCAATCCCAAATATCTGAATACGTTCACCTCCTCCATACTCTCTCCCTCCAATCTGATATTCAATCTTTCATCACCTAATCTTTTTGTTATCCTCATAACCTTACTCTTTCCTGTATTCACCTTTAATTTTCTTCTTTTGCACACCCTACCAAATTCATCCACCAATCTCTGCAACTTCTCTTCAGAATCTCCCAAGAGCACAGTGTCATCAGCAAAGAGCAGCTGTGACAACTCCCACTTTGTGTGTGATTCTTTATCTTTTAACTCCACGCCTCTTGCCAAGACCCTCGCATTTACTTCTCTTACAACCCCATCTATAAATATATTAAACAACCACGGTGACATCACACATCCTTGTCTAAGGCCTACTTTTACTGGGATATATCTACTTTAAACACGGTGACATCACACATCCTTGTCTAAGGCCTACTTTTACTGGGATATATCTACTTTAAACTGAGATATCAGTATGTTTCTAAACTGAGATATCAGTATGTTTCTAGAGTAAACTGAGATATCAGTATGTTTCTAGAGTAAACTGAGATATCAGTATGTTTCTAGAATAAAACTGATGCTGCAATAAGACCTTTATAACCCAATATTTTGAATGTCAGAAACTCTCCCCAATGTGGACAGTTACTGGAAGTGAAACCTGATTCCTTCAGCAGAATTCTAGAAGATCAGGTACTTTCATACACTGGCTTCAGGAGCTTGCTCTATTTCCTTAAATTTTGCACTGTTGATAAAAGGTGTACACCACAGGTAACAGCTTAGCCTGGGCAGTAATAACTTTTTTTTATAAAGGTACAAGTCAGAATGGACATCCAAATCATATATTGTATGTTTTATCCCCCACAGATTGTTCTTATTTTCCTTCAAATTTTGCAGGAATGGCATTGAAATCCAGAGATGCTCCAAGCAGGATGCTGGCAGTGGGAGCAATAGTTGAAGCTTCTGGTAAAATGGATCTAACTGCTGTTGCCACCAGTAGCAACAACCTGGTTGACCAGACAAGCCTGGCCCATGGCTGGGCTCTGGGAGTAGATAACCTCTCAGAACTCATCAAAGGTAAGGTATTGACTGGTTTGTTGGTGGAGATGATTTCCCCTTTTGAGGAAGACATAGGTAGGTAGATAGCAACAATCTCGGTAAGGTCCAGTACTACTGGTCTATCATATGAATGTGGAATGGAAGCCTGTTAAATATTTTGCACTCTGACAGCACTGCAGGTCTTTTCTATCTCTCCGATGAATGTGTAAGATGACAAGTAAATCTTGCCACCTTCTGTTTTTTTTTTTTTTAACATGTCAGCTGTTTTCCCACCAAGGCAGGGTGACCCAAAGAAAGAAAACCCCCAAAAAGAAAAAAAACTTTCATTATCAGTCAATACTTTCACCATCACTCATATATAACCACTGTCTTTGCAGAGGCGCCCAGATACGACAGTTTAGATAGTCACTCCAAAGTGCCAATATCCCAAACCCCTCCTTTAAAGTGCAGGCATTGTACTCCCATTTCCAGGACTCAAGTTTGGCTAACCGTTTTCCCTGAACCCTTCACAAAATATTACCCTGCTCACACTCCAACAGCTTGTCAGGTCCCAAAAACCATTTGTCTCCATTCACTCTTATCTAACACGCTCATGCATGCTTGCTGGATATCCAAGACTCTTGCACACAAAACCTCCTTTACCCCCTCCCTCCAACCTTTTCGAGGACTACCCCTACCCCGCCTTCCTTCCCCTACAGATTTATACGTTCTCCAAGTCATTCTACTTTGTTCCATTCTCTGTAAATAACCAAATGAACAACCCCTCTTCAGCCCTCTGACTAATGCTTTTAGTAGCTCCACACCTCCTAATTTCCACACTATGAATTCTCTGCATAATATTTACACCACACATTGCCCTTAGACAGGACATCTCCACTGCCTCCAGCCGCTTCCTTGCTGCAGCATTTATAACCCAAGCTTCACACCCATATAAGAATGTTGGTACCCTTCTTTGCCTCCGTGGATAGCGTTTTTTGTCTCCACAGATACCTCAATGCACCAATCACTTTTTTCCTTCAATTCTATGGTTAACCTCATCCTTCATAAACCCATCTGCCGACAACTCCACTCCCAAATATCTGAAAACATTCACTTCTTCAATACTCCCTCTGTCCAATGTGATATCCAATTTTTCTTTATCTAAATAGTTTGATACCCTCTTCACCTACACCCTCCCAAACTCGTCCACTAACCTTTGTAACTTTTCTTTAGAATCTCCCAAAAGCACAGTATCATCAGCAAAAAGTAACTGTGTCACTTCCCATTTTGTATTTGATTCCCTATACTGTGATTTAATCCCACCTTCTCCCCAACACCCTAGCATTTACCCCATCTATAAACATATTAAACAACCAGGTAAAATTAAACAGATGTCATGAAGTCTTTATCTTCTATTTCAGTTGCTGTAAAAGATGAGGATATTAGCACTCGTTGTTCATTTTAGTTCCGCTGATACAAAGATTACTGTACTTTGCTATCTACCATTTCAACTTCTATCTCTTCTTTCCCAGCATGTTAGACTCCTACCTACTGCCTCTTGCAGCTTGCACTTGCCCTTTACCTCAAGAGATCAAGACCAAATGAGAAACATATTGCATGGTCTCATTCCTACTTTCTACACTCACCTGTTGGCCACTCATGCACCTGCACTTTATATATTTTCCCATTCTTATAATCCTTCCCATTTTTCTCTACTTCTATGACATCTTTATAATTTATCAGTAAATTAATAACCTCTTCTTTAACAAAACTGAACCAAAATATATAAAATATTATAAGCATCTATATATGATAAACTGTACTAAAAGCTAAATGTTTTTTTGGGTCAGTGTGCTAAAAAAACAAAACTGTACTAAACTGTTGGAACAAATTCAAATCTTTACTAAAATGATTAAATCTTTAGTCTAACATATTTTAATAGTGTAGTGTCAGAAACTGAAGGATCGAGTCCTACAATATATGATACAGACAAGTAGTGTAAACAGACACAAAACAGAAAATTTAATGACATGGAGTGACCTAAGGTCCTGGGACCTTAGGTCACTCCAAAAGTTGCTTTGAGCAACTGAGGTGCCAGGAACAATATATTTTCATTACACATGTCCTAAACTAACTGAACTTTGAGTGCAGCCTAGTTTTTGGCCTTTAACAATCATCAATAATAGTTTTACCAACAAAAACAACTACTGCTTCTGTGAAATAACTACACTGTGCGTTTACCTGAAAAACGGAGGTGTTTCTGTCCGCTCTATGACGCAGTTGAGGGTCTCGACTGTTCCCATCTCGGCCATAAGTTCCTCCACCAGGCGGTCTGGCCGGGCCCGACCCACGTACACAACCACTCTCTTTGC